ACCCTTGTTTAAGACATTGATATTCTATGGGCAATTCAATGTATTTTTAATCGTCTCTCAGAGAGTAGAGACAGCGAGTCAGTGATCTCTTTAATGCTATTTCCAAATCTACCGTCAAAAGCTTAGAGCAGGTCTCGCCAATTGTTTTTTAACCTTCCAGTGTAAAATTTTTTAGCTCTTAGCGCTCTGTTAGTACTTTCTAATGGTGAGGAGACGACAACTGCTCAGCATACCATGCATATTCAAATAAAAAAGCTTTGTGTCCTGGGAGCACTAGGTGATAATGCATAGTCCGTTTGCAAAGAGGGGCTCGTCAGGTCGCATGCGTTTTACTTCCCATGACAAAGAAACCAAAGAACCTTGAATAGTCCCTTTTTTTCACAGAAAAGAAGTCATGGCGACATGAGGAACATTTTACCATAGAAAAACGAGCTTTCTAAATTTACCTTGAGCTGTTTGTGGATTTCTCTCTGATTTTAAAAGCAGCTGGTAAAGTAATTTCTCTCTTAGCACCTTCAAAATAACATTTACTCATTTACATCTGTCCGTCGAATTGTTATTTCTTTTTATAGGCTTAATTTTTCCAATTATAAACTAATCCATCCTTCTAATGGACCTGTCGTTATCCTCGATTCCTTTGGCCCCGTCAAAAGGCTTTTCGCAAATTGTGTCGCTTGCTAAATCTTTTAATCGCTCTTGTTACAATATTTAAAGAATACTCATTTAAGCAAGAAAACAACAGAACCAGATTTTCGTGTTAGAGCCGCATCTGAGACGGACAAATTTAATCCAAAACGAAAAATCACTTATTCATGCTAAATCAAAATAGAGTTAATTGTCGGTACGTCAATAAAATTCACGTGTTTCCGCTATCTCAAGGTTGTAAAAATTATTAATGCGATCAGGAAAGACAGCTATCATATCTAACGATTGCGTTAGTTTTAGATATAATGAACGGAAATCTATATTGACTTCCAGAGAACTTTCTGGATTAAATTTCTGAGGCGGCTTTCGCCTTTAATTATTTACAGGGTCGTTCTTTCTGCACGATATCTTTTTGAACGAGGTGATTTTTTAAATCCTATTTTCATTATTTATTTTTCAAAATCATGCTGTTTTCTTCAAGAGGACTCGTAAACCTCAAGCGAAGCTCTTGCCACCCTAACTGAGTAGAGGCATTTGTCATAAAAGGGTTTATTCTTATCTGAACAAACAAACTATGGAAAGAATTCTGGGACGTTGACAGTGTGTTCGAAGCTTCGATAATGAGTGTGAGAGAAAAGCCCACTTCGAACGATTTTTGTGCGGAATGATTCCCTTTCCCCAAAAACAGACATTAGTGTCCAAACTCAGACAGTAATGTCTAAAATAAAGCATTAGTGTCCAAACTCAGACAGTAATGTCTAAAATAAAACATTAGTGTCCAAAAATCAGACACTAGTGTCCGAAATGGGACCCAGCTATCCAAGTACAGATCTTGTGTCCAAAATCAGAACAAGTGTCCAAAGTCGAACAGTACTGTACAAACTCAGATCCTAGTGTCTAAAAATCAAACACAACGGTCCAAAATTAGAACTAGTATCCGAAATTAGACACAGCGTCCAAAATCAGATATTAGAGTCGAAAATCGGACATTGTCGGGAAAAATCAGAGACTATTGTCCAAAATCAGACACAGCTGTGCAAATCAGTATTGGTGTCCAAAATCAGAACTAGAGTCCAAAATTAGACACTAGCGTCCAAAATTAGACACTACTGTCGGAGTAGCCTTGGCTGTGTGAACCGGTGTTCCATCTTGCAACAAGGTCGTTCTCCTATTCGAAGTAGTCAACTTTCTTTTACGAGTTCTTCTAAAGAAGATCGGCGGCTAGGTAAGGGCTTGACTATCTTTTTAGTATATTGTTCATGCAATAATTAGATGTTGACGTTTTCCCTTTTGGAACAAAGCGAAGGTTTGTTATGCTGCAGCCTGTCATTCCACCCCATTCTCGGTTTGTCCTCAATTGTTCGCGAAGTGAACTTTTTTTTTTTCACTCAGCCTCGCTTCTCTATACTATTTGTTATGAGACAAAATTGGTATCAAGCAAGAATTTTCTGTATATGTGTTTTTAACTTAGAAGAGAAGAGTTGGAAAATTAATGGAAATAACATATTTCTACAAGCCATTCAATATTAAAAAATATATATAATAAGCTAACTATATAATAAGCTAGTTGATTATATCTAACACCTCTTTCTTGAAGGTGACTTAAAGGGTAACTGACGGTAACTTTTTCCCCTTTTTTTGTCCTAATACATTTCTCTTCGGTTAAAGAATCCTAAATAAGCAAATAAACGATTTATTGTGCAAAACCAAATTTGCTACAAATTCTTTTGACGCTTAATCGACGGCCACTTTGAAAACGTTCCGATCCAGGTCATGTGATGTGATACGTCACACGCGTGTAAGGCAGTGAAAAGGGCCACGTTAAGACCTGAGAGTAAAAGCTTCGCCCTCGCTGTCCAGCTGCTACCGAGCGAAAAAAAAAATTTCCACTTTGGTGCAAGCCACCAATTAGAGACTATGAAATACGAAGTGAGAAATAAAATGCTTTCTCTGAAAAGGTTGAATTATCGAAACGCGACGGATCGCTTATCTCTATTTGGAGCCACAGGTAAATTGCATGCAATGCTAAACAGCGGTTAAAAAAATATCTATTATTTTTTTTCTCGTTTTCCTCTTGACCATTATCAAATCCGTTACTTAAAGAAATTTTTATAGTTCTAGCCGAAAAGCATTTTAATTAAGATTTTGTCCGGTGTATATCACTGTGACCTCAAGCCAATCAGTTCTAGAGTGAACGTGACATAAGCACGAAGTGTTGTCGCGTATCATAGGGGGTCTTCACTTGGTTTCGTGAACGAAACTCTTCTTCCATGTTTCGGGAAATGAAAAAGATTGATCCTTTCTTTATATTTTTTAACGGAGACTAGTCAGCAGCGAGCAGCACAGCAGCACAAAGAAAGACTTCATGCTGTTTGGATAGCTGCATGTAACCGTCGCAAACGTGAGAAAAGACTTAAACTTTTTGGCCATAAACAAGGTACAAAGACCACACAAGGGGAAATATAAGTTCACAATAAATTAATGTCAAGTTGCAAACAACTCTTATACTTTTCATCCTCCGCACTGCATTTAAAATGATTTAACCCATATGAACAGCAGGTGGCTTTTTTGGGGGCGGTACCCTGGGTACGTCCTTTCTTCTCCAAATTTTCTGTTTATTCTGTTGTTGTGTAACAGTTTTCAAGGGCTGTTTTTTTCTTTAGATATCTTTTAAAGTGTAATTCTAATTTCGTCAGTGGGTACTCTATGATTTTTATATTACCAATCTTGTTTTTGTTTTGTCCGATCTTAACCGGAAGAGTATGAAATTTTTAGGCAGAAAGTCGTTTGGAAAATAGTCAACATCTCTAAGATAACTGTCACCTTCATGAGCTGAGCTGGACTCCGAGAAAGTATTAAGGAACGAGATAAGAAGTAAGGAAAGCATTAACTGTACAGGGAGTGTAAGAAATTGTCCCAACATGTTTTTCCCTTTTCTCAAAATGATACCCCAGAGGACCTCAAAATCGAGGCTTGTGTCTATGTATGAGCCATCTCACAAAGAAAATTAACAAATACAGGACGACGTTTACACAGGCAAAACAACGCGGGAAACAGAAAATCAAGGGCATTCGCGGTTTCTACATTTTACGGGAAAATAATATTTCTAAATTTGTTCTTTTCTTTTAACTTTTGAATATTTTTAAAACTTGAAAGTAAGCAAAATCAGGTTATTTGAAAATTATGGCTTCCTAAATGCGAAAATAAGCAAGTTATAGAGTGTAGAAAAAGGGTGAAAACTTTTTAATGACCTTGTAGTGTCCAAAATCAGACATTAATGTCCACAGACAGGTAGGCATGACTCGCGAGTTTAAAGACATGACGCATGACTTGAAAGACATCACTTGTAACTTGAACTCAAGACCTAAGAAGCTCGATTGGCGAGTTATTAAGGACTCGCGACTTGAACGGATTAACCGGCGACTTGAAAGATATCATCCGCGAGTTGAAAAGTATTATTCGTGACTTGAAAGGCACGAGGCGCGACTTGAAAGGCACAATCCGCGACTTGAAGGGCATGACTCACGACATGAAAGGCATCACCTGCGACTTGAAAGGCATCACCTGCGACTTGAAAGACATGACCCGTTCCCTGAAACCCACGACATGGAAGGCACGACCCGTTGTGTACCGTGAATGCATGACCCGCGACTTGAAAGGTGCAACCCTTTTCACGCGACCATTAGTCAAATTCGTCGTAAAAGAGATTCAGGTGAAGAAAAGAAAATCAGGAGTTGATAAAGCCAGCTAAGTACTTATTATCTCATAGATACCATGCACGTATATTTACTTATGACAGTGCAAAAAGTCTTCGCGAAGAGCAGATCAAATGAGACATGTGGAAAAAAAATTGAATGGTAAAACAGATGCTTTGTAGCATTTTTTTCTCCTACGAAATATCCGGAACCGTAAAGATCCGTAATTAGCCCGCGTAGGTTGATACTGACACAATAAACATAATTTCCTCTCGATGAAAAGAAGCTTTTACTTTCTCGCACCTATGAATTCAATTCTGATTAAGCACACTCAAGACTAAGCGCCTCTAAGAAACCAGAACAAAAGATATAATTTTCAATGGCTGGTAATACTAAATAGTCTCTTTTATATTCGAGTATTATTTATACAGAGCTTCACGAGAGCCAATTAATATTTTACTCGTTTTAATTCAGTCCAACACTCTAATGCAGCATGTCAATAGCCAATCACGGGCTAGTTGTTATCGAGAAGGAAACAAATCCCGGAGATTTAACGTCTAACTGAAGTGTTGCATTTTATTCAAGATAGGTAGTAACGCGGAACTTGCCTAACACAGAAAATCCGTCGCACAAAAAGTCAGTCGAACGAAAAACGATACCATGGTGCCTTTGATAACTTTCCTGTACGCCTTTCTGAGCATTCTAATCACTTTCGCAAATGCGTTTGTGATATCTACCGTCTACTCAACGCGTGCACTTCGAAGGATTACCAATTATTCCCTGGTTTCGTTGGCCATCGCTGATCTTGTTGTTGGTATGATTGTTCTTCCTGTAAGGATATGCGAAGCACAAGACTTTCGCAAGTCGCAAAATTTTAGTTGGTGCCAATTTTCACTGAGTCTTACATTGCTCAGTCTGTCTGCTTCTGTTTTGAATCTTTTAATTGTTACTGTAGAGCGTTACTTTGCTATAATTTTGCCTCTTTCGTACTCGAGTAAAGTTACTGCTCGGCGAAATTTTTATGCAATAATTCTCGTCTGGTTTGTTGCAATGTTTACCTCGTTCTTGCCGTTCGTTACTCTGCGGAACATGACAGCTAAAGAGCGTGGCCGAGAACACAAGATTTGCCGATTTGCAGACACGATGAGCCCAGAATATTTGACATTTTTTTCAGCTGTCATCGTTTTAATTCCGACTTTGTTCATCTCCGCCGCCTACTTGAAAATTTACCGTGCAGCAGTCAAGCTGAGAGGACGACTGAAAGCTTTACAAGTGCAGCGGGATGGAAATCATAATATTGCAAAGGCGTTAAAGGAATCTAAGGCTGCTAGAACGGTTGGTGAGTCATGCCTCTTAAAAATATTCAACTGAATCTAATTTACCAGGAATTAAAACTACCTTAGTCCAAGAGCTTTTTGATCTCCAAATGAAACTCACATTACCTGCTTTCAATTTGCGTTGTGCAGCCAACATAATCAACTTTGCAAGAATTGATTATGGTAAATTTTAAAACAGGATGTGTTCAATTCACGCGCCCCCACATCTTGCGTCAAAACTTGTTCTAAAAGCATGACGTCTGAGAAAATGTCGCTTAACTAATTTCAAGCTTTCTTTTACTTTATTCATATACTTTCACCATAACATTTTTTCCGGGATTCGATATTGAGCGGTTTCATGGAAATCAAGCGTACAAACTTTGTATTTAAGTTGAAGAAAGAAAAAAAATGAAAAAAAGAATTTTTTTTCAAAGTAATCAAAGGGATATGAGACAAAGCGACTTATAAGCGCTGTACATTTCGTAGCGTTTGTATCAAGTGTATTTCCGAAACACATGGTGACTTCCTGTAACTTACCCGAACCGCTGCCGATCGAGAATTTTCCACATTTTGTTCCGTCTGAATGTAGCCGGTAGAAGAAAGAAAAAAGTCTCAAGATCATTCCAAAACATTTTTGAAAACTTTTCCGTTTTTTTTTTTTTCAAATTGTTTCTTTTGAGTATTGAAGTCTCTTACAGCGCTACGTCTTATATTAAGAGCTTATGAGAAAATTATGAATTTAATTTTGATGTTCTATTAAAAAATACTACTGAAGCTCTAAAAAAAAGGTTCTCTGTCCTTCATGTCATTAAAAAGATTGATACAATTGAAGCTACGCTTACTTGAATGAAATTTTTATAAATGAGTTGGTTTTTTATGAAGGACTAATGTAAGCAAAATTCTTTTAAGAATTATTTTTACAGATCAAAATGCTCTTAAGTTCTATCTAGAATACATCTGTTATGCCGTACCGAATATGGTTATAACCCCATTGTGCAGACCAGCACATCTAATCTGCTGGAAATCGTTTAAAAGCAATATTTTATTTGATATCTTGTCTCCTAGTGACTGAAACAAATTTCTAACCAAAACATCCTATGGGGGAGGGGGAAGGGGCAGTATGTAAAAAGTACAAGCGTGCAGGGTTGCACGCGTATCGTGTCGTTGTTTTTTTTTTTTTTTTTTTTTTTTGAGATATTATGCGAATAATTATTGCCATAAAGTTGCATTATCGCGTTACATGGAAACCTTTATTCTTTCCCTCAGCCAAAGACATGGACCCTTAGAGGAGTCCGTCTGAACATCAACCTTGACATTTATCATTAAATTTCAGCCTTTGTCCCAAGCGACCGGCTCAGTATGGGAACGATCATTATATATCGCGAGGGGACGGGTGGGTGGAGTTTCGGACGATTTTGGTAGTGTCACAATAAAATACCTGATCCTCCCCCCGTAAGGCTCTACAATATTCTTGTGATCCCCTTCATTGGCAGTTAATTAGCAGTCAATTTTCCACAGTCACCCCTTGATATTCTATTGGTGACGACGACTGATCTCCCCTCAGTTCTTCCTGAAAATCATGTGAAAGATATTCGGATAGAAAATTTAAGGGGTTTCGTAAATTTATCTAGTTGTATCAACATAGGATAATTCTCACGCTCTGATTACTCTCTTTTTGTTTGTCAGGGATTGTGGTAGGAGTATTTTATCTGTGCTGGATTCCTTTCATGGTAGCAGTCATTTTGAGCGCTTTCGTCAAAAATTTGATCACCCCAGTCGTAGTTCTGGTCATCTCTGTTCTTATCTACAGCAATTCCGCCATTAACCCAGTCCTCTACGGTTATTTGAATCGCGACTTCCGGTTGGCTTACAAAAGAATGTTTTCGAGAATTTCCTTACCAAGCGCATGCGCAAGAGTCCATCCTCGCGAAAGAAGAAGATGTTATGAGTTACCAGAGTTATCTACGAGTTCTCAGCCTGGTCAAGGGCTATATATCAGTGACAGTGCGTTGTGATCATTACGTACCCGCCGCCAATCTGAAACCGAAAAGACCCTGGAACGACCCTGGAACGAGTTTAAGGCACTATGTGACATATTTCGAGTTCCGAAGAAGCTAGGAAGCCATTATGATTCTTTGACAGTCCATGAGGATTGCCACTAAAGTGGGAACGAACAACAAACACAAACTATCTACACACGGAGAAACTCGCGCGGTAATTTCGCGGTCACCATATGTCCCGTTCCTAAGCGAAGTTGGAAACAGTTGCTACCATAAACAGAACCCGACTTTAATCGCGAGTTTGTATGTAATGTAGTTTAGAACTCCATCCGGGCAGGGAATTGATACTACAACATTTATAGTATTTTCTCTATGATAAATCCTAACTCTTAATTCTAACTAAAATTTTTTAAACCACTTTCGACCACAACTCGAACTACCAAAAAAACACCACTAACAAAAAATTACGCGCTTGCATCCTCATTTGGTTGTTTCGAGACAACACCTGTGATTTGCGCCATATTGTGGCAAGTACATATGGCCTTGTGATAAATAATCTGAAGCACTAAAGGCTTAATTTAGTCAAATAACCTCCATAGTTTAAATGCACTCACAGACGTGAATCTCACGTTGATAAATCGGCCTTAAGTCTTGGGGAGATAAAACACATCAAATACTGATAATTTTAGAAACGTCACATTCGAAAAAGAATTAAGAAGAATCACAGAAGTGTCATTTTAAAATAATTTAGATTACACAAAGGACAATGAATTCCCCTATGCCTGAATACAAACAGTCGGGTTGATAAGCGTCGAACATTTAGTTCAACTGGTAAACGAATACCAACTGACCTTCATCACACGATAACCATAACGTCATTATCCGGCTCCAGGCTGTGCGCGGCTAATAAGCCACTTGTTGATGGTTTTGGTGGGTTTTGCCACCCGCCGATACGGGTGACTACAGAACTCCAAAAACACAACTCAAAAAAATGCAACAGGAAACGCTTGCTGGCTGAAAATTGAGAAGACATGGCATGCAACGGGTATTAAGGCCTCGGTGGAAACATTTATGAGTCAATCTCAGCTTGCCTGGCTCATTACAGTTTTCAGCGCGAGTGTTTTCAGATTTCGCTACACGTAAGGTAAGATTGTTCACGTCTAATGTCGACGTCGCGCTTCATCAGACGGGCATCTAACTTAATGGGTCATCATAAAATTACACGTCCATTTTATGGCTAGAGTGATTGAGGAATGTTTTTGTCTAGCTTTCTTCTCACGAGTATGAGCGAAAAGTTTCCGCTCAAAAGTGCGACCCTTCATTTCTACGGTAAATATGTTCACTGGTATCCGTTGACTGTATGCAGTGCTGGAATATATATATATTCATATATTAACGAAGTTGCTTTGTCAGCTACATGTAGATTTTGTCTGGATTTGTGGATCAGAAGATAACGCCCATAGTTAAGAAAAACCTGGAACCTGTGAGGAAAAAGTTAAAAAAAAATTATTGACTAAAACAACATGTATTTCATTGTTCTTTTAGACATTTGCGGATGTATAAATATCTTGTTTGTTTCCAAACTTTTGACTTAAAGCGCATCCGTGTTGATGAGATCTGTCTAACTCTGTGTCTGCTGTCAGCTGCTTTCATTTTTTCTATTTACCTTTGAGGTAAAACTAAATTTATGGCAAATTCAGGGAGAGCTGCGAGAGTTGACGCCATGAAGAGCTCAGTTTGTGTTCAGATTTCCCACTCGGGCGGCACAGTTTCACCTACATATCATCTCAGTCATTTTGATATTCAGCCTGTTAAGTATTTAAAAATACAGTGTTGTATTGAGATTCCCATCTTTTTATAATTTGGAAAAAATCGACAAAGTTCTTATTTACCTTGCAAAATTAATGTGAATAAATGGAATCAGGTGAGGGCTGATTCTTCTCTCGAGGAATTTTACTATTTCTGTCAACCAAATGTTTTCCTGTTATTAATTAGTTACTCCTTGTGACTGCACTAAAACATCAGAAAAATACTTAAAAGTCTTATTATCAGTGCTCAGTTGCAAACTGAATTAAGTCTACTGTTTGCTCGCACTAACACCTGCATGTAGATTTTATCAACCGATGTGATTTGACCAAATAAAGTGAATGTCTTAACTTACTGTCACGGCGAGATATCTGATCACTCTCGAGGGTGACTGCTATTTAGGTGTCCCACTTCTCAGAGGACAATCAATTTTTTCAAAATCTATTTTTATTTTTTTCCACGTCATTCCCGCGGTTTGCCCTTAAGTAACAAACCAATTCAAGCTTTGATATTTCTTTGGACAATCACATGAGATGTCAGTCACTTACTTTGGGGGGGCGGCATAAGGAAACAATTGTATTCTGTCACCACTTGTGGACATCAGATGACCGTTGCTCATTTGTAGTCGTAAAAAGTACTTCGCGCGCTTTGAGTTCTGGTATGTTTTTTCCTCCAGTTTGGAGACGCAGAGATATCTGCAAGAGAAAAAAATCGTCTACTGACTTGATGAATTGACGGAAAATCAGTTACATTTATCTAAGAGGTGAATAAAGTCGTCCTTAAAACGACTCATGGAAAAACCTCAGTCGCGTTTCGCGTTTCGTGTTTCGCAGTAACACTGCAGTTTTTTTTTTCACTCTTCGATAGACAGGGAACGAGGGGTGTCACCATGAAGTTCACATCGAAAAGAGGTATAGAAATGGCGAGAAAATTATACGAAGCAGAGGAAAATTATTGAGTATATTGGAGGCTCCAAACGCATCCCAAAGTCGTAAAAAATAATTAATCTAACCCCCGAAAATGTTATACTCTTGAATTTGCTGATGGTAGCATCACGCCTGTCATAGTACCTCACCCAATTCACCAAAAATCAGGAGTGACACATTTTTGGTTGTGATTTCGACCCAATTTTGTGATGCATAAAGTGCACAGATAGTTTCTAAATAGCATTGGACTGTTTATGTCAATTTTTTAGACAAAATTATTCGCTCATGTTGAGGAGCGTGTGTCAGCGTTTGTTTAAACTGTTTAGTTAACCCCACCCTGTTTTGCAAAACCGAAATTTTTAATTAGTTAATGGTAGCAAAAACAGGGAACCTTCATCTGATTGAAATTTTTACCGGCAAAACAGAATTTTCAAGAAAAATTATGACCTAGAATTGTCACCTAATTTGAATTCGACCTTTGCTATGGCGTAGTCAGTATAAACATATCAATTTCAGAAAGCTTTCGGTCCGATACAAATTTTTTGTTTTATTTAAAAATGTCGCTGACCTGAGAAAATCTCCTTATTTAGCTGGTCCACACGGCGGGAGTTTAATTGGGGTAGCGGTCACATAGAGTATATTAGTTAAAAGTTTGAGTGCCATAATTATGTCCATTTACGTCTGATGGCAAATATTACGACTGAAGTAGAACTCGGCTTTCTCTATGTCAAAATTTACTTTCCAAGATATCAAAATAACTGACTCTTTTCGCGCAATTTTATATAGCAAGCCTTTTGCTCGGATTTTTTGTCTTTCCGCCAGTTTCTTGTTGACCGGTTTTTTTCCGACCAATCGTAAAGAGTTTCAACACACCTGCTATACGCGGTTATAACGGAATGTCTCTATAATTTACTCAATTTCAACATTTTTAAAGTTGAATCTGGCCAGAAAATCAAAAAAGGTTTTCGAATATAGTAATGGAGTGAATTGTACAATTAGATAACTTGCACTTTGATACGAAATATTGCTCAGAATTATCTCTACTACATAAATACTTAAGTGCTAACAGTGAGTTTGTTCTGAAGCTTGTGCATTATAACACAAGTTATATTTAAAATTGACGTTACCACAATTTTCATCCACCATTGGGTCTGAGTGTGTTACGCCATCGTTCCCTAAAACAAGCGTATTTCAACTAAAAAGAGTCGTTCAAGTTGTTGTTAAGCGCTCGCTATCTCGCTAAGCTAGTCTGAACTCGTTTTTCACAACAAGAAGGGCAAAAGGACGATTGAAATCACATGTGCGCTCAAGTGTAATGAAGGTATTTCAACTTATCAACGGACAATCACTGTTATTTTACCTGCAGCTTATTCATGTGCACTGTAAACGGTCGATGATATCTTTGGGTGGAGTTTATAAACCGTAAAAAAATCCATTCTTACGATATACTTCACTGGGTTAACCAATCAATATTTCCCAGCTTACTTAGGGACTATTCTAAAACAGCCTGTGCTCGAATTCTCCGGAAATCAACACACATGTATATATTTGGGGTTTCTCCGTGAGGCTATGAACCGCAATTGTCAAAGCTCGCTATCTCGTAATTTCTGCGAGGAAAGCGAAAAAAAGTACGATCGATGTAGATTGTCGAAACAAATCATAAAACTACGCATTTAACTTCAGATGAACGCTATGTTAGCTGACATCACTGACGTTCTGAGATTCAATCGTGTAACAAGGTTTATTTGACAGCTGCGATCGAATGAAAAACGTATTGACCAAATTCTCGAGGTGAATCGACGCTTCTCATTAATATATTTCAAAATGAATAAGAACTGCTTGAACTTAGACAATAAAAAGTATCCTTTCGCATATACGTACCATTAATTCGTCAAAAGTAGTTAAGGGGTACTGTACTAAAGTAATACATAGATGTTGAGTACTTTGTTAATATGTTCAATACAATACACTCTAATTCAATTTTCTATCGACCTCCTCGATTGTTGCGTTCGTGTTAACCTCTAGTTATCTTTCGTGTTCGTGATTTATTCTTTATTGTGATTTTGCTTGTTATCCGTGAAAATAATCCTTAGGGAGCCAACAGGTTGAGCTATATTTCTGAAGCGCTTTACTTGAGGTAAAAATTGACGGTTTGAAACTTCGTAACCAGCGAGAACATATGGTCTAAATGGTGAGGATTTCTTTCATCCAAATAAGTGCTTCTTTTCTAAAACGGTATCAAAAACTTCCAATCCTAAAAGAACAAAAATGTTCTGTCTAAGGTTTTGTATCAGTACCGGTTCATGTTTATGAAAGTTATTCGGCCAATTTCTAATTAATAAGTGACCAGCGACAAATTGTAGGTGGCCGGAAAAATTCTCGCCAAACAAGAACGCTGTGCCGGGTAAAAGAAGAGAAATTTCCCTTGGAACTTTCGATAGGAAAGGTTAAAATGGTTTAGTTCCGTCGCCCTCTGTAAAATTTCCCCCCGGACCGCGTGTCTTATTGATTTATCAATGGGTTGAGGCGGAAATTTCCAACTAAATTAAAGCGCCACATTTTTACAACCAAATTAAAAACTCAATTTCAGGTTAAACACCTGTATAATTGGAACATAAAACTACAAAGTTTTGAAGATTTAAAAGAAATTCCTTCGCGAAACTTAATTCAAATAGCTCTCCCTTTCAACAGCAATATTAAGTTGAAAGAGTTAAACAACATGCGGTTACTGTATCAGTTCTGGGAAAAATTGCCCCATCTTGTGTGGTTAACGACAGTTCTTTTCTTTAGAGACTAAAATCTTGTCGAATTTAGATATTTCCTTAATTGTACTAGCTATCGGAAAAGGGTAATATTTAAAAACTTACACCTACTATTAGACACTTGTGACAATATTGTGCATTTAAGTAACAAACCGTTGTCCTTACGATTACAATTTCCGAGAAATTAATATTGAACGTGGTATTGCACGAAATATTTTATTTGTAGAGTTTTTTTCCAATTACCTTCATCTTTGGAGGGAGTGTGTTTTGATAGGGCCTGAAAATGCGATCAGATGTCATTTCAGGTTACCTCATTTCCAAAATTAAACTCCGCATCAAGCGACACTTTGTCAATATCCAGAGGACTCACTTTTGAGTATTGAATAATCAGCCACTCAAGTTGAAATATTAACAATTGACGCAGTATTCACAAAGTACATCTCAAGTTCGGCCCAAATCTAACATTTTATTTATTGACTCCTTTCCTTAGGGTTCCGGGTCGCTAAATAGTCTGAATGCCGGTAGAAGTCAATTTTAGTAATGAAGAACCTACAGTAGAACAAAGCTTTGATGTTGTGAGTGGGTTACTATTCTGAAATGAAACCGCGAAAGGGAGAAAATCGAGGGGAAAAGTGTTCAACCATCAAAGTTGGAAGAGGTAAGCGAACGAAATTGCCATTTGTGAAAACATGCAAAATTTAAAATTCACCCATGGATTCGAGCTGGTTATTATACACATGTTAAAAACTCAGACATGGTTTGATGCTACTCTGGTTTACAGATTTAATGAATGCAACCGAAGAAGTTACGATTCATAGACCCAACGTTTCGACACTCCTGTCTAGTGCCTTCATTAGGGGTGATCTAAACTAGATGAAGGCACTAGACAGGAGTGTCGAAACGTTGGGTCTATGAATTGTAACTTCTTCGGTTACATTCATTAAATCTGTAAACCAGAGTAGCATCAAATCATGTCTGATTGTCCACCTGGTTACCGTGTGAACTATAATATATGTTAAAAACTCCTTTGGACTGCTGTATTTTCTTTCACGGATTTTTGACGAAATATCGTTTTATTGACGACGTAAATTTATTGACAATCACTTTTTGTTGGGAGTTTGACTGTCTTGCACGAACACTTATTTAGAAATGAGCAGTTCCATTACCGCATGACTAAGCGATATTTTGGATTAGTTTTGTTATAAAAAAGTTGCAGTTGAAAAAATGGAAAATGTTACTTCCAGTACCATGTTCATCTGATGTGTTAATCGCGTCACTATGATTAATTCCAGCTATAATTATTGTCTAATTTTTCAGTGTAAGTAACAATCGTTTATAGTTTTAAGTCAGATATAAAGCACTAAAAATGGCCAAGATCGTTTCTGTAGTCGAAGATGACAATGCAAGTTTTCTATTTTGCGTCACAGATTCCGGAAGGGTGAAAGTTTTCGTGCGAGTGCGTCCTCCTCGACCGAATGAAAACAGTCGGAAAGATCAGATTGCTGTGAATGTTGAAGAGCTCTCCTCGAAGGTGAGTGTAAAATGCCACCTCTTTCTTATTTACAGGTAATGATTCCTAAAATCGGTATCACTCAATTTCTGACTGAGTTGCACGTACGTGTTACCCTCGAGAGGAGTTAGTTTCCGAACCGCGAGAACGCGCGAGATCCTGTGAAGACACTTCTGCGTAAGTCGACGAGGTCAGGTAAGTTTTTTTCTCAAACTCGTGCGATTTCGGGTCAGACAGCATAATAGTCGTAAAATAAATTTCTAAAACAGGGGAGCAGAAGCCTGTCTTGTATACGTGACAATTACATGGTTGGATTCACAACGCAACATGTTCAGCCAAAACAAATATCACGAGACAAAACAATCAATATAGACTTAATAATATAATGTTCGTCACGCGCGTGTGAACGACATATTTGGTCAGCGGGCAGTTATTTGAAGAGGAACTCGCCAGAGGCGAATTGTGTAGTTTCCATCGTGTTCGAGTCTTCCTTTGTGGTTATATGTAATTCTTGGCGCTTGAAATGGCTCTGAGCGATCAACTCATGAACGGAAAGGAATCAAGTACACATCCGGTGGTTTACATCTCGAGGAAAGAGACTTTTAGTGCGAGTCATCGTTTACACAGTACGAAACTGAGCGACGAAGAGAATCGACGAATATTTGGGAAGTGCAATAACAAGAACGGACACGGGCATAATTATACTGTGAAGGTGACAGTTTGTGGACCAGTGGACCCCCTAACTGGCATGGTCATGAACTTGACGGACTTAAAAACGCACATGGGTAGCGTTTTGGAACCTTTGGATCATAAAAATCTTGACTTGGACGTACCATACTTCAGCGATGTGTGTTCAACAGCAGAGAATATTGCTGTGTACATTTGGAAGTGCTTATCAAAACGTCTGCCCGAGGGAGTTTTGTTTGAAGTAAAAATCGACGAAACTGGCAAGAATTCTGCTCGTTACAGGGGTGGAATGAGCGCTAATCTCCCGTTTGACGTATTATAAGCACAAGGAAGATTGTCAACATTAACAGTAGTATAATTAGAATCGTCATTGTTGTTGATTTTTTTTTCATGGTATTCAGAACTAAATACTATCTGAAAACTGCGTCAGCAACATCCGATTTTACAACTTTTTCATACAGGATACTTCTACCTCCTATGTCGATAGATATCACGGCGATTCAGTTAAAACATTTCACTTTCGTTTTGTTGAAAGTTTTTAAAAGAGCTTAGATATTTACATCAGCAGTTGATTGGGGTGTTATTTTGAGATCATGGAAACATGCTGGTGACAATTCAGATGTTTATGTGTTATCTTATGTAAATACCAAAAAAGTCCACTAGTACTCAAATTACTTAAATTATATTAAATAAATTATATTAGAGTAACTTAAATTAGACGAACTGTTAAAGCAAAAATGGGATTGAAAGTTCACTTATATAACTTTGATATAAAATATAGAGGAAAATCTAATTTATACCATCTGTGATGAGCTTTATGAAGTGATAATTTTTTCTTGGGTAGGAAATTTTTAAAAATGCACACTTTTCTTTTGATGCACTAATCCCTCTAAATGAGAGAAATCTCAAATATATCTGATATGACTTGAGATTTTCAGTTAGTGCCATTTTTACCATGTGCATGTACCAATTATTTATTTATTTGTTTATTTATTTATTAACTTTGCCTTACAACAACAATCAAAATAAGTAGATTAAAAAAAAAAAAAAACAGAGAAAATGACAAAAAATGGCAGGGACACTGCAACAGCGTAGCCAATTACAGAGGTCCCAGAATATAAAAGAAAATAAGACAAGAAGAGAGGAGGAAAGAAGCTATCAATCTATATTCAGCAAGTAATCTTAGAATTTAGTGGACGGACAGTATTACATTTTAAACAAATAGACTTGAAGGTTTCGGGATTATTTGGATTGTAAGGAAGAAGTAAACTGGCCAAATAGAAGTTGAACATTACGGTCTTAAATGAGTTCAGAGTTTGGGTTTCAATGTTAATGATACTGGCTGAGTTTTTCCAAATCTGACAAGTTCTGATAAAAAAGGACTTTTGATAGGTAGTAGTTTTGCATTTTTTAGGAACAAATTTGATGACAGTGTTAGTGTAGCGCATGGTTCTTGCAACACGCTTTACAGGTAATACAGAACCATTTAAAGAGACAAAGTTAAGCATAGCCTTGTAGAAGAATATAATGTCCAAAAATTTGTGCCAATATGTGATTGGTAGAATTTTCAGTGATTGGAGTTGTGTCCTCTAATCTATGAATGTTGAGAATGGCAAACATAAGATGAACTTTGTGGCATGTCTTTGGATGGAATCTAACTTCGAAATTAGTTCAATGGATTGAGTAGTCTTTCCTTTTGTTGTAGAAGGATTTATTTTAATTCCAAATTGAGGGTGATTTCTTTAAACATTTTGAGTGTTCAATTGAAATTTGCAATATACAAAGTGATTTTTGCATATTCATGCAAAAATTTTGAAACTTATGTCAACCTGATGGACCAACTATAGTATACAGAACTTCTGAAGTATTATGATTACTGGTCTTTGAGATACTCTTCATAATGATTAATTGGTTGAATAAATAAAATTTTACAGTATTGAAGATGCTGTGGCTTTAAGTTTTCAAGCTGGGCTCTGGGCCAAGTGGTTTGGGTTTGACACCTGTAATGTTATTGTGTTGTATCTTTGGGGTGAGACACTTCACTCTCATAGTCTTCACAGTGTCTCTGTTGTCTTTAGCCAGAAGTGTATTTAAGTATTGGTGAACTTTTGGGAATCCTGAGAAAAATTTGAGGGAGTAGTCTGTGATGAACTAGCATCCCACCAAGGAGAGGGGGTGAGGGGGAGAGGGGGGGAGGATATCAGCACTATCAGCTGTTTCATGCTACAGAAACCAGAATTAGCTTCAGCAGTGTGGGACTCATGGAATGAGTACAGACTTAGCTTTTTATGCCCTAGCACCAGTATGCATGTACTCCAAACTGTTTTCTATTCATTTTCTACAGTGCTGACAAGGAGAATTTGTTGAACAATCAAAAGCTTCTGTAGTTGGTGATCATGTTCTTTATTCTTGTGACCTTAATGATTCATTCAGGGGTGATATGGTAACAAGAAATTAGATGCTAGTCACTCTGAGGGGTTAAAGGGTTAACCAGTACCTTATAGTAAAGAAGGATGGGATGTGTTGTAGGTCAGTGGTTAACACTGGATATTGGATAGAAATATGTGGGAGGTTAGTTGGCCTTCAAAAGAATAAGGTCTTAATGGAGCTGGACAGCAGAAAAATAAACTTGAATGATGCTGTAAATTTGGTTAAAACATATATTGATGATCTGAACCTCCACCATAAACCTACCCCTACAAATCTGCAGCAACTGAAAAATAAGAAATTGTCCTTCTCCTAAGAAGGCCTTTAACTTGAAAAAGTTAAGAGGGACTTGATGTTCAGGAAAATTGATTTATCTCAAACATTTTTTTCTATGTGAAAACTGTATCATAGTTGTGTGGAACAAGGTCACAAATTTGCTGTATAAGGCACTTTTCTGCAGAAAAACCAGCCCATTCTTTAAGGTTTTGAAGTCAATAAAAGTGCAAACTTGTTAACACTTTAACTTTCTACTTTCAGATCCATGTCACTGATCCCAAGCACAGTTGGGAGAAGACTTTTAATTTTGACCATGTTTTCCCAAAGGAGGCCACAAATCCAGAGGTGCGTTGGTTTAAATTTTAAACATGATACAGCTGATATTTTGTTTTTTGAGATACAGATAGAAAATATCTTTAGCATTCAAAAAAAGTTTTTGAAAACTTGTTAAACACGATCTTCAAAAACTTGTTTCCAAGGTGTGCAGTACCATAAGCAGACCTTTGGTGAATGCTGCTTTGAATGGATTCAATGGAACACTCATGGCGTATGGACAGACAGGATCAGGTATGAATTTTGAATTTCTCTTGTCCTCTTTCATGGGTGTAACTGGGAGAGGAGGGGTGGGGGAAAACTCGATAGTGCTCGTATCCCCTCCCCTTTAGGAAATGATTTTCCTCTTGGTCAACAACATACAAGCCTGATAATTCAGGTGATGAAAACGCTTGAATACAAAGAATCTGCATGGCATAAATTTAATCTAGTGTTAGATTCCTCATATGCCGGTCTCCACCACCGCGTGAATATGAGCCCGCTGACTCATAGGGTAGACCAGCTGTATAAGGTACTTCACGTAAGGTGCACGTAATTCGTAACCGTAACCCGCCCTTTTAAAAATCTTTGCTATGCCCGTGTCTTTGTTGTAGAAATTAGATTTACAATTTTCATAGACGTGCCCTCATCATTATTCCAGGTAAGACCCATACATTGATGGCACCTGATGGGATAACAGCTGGTGTGGTTGAAAGATGTTTCAAGCGAATCACAAAGGATGATTATCATGATTACAAGGTGACAGTAATATTGATCAAGCGGTAACCTCAAAAAGTCAGAGTGACCTAGTAGACCAATTAGATATCGAAGACAATTAAGGTGACTTGCACCAAAGCGCGGGAAACTCATAAGCGTGGGAAACACGGCACGGGAAACAGTAATATTTATTGAGTGGTAACCTCATAAGCCAGAGTGACCTAATGGGCCAATGAGATATCGACGACAATTAAGGCAAATTGCGCAAAAGCGCGGGAAACTCATAAGCGCGGGAAAATACAAATATTTATTGAGTGATAATTTCATGAGCCAGAGTGACCTAATTAACTAGAATGGTTTTCTTAGTCAGATGAATCGATTTAAGTAACGAAAGTTGATTTCAGAACGTAGCCCTCAGCAAAAGGCCTCGGACAACATTTACTTGACAACAGTTTGCCCCAGCATTGTTAAGTTGCTTTGGTTAATGAAAAAAGATGTATTTGCTTGAATTGACAATATCGGTGTTACTTTGCAGGTAACAATGTCGTACTTGCAAATTTACCAGGAGAAAATATATGACCTTCTCAACTCAACGAACAAGGTGGAACTTAGCCTGAGAGAACACCCAGTTAAAGGTTTGTGGACATATACATCGAAAAAGATACACTTTTTGCGATCCAGTGCTCATCAGGTTTCCCTAAACTAGCCCTCACCGACTTAAAAAAGAGACTTGAATAGCCATCGAACAGGTTCTCACTATCAGTGGTGAAGGACGCACGTTCCCCCCTCAAGGCCTGCTTTCCCGCCGGTGTAGAAACGCTCGCGCCGAAGCGATCATGATATAATGAAGGCCTGCTCGCAGACTAAAAATTAAAGGACATCAAATTTCCAGTGAAACGTTTTTTAATTTTTGGTTTTCAATCCTCAGGTGTTTATGTAGAGAATCTTACGGAGTTTGTGGTACGAAGCCCCTCAGAAGTGTTACATCTGTTAGCTGTGGGAAAGAAAAGGCTCGTATTTGCTGAAACTAAGATGAACAGGAACTCAAGCAGGTACCACTCAATATGAGTTCCATTCCTTCCAATGTTGATACTAAGTTCATTGCAAGAGTCAAAAGGTATTAATCGATAGATCGGGTTACCAACTCGGGAAAGGTTATCCTTTTTATTTTAACATTTTCCCCAAGTCAAAAATCCTTATTTTACTTTTAATTTTAAAGAACTAATCATTTTCTTAAAATCAAGTGACAAAAACCTTATTTTGAGGTTGTTCACGGAAAAGCCGGCTTTTTAGTAGATTCAGGTTTGAGAACGATTAATTTTAAAAGAATAGAATTATTTTGTTTCACCTTAGTGGTATCGAATTTATGGTCGTTTATAGATGATGGCACCATGCATGAGTACGAAAAGTGGTTTTCTTTTGCTTCCAGGTCCCATTCTGTTTGTCAGTTGACGATTGAAAGAACTCTTAACAAAAATAAGATGAACGCAGAGGGAATTGCTAAACATGGTAAGATTGTATTCTTCTCCACGTAAGGAAAGCCAGAGATCACGGAATCACTACTATAAGATCTGAAATCCCCAATGCAGCTTTCTTGACTTATCATGACAAAGAGTCCAAGAAACTGTCCAAGAAAGAATCACTTTGGTTCATGCTTTTAGCTGTGCCTAGGCCGAAATGATTGTATATACCTGGAAAGTTTGAAGAGCACTTAAATACTAGATTTGCTCTCAGCTTTGCCTCGAGCCACTCTTACGCCTCCATTGTGCTCTTAAAACCTTCCCACTTGTGTCCATACCTCGATATACAAACGCTAAGCATGAACCAATTGGATCAATGTCAGTATCTGAACAACTGTGCACCTACCCTTCCCTTAACCCAACGCTAACCTTAACTTGTTATCAGTTGACTTTTGTTGGATTTGAGGAGGGTTAGGTGTGCAGTTACTCAGATAATTAGATTGATCCAACCAATTCTTAAGTACACAAAGTAGTTTTCGTCGAAAGCTCGAGAAAAAATACGAGACCATGTCTTAATATTGGCGCAAGGTTTTTTAGAAAACGCAACCTTGTAATTTCTGTTTCTTTCTAATATTAATTATGTACAAGTAATTAAGGGACAAAATGTCATTTTATAGGTGCAAATGGACGAGATTCTCGGGATGGTCTGGTACCAAGTAAGAGCAGCAGTGAGGTTTGTAATTTACAGTTAGTAATTTAATGTCAGTATCTGAGCAATTGCACATCTTCTTGTCTTCCAACCCAACGTTACCCCTAACTTGATATCATCTGACCCTTAATTGATGTGTAAAGGGATCTGGAGGGGTAAGTGCGCAGTTTCTCAGATGATAACATGGATCGAAAATACTTAACATTTACAAGTGAACACATTCTACTTTTCCTAAACAGGATTCAGGGGAAGATTTAGATGCTGAGGCTAGCGAAGAGGTAGGACTGTTCACTTGAATTAATATCTGTTTTTAAGAAAACGTGTGGGATTTAACTCATAATTGCGCTGAAAGTTTCTACTGCGATGATTTTAGTCACGATGCAAAAATCACCTGTGCGTATTTTTTTGCAAGCATAAATACTACTGCTTTACTAAGATCAGAATTTTGTAATTTGTCTAGAATGAAGACGCGGAAGACGATTCGTTCGCCAAAATGGTGGCCTTTGATGATGATGTGCTTATCAGAGGACGAATTTATTTGTATGTATACTACAGTACTTCAATTTAGTCGTGATTTTTACCGGATGGAGCAATTAATTTACAGATCTAATTATCAGGTGAAGGAATGCCAAAACTAACACATCTCTGTGAAATTCGCATTGGTTCTTCTTACATTGATCTGTAAATGGTTAACAAAATTCGCGCCATCTTCTCAACCAATCACGAACTGAAACCAATGGCGACTTTTCCCGCGTTTTAGACAATTTACTTTGAGTTCTTAGTTTCTCTTCCTGATATTTAGGACTCATTTATCTCTGTTTTGATTGACCATCAGGATAACTTCTTACTACACTGAATAAAAAAGCGCTCTATATTGCTTATTGAGTCAATAACACTTTGTTGTACATTTAGGTGCGACTTAGCCGGTAGTGAGCGACTCAAGAAAACCCAGGCGGAGGGAGAAAGACTAAGTGAAGCTCAACATATTAACTTGTCACTGCTTGAGTTGGGGTGAGGATTTCTTTGTTAATATAGCTAAGTTATTTAATGTTAGACGAAAAATATAGAATTTTCCATGTAAGCGTGTTCGCGAAAGCTGGTTGAGCCTGCCCTTTTTATCGGAGGTGTCGTTCGACAACGTGTCGTGTTCCATAACGACAAGCAACGTGGAACTTTTGAAATGTTCGTGCTTCTCTCGACTTAGCTTGGAAGATATTCGATCGTGCTCCGAAAGCGAACATCTTCTCGAAAAAAGAGAGGTAACCCTCATTCTCATCCTACTCATTCTTTTCTGAATAGGATTCTTTTCTGATTAAACTTAAGACTTGGAGTAAGTTTTATTCTATTGTAATTGCTCTTAGAAATGTCATCCAGGCACTGGCAGAAGGGAAGAAGACTCATGTTCCATTCCGGAATTCTACTCTAACAAGGCTCCTTCAAGAAAGTTTGGGTGGAAACTGCAAAACCAGTTTAGTGGTAAGTATTAAATCAAAGCAAATGACAGAATTTACGTATAGAACCGTGCGACATTAGGCGAAAGCGTCCTAAATTATACGAGAACGTCTGAAATCGCTCGGAGCCCCTCCATGTTTGATAGGAGAATTTCGATAATGATCGAACAACGTCTGATGTGAAATGATATCGTGATTAGTAGTCATTCAAGAACCCTTGTATAGCTTTCTTTATGTGAGTAAGTCGGCGATGGTAGGATGGATAGACACGAGCACACTGTTTGCAATGTTAATGAGAACCTTCTTAGGTCATAATATGGCTTACAAATCATGGCTTGAAAAAAAACAAATTTCCCTTTAACAGTGAAACTGAAATGACGCGCTCATTAAACATACTATTTATGATTGTGTCAGGTGTGTGTCTCTCCAACCATGAGTGACGTTAGTGAGACTAAAAGTACTTTGTTTTTTGGATCCCGAGCAATGAAGATCACAAATACTGCTTACATTAACGTTGAGGTAAGAGTTATGTTACAAAGAATCATATGCGTTGGTGTATTGTTCCGTTTAGACAGTGAAAACTGCTTATTAGAGCGCGCTACGTCAACTTTACCTTGTACGAGAACGTAGTCGCCATTGAACGAGAATTTTTTTGTGGTGCATACTTAATGACTGAACGTGCAGGTTACAAATCCTTTAGCTTGACCTTCCAAGTTCTTTGAAGAGTTCTTGACTTTTCAGATGAGAAATCCAATGTTTTAAAGATGTACGGATGGGGAGGAGATCATGGGAAACTTTCCAAAGACTTGCATTTCGCGGCTCTATTGGGCTAATTTTCCCCGACTCAGTATCAAGACCCGATAAACAACCTTTTGAATGATATATCTTCATTGTCGTCTCTTAATGTGTTTCCATGTTCATCAACAACAAATCCTTAATCTCTTGAGACGTCACGTAAGGTCATTTTCTATTCTTACTTTCTATCGCGTCGATGCAGAGCTTTCTTAAATTCTTTTCCACCTTTTATTTACACTGCAGGTTGATTACAAGAGACTTAGTGAAGATCTCTCGAAAATTGTGGATAAGAGAGGTAAACTCGGAAAACGTTTATTTAACTTCAGCCAGTTTCTCATTCAGCACAATTTAACTCTGCCAATCAGAGAGAAGTTTTTTTACCACGTGCTAAAAATTAACCAGCGAACCAATCATTGGCACCCAAGATGGCTCAAGCTCTCGCCCAATCTCTTCTCTGATTGGCTGTGTGCTTGAGTGCCCCGTATACTTCACCGGGAATAATTTTATCTCAAGGATTCTAATTGTAAATAGATAATAGTTACGAGTGCTTAAAAACATAAAATTGAAGCTAAGATAACCATTTCTTAACTGAAACTTTTTCCTTGAAGAAAAAGATCTTGAGGATCTAAAGCAAACATTCGAAAACAGGATAGACCGACTTAAACACGAGGCGGAGATGACAGTGACAAATACCATAGCAGAGGCCGACAGAGTGGTGGCATCTGTAAAGAGTCTCTACGAAAAGGAGGTGGATAATATTATTACTTTACATCTTTAGTCTGGTTTGGGATGACTATTGTTTTTCAAATGGTTTGAAAAGTTGGAGATGTAAAGCACAAAGCTGAACTCTTTGCAGCCTCAAGGTTTCGTAAATTTGCTCGTAAAGCTGGTGATAACAACGTGATCTGACAACTGATTCAGTAGTGGTGGCCTCCAGACTGTAAATCTGTGTCAGTGTTCTCAATCTTTAATCATACCTTTTCCATTTTGGCCACTCCCTTGTTATTTGGTGTATGTCTACACTGTCAAGCTATTATGTTATAATTATTTCCATTCAAGGCGATTCTTTTTGTCGCTGAAATTACTTATGTATAAGCTATCGAAATGCAGCTTCAACTTTACACCCGAAACGTGACGTACACTCGATCTGTGTTGTGCGCGTGCTTACTATTCTGTTCCAAACCTTTTTCAAATGAACAAATAGATATCGCTGCGAGCTCTGCTAAAAGGGAAGGTGACACGCCTCAGCTTCACGTTTGAGAGCGGAACAAGTAAAATTGATTTCACTAAAAAAAAAAAACGAGTTCTTAATTGTGTGAACTTCACAAATTTACCTATCGTTTTATTTTCCCTCTTCAGAAATCTAGTTTGGAGAGCGACGTCAAAAATCTCAACTCCAGATTAGACGAAGAGAAAACGCAAACAGAAAACCTACAAAGTCAGATAACAAAGGCAAAAGGCAAACTACAAGAAGACATGCTCAGAGCAAGAAGCACTCTTCTGACAGATATTATCTCTATGCAGCTGTTTTACGCACTGAAGGATCTGCCCTTAGACTTTGGTCATCACCTCTCGGAAAACGACATAAGTCTCAAGGATATCTGTGCCCAATGGGCTGCAACAAAATGCAAAATTCTGGAAAACACAGACTTACTTTTAGACCTGCTTAAAAGTTATTTGAATGAGATGGATTCTAAAGGAGAAAAAATGTTGGAGGATGGTGGAAGTCTGAATTGTTTCGGTTGGATGTGAAGAATTGTTTAAATGCCGATAAAAGATTGTTGAGTGCCTCTGAAGAAGTTTCATTGTACATGACGAATAAAACTGATGATGACAAGGTTGTTGCATCGACGGGTTTTTGCGAAATTCTTCCGTGTTCCGAATTGAATACCGAAAGCTTTATCCTATCGACTGAGCAAAATTTCGGAGATAGCGAAGAGAGTTCCAATATTAGGGACAAGCTGGTTTCACTAAAGAAATTTATGGACGACAAAGCGCTAGGTTTCCTAACTAAGGTATTTGAGCTTGATGTAGGAAATGAAAACAGACTACTAAACACGAGGCAAGACATTTACGGAAGGATTCAAGAATTGTTAAAGCAAGAAGGTACACTGCTAGGTAGGTATCTAAAAATTACCTCATATTTATTTTTATCTTAATGCTTTTTTTTTTCCGGATAAAATATTCTGACAATCGTCGAAGTATTTTACCATGTCTGCGAAGGGAAGAGTACTTGTCGTACTAAGTGTACCCGACGCTATCTTCAATGCTAAGAACATACCGTCTTACACGTTTGTGTCAAGAAATTTTACATACGTCGGCTGCATTTTTAGAGAAGATAGGTGCAATGCTAGAAATAACTCTAGATAGCCAAATGTACTTAGAACAGACATTTTCGCACTTGTCATGATTGTACCAACCGGAGTAGATTGCGACAAACAGATGTAGATCAAGAGGAAATTGAAAAATAAAAGTACAACGAGAATATGTAGATTTTTTCACCCAAGTGTTAATCAAATATCTCACACAGCTGTACGTGAGTATTGTTACATAAATTTTATCTTTAGATTTTAAAGAGAATGCAGAACTATCACATGTTGCTGACGCACTCAGCCTTCTTGACCACTGTCACAGTCACGTGATCGTAGATAAAGCGCTACAAGGCGCCTTGTTGGTTTTGGAAAACAACGATGTCATTAAGAGGTATAACGTCATCCAAAAGCAGAAAGACGTCTTGCAAGACGAAAACGAAACGCTGCGGAAACAGATCCAAATTCTGCAGAAAGAGGCTGAGAAGCTGAACGGAAAACTAAACGAGACTTCGACTTCGTTATGTGATGTAAAGAAGAGTAAGGAACGACTAGAGGATGATCTCTCTTCGGTTTTTCAACTTTACAATATGACTAACACTGAGCGAAAAGTAAACATGGAAAACGACGAGAACTTAGACAGGAGCACCATTCTGCAGGAAAATGTCACAACTCTGTTGGAAAACAACGCCAAACTACAAGAGAAGCTCGAAGTGTCGGAGAACGACAAAGAAAACTTGAAATCTGAGTTAACGTCTGTTAAGGTGAGTGGTATGACAACTTTCTGTAATTTCATTTGTTTACAATCTCACGTGACCTGTTAGCTTTTTAGACATTACCTCGGGCTCTCCTGGTTTATGATCAGCGGTCATCAATTCTAGCCATTCTTATACCTTGAATCATCTCTCAGTGGCCACATTAAATGAGACAGTGTCAGAAATGTAATTTTAACTACAAAGTGGACGCCAGCTTAGAATTTGCTGTGAAAGATAATCTTAAGACCTCATCATGACGAATAGGACAAAATTTTGTCACAGATTTTCCCACAGCACAAACGAGTTTGACAGTAATGACGTTGAGATCTGATGCAAACAGAACACAATAACGCAGCTGTTTTGAAGGTGTACGTATACTGTTAGCCAAACGACAAATGGAACAATACCGGACTTATCGACTGCCCAGGCAGGCCACATGATGCGACATGTCTCTACTGGACTTTTGTGATATTGCAAAGACAGACTACCAAACCATCGCTGGAGATGGAAACGAATCTGACAGACCAGTCTTCAAAGCAACTGTATAACTTTACAGCGGACTTTTTAAGTCAGTTAATCCTTTTCAACGATAAATCGATTGCTTCCGCTTGTTACGATGACCGTGTACCGAAAGCAAGTCCAAGTCACTCTTTAGTCGTTTATAACAAATTCTGTGAAATCATTTCCGTTACAAATGTTATATCTAACATTTCTGACGAAGTGAAAATTACAATGACGCAGACTTTTTTGGAAGGATTTAAGACCAGGTGTTATCAATTCATCAGGGCTCTCCCAGGAGGCTATGGGAAAGGATAACATTAAGGACGCGCAAAGCTTGAAGCTTTCCTTTGCAGTTCAGACGTCGTAAACAAGATGGCACTGACGAAAAAGATTGTATTTATTTCGCACGCATTACGGATCTGCTTACAGGACCATTTCCGAGACATGCCAAATTCCTCAACCACCCTCTGATAACTTTGGAAAATCAACATCTGCATGGCGTAATTCGTCACAGATTGGGACACGTACCTATCTGTGACAGCATCTGCATTCAAAAAAGAGTTCGTCCACGGATTCCAGCACTGCTATTTTCTGAAGTATATTCGCACAAAGGGAATAAATGACTGTTATCAAGTGCAGCTTTTTTCTGGAGTAAAATGCAAGCATCAACTAACAAGGGGTCTTTCAGCCTGGCTCAACAGAAGACTGATGTATCACACGCTGAGTGCGGCAAAGCTCGAGAATGGGAAATGGAATTACAAATACAAGGCAAAAGCATAACAGGCACACCTCAGATTCAATGGGATAACTCTTGCACTTTATGAATGTATCACGTTTAAAAACAGCTAAAGTAGACTTAAAATGTTCATTTTTTAAAAATATTTTGGTTTCATTTTGTGGTTAAGCAAAAAGGATGATATTTTTTTTTGGGGGGGTTATCACTAGTTAAATAGTTTTTGATGACATGTATTCCTTCATAAAACAAAGGAAATAAAAAAAGACGCAAAAATATTCTTGTATTAATGTAACATAATCTTAATCTATTGTTTATATTTGTATGAATCATAGTTTATTTAAAATGTTGCGAATAAAACTTCCCCTGCGCATTATAGTTTATTCATACTTACATCCGTAGCTTACTTAGTCTTTTGGATGGTGAATTCGTCTTTAAGGTTTATTGGGAAAACAAGAGAAAAGGCAGTAAATAAAAGAATTATGGCAAGGTAACCGCATTTAACTCGACCCAAGACAAACATATTCACTACAACCAATCAAAGCTTAAGAAATACAACGAGAAGCGTAAGAAATCAAAGTACAAGAAAATTGCTTAAGTCGTGATTGGCTTTAATTTGGATGAAAGCGCAAATTTCTTGACCAATCACAAAGCGAAGTGAAGCCAACCAATATAATCCCGGATTAACACAACAGTCAAAGGACTGCGCATGCAGTGTGCTTTCAGGCTGTCAAAACCAAGTTGTCTGACGTGAGTAACAATCAATCAAACAAGCCAGTAAGTCACAGTGATTTTAAAAACGCTTTAATGTTTTTGGAAAGCTCAGAACAGAACTTGGCAATCAACAGGATACCCTTACTTGAAAAACTTTGTGTTCGAAAAGTTTGGAGTTTTATTTTTCCTACTTTTGTTTAGTTTTACAGATTTCTTTAAACTTTTTAATTTTTTCCACTTTCTTTGCGAGACAGTTCCTCATGTTTTTCTTTGAAATCTTGCATGAGAAATCGGCGCGCGGCCGGACAGAACATCGATCCTCTCGCGCATGCGCGATAATTAGAAAATTGATTTTTAACCTTCCATTTTCTTTCATTTCTCGCCTTTCTCTAACTTTTCGATTATTCTTTCCAGATTTTCTTTCGATCAATTTCACTGTTCTTATATAATACCCAGTTTTAATCCCTTCTCAAAACCGGAAAGAAATCGGAAGATTTGTAAATATGTATAATGCCTTGTCGGCAATATTGGTCTTTGACAGCGTTAGTCAATTTTGCTTTTTCCTTTGCGTTGCAGGAAGAATTAAAGAGACTAAAGGACGCATATTCGCAAAGTGAAAGGGGTACACAAACAGATTTGGTCCATCCATGTGAATTCACGAATCCCCTTTTGCAAGATCAGACAAAGGAATTTCCAGACCGCGATGGAGTAATTCAAGCGATTTCGTCCTCACTGTATGACGACCAATCTTGGTCGCTGGAAAAGGCGGCTTTTGCAGCCCAGTCAAACAACGTGGATGATGTTTCTTCTCTGAGAGCTGTTATCAACCATCGCCTCGGAGAAGAATGGTCCCTTGCCGTCCTTGAAAACGCCAGAATGAAATCAGAGCTCGATGACATTCTGGGTAGAATCAATGAAGAGAAGAGAAATCTTGCCAGCGAGTTGGCAGATTCGAAATTCCAAGCGGATGAGGTGAACAGTATGAAAGAACAGTTGAACGCAAAAGGCGAAGATTTTGCAGATGGACTTAGAGTTCTGATGGATGAAAACTCTTGGGAAAGTATTGTCAAAGAAAAATTGGATGAACTGTCCATAGTTCGTCAAGAGAATGAAAAGCTTATGAACGAATTGGATTCTTTGAAAAGCAAGTACAGTGATCCAGAGAAAGATGAAGAAAATGCTAACAAGATACATGAAAAAGAACTTGAGGACCTCTTCGAGAGAGAGAAGCAACTGACTACAAACATAACGCAAATGAACGAAAGGTGCTCATCTTTAGAAGAACAATTAAGTCGCTCTGCCTTGGAAAATATTAAATTGAAAGAGCAACTAAGGAAGTTGAACATGGAAGTAAGTGACGTTCAACAAGAGAAAGCTGAAATAACTGATCAGAAAATTGCTCTGGAGGAAAGCTTGCTAGAACAGCAAGAGAATGCCAAGTGCGAAATTGCCGCGGTAATGGAAGGGAAGGCGACTCTTGAGAGGCAGTTACAAGCAAAAACGCAAGAATTCGAGGAAGGAAAAACGTTATTGAAGTTGAAAGATGCTCGGTTGAGCAAAGTGGAAGCAGAACTCTTGGAGACCAAAGCTTATTATGAGGAGCTACTGCAGGAAAAGGTAGACGAGTTCGAGGTGGATAAACAGAATATGATGAAAGAGATCAACAGTCTGAGATGTTTGCAGGGACTGCCAGCGTTAAAAAAAGACAGCTTACAATCAAAGCAAGAGGTTAAGGATGGCTTAAAAAATGGAGAAAATCGGGTAAAGAGCAAGAAAAACAACAAACTTAACTCCGAGCTTACGCGCGCCAAAGAACAACTTGTGCGCCTTAAAGCGGAGCTCACACTGTCGAATATGCAAACAAGAAATCTCGGTTCTCAATTATCGTCACTACGCGAAGATAGCACGAAGCTGGAGGCAGAGCTTTCGACGGTGCGAGTTTCTCCGAGGAATTCCGGACAACGAAGAGCTTCGTTCAGCTGTTACGAAGAAACAGTGCGGCTGGAGATGGAGCTAGCGGAGGCGAAGGAGAGGATCATCGACTTGCAGGAAAAACTGTTGATTATTTACAAGGAGAAGTTTGCTTTGGAAGAGAAGATAAGTAGTTTGGAAGGGCAAAGAAACGGCCATTCGGAAAATGGCGAGAGGCCTTATTCAGCTAACAATGACCAAGAACCATTCTGTGACTTAGAGAAAACAAAAGAATTGGAGAGCAAGATTGGCCTATTAGAGGCTGAGAAAGAACGGCTTCAAAGAGAACTTGACGATACAAACGCTGATAAATCTCGATTAGAGAGTATTGAACACTGCGTACAGCAGTTAGTAAGCCTTGAAGACGAACATTTGAGAGTGAAAGACAGATTGAAAAAATGGGCTACAAATTCCAAAGACGAACAACAGTTAAACGAGATAAAAGTAAACATAAAAAAAATCACAGAGAAAAGCTACCTCAATGAATTACGAGTCATATCCGGAGAAAATCTTGTTCTTCAGGAGGAAGTCAATAGTTTGAAGGAGACAATCGCACAACTTGAAAGCGATTTGGAAGCTTTGAAGTTTAAGCTTTCCTTCACAGATGCAACACAAGACGTTTCTTTGGACAAGAAAACTGTTGCAACGCTACTCGTGTCAGTAAAACAAGAACGGGCCGAGTTACAGGCAGCTTTAAATGAGGTGCTTATCGAGAAGGATAATTTAAATGAAGAATTGACTGAAATAAAAGTGAAGTATGCAAATCTTCAAAGGGAATTTGCCATGACAAGTATAGTAAAGGATGATTTGGAGCTGGAGGTTCTTTCTTTGAAGAAAGCTAGCTTGACACGTGGACTTTCCAACTTGACACAAAGCAGTGAGGAGTGTAAAAGTGAAATGTCTGATTCGTCACTAGATGACAAACTGATGAATCGCAGCGATGGAAACGGAGTCGGAGAATCCATGGATAAAAAGATAGCATCGGCCGGCGGTGGAAGAAAGAGAGCCCCTGCAGTTAACAGTCGAAAAACGATGATCACAAAGAATCTCAAAGCTGGGAACGACTCGTTATCCTCTGGAAAGAGCACATCAAGTTCCTCTCCAAAGGTAAAGGTAGTCACATTTTTTCAAATGTTTCAATAATTAAACAGAACGCGGGTCATAATAGTGACTAGTGAAAGCCGAAGAGTAGCCGAGATTTTTCATCTCTCAATTAGTACCTGCGCCATGATTGGTCAATTTAGCCAGCCATATTTCACTCTGTCGCCTGCTAAATTCAGCATTTTGATAGGGTTCAAATCTTCCCCCTCTATTTCATCCTAGAGAGATAATAAATATCTCAATAACCTTGTTTTGTCGGTCCATATCGTAAACTATAGAACCTTGGTTTTTCCGTTCGGACTTACGACCTGCGCCTAAGCCATAAATCCGAACGGACCTCGAACTCGTTGTTGTAAGAGGTTCTTGAAAGATCGCAAAAAGTGATGAATAAAGAATGTACATTACTAAAAATATAAAAGCACCACGTTTTATTTTGTTGTGTAGCTTAGAGATTGAGAGATAACCATACTGATCCTCAAGCTGTTTAAAGAGGAGCATTCCTTGGGATTTAACTTGAAAATCAAATACTTCTTTCATCTATTAAACTTTGTGTTTGAATCCTCAATTTCACAGAATGAAAAGAAGACACCCCCACAAAGGCCAAACACTCTAACGAGTCTACCACTGTCGCCGAAGAAGTCAGCTGGAAGGCGTAAGTTGTAAATTTAATTTCAGGAAACCAATTTAATCGACAAATAGTCAAGTTCATTCAGAGTTTTCTGCACACCGAAAGAATATTAAAGTTCTTAATTTTGTGCTCCATGGGGACTTGTTCAGGAAGCATGTATCTTTCTCCAGATCTTTATGCGGCGAATCTACGAATGCGTACGGTAATGCTGCAACCTGAATGATCCCGAGCAGGATGCCGAGCAGTTACAAAATACCTACGCTTACATCCATAATCAGATCCTGGTAAATCGAAGGTTGGATAACGCTATTTACTAGATCGATCTCTCTCAGATGGATAGCTCAGTACGTTTTGCTACCACATCCGCTGGATAGTGATTTATCTGTTTGATAGCGTTCTCCGCCTTTTGAACAACTGGGCCGAGCTCAAATCTTTACCAAGCAGATCCGTGAATTCGAGCAGGGAACTTGTGGCCTAGTGGGCCTTTAAGAAAACAGCGAGGGATCGAAAAAAAACAGGGCTTACACGCGCAAAGCATAAAAATATATACCCGTACGTCACGTTGGTTAATTTTCTTATTTCATGTATTAGTTAATGTGCAGTTTGCTTCTTTCAGGCACGAAGTCATTAGAATCCAGTGGAGAGAAACCAAGAAGTAGAACGCCGAGGTAATACCAGAAATCAAGCTTGGTCTTGCCAGTTTGGAGACTAAGAATGCTCTATGCAATAGGAGAGAGAGAGTATGGCAGCCGTGCATTCTCGACAAATTTCCTGTAAACGCCATTGTACACGCACAATTCTTCTAGTTTAACTTTCAGGTAGCTAAGCTATAACCCTACCGCTTTCTATGAACAATGAGGGATCAGAAATCTGGCAGAATGTCGAGGGTCAATCTATAATTTGTAGAAAACTCCCCTAGGTGTCATGACAGCACAAGTTTCTGCTAGATTTATGACAGGTAAATGCCATAAATTCGCAGTCGTTTAGTTTAAGATTAAGCCTCTTATCCGCACTGACTGAATTGCACTTTCCACACTGACAGGTCAATCACAGATGACAACCAGTCGACGAACGACAACCCAAATCACCTTGCAATAAGCTATGACCTGATAAGGATTGATGACGTAGGTAGTGAGGCATGCGCACTGCACGGTGCCACGGACGGTATTGAAAGCGGACTTTTACGAAAAACGCCTGAGGGACAACGACTAAATCCCGAGGGTATGGAACATGACAATGAACCATGTTTCAACATAGACGACACTGGGCATGTTGAGATTGACGCCCATCAGGGTGCAATTAAGGGTATTTCTGAGACACTCTCTACACTGTCACAGTCGACTGAAGTGCTTGTAAAGACTGCATGGTCTTTGAAAAACTTTTTTCGGCGGCAGCAGTCACCACCCATCCCTGATCATAAAATTGACGCTCTTACACAGTAGATCAACTCGAACCTTTCTCTAACTTAACTCTAACCTATCTTCATGGAAGAATGCTGTGCAGAAAAATACTAATGGGGTTTTGATCGATGACTTAATCAAAATTCATCAAATGTGACATTTAAATGAGAGGTTCTTTTAACCTCAATCTGCCACTTGAAAATTACAGGCTCAAAACCAGAAATTCACAAACCTTTCCAGATGGAAATAATGCAGCATTTTCATGTCATGGCTAATACCTTATCTAGGTCCTTCCTCTTTTTTTGTTGTTGTTGGAACGAAATTTTACGGTTCAAGATGACGGACAATTCTGCTGGAAACTAATTTTTGTGACTTTCTGCACAAGCAGCAGAACATAAATTTGAGGAAATATAATATTTAAATTTTCATTACTTGAGTGGGGGGTTGGGTTGACTTATTTTTGTGTTTGTGGGAGAAGGGAAAACCACAAAAACCAAATTTGAAACTTGTAAACATCCCATGCAACAAGTGTACAACTCAAATCTTTTAGACAGAGGATTATTGTTCAGTGCATTAAAGTTACCTAGAATCAACTATTTTTTTCAACAATTTTACCAGTAATAATATTTGTTGTAAAAATGTAATTAAATGGAATAATAATAATAATATAAAAATAAAAGTTCAAGATAAGATACCTATAATGAAATTTATACAATATTGAAATTTGGTTTGAAAGGGGGAAAGGGGGAAAGGGGAAAAGGGGGAAGAGGGGAAAGATGCTTAGAATTCATTTTACCTTTCCAAACACACCGAAAAATACAGTGACCACATATCATTATAACTTGCACATTCAGAGGCTTTCAGAGGTTGTTTTGATTTTCATCTGGTAATTTTAGAGTACAATATTTTTCTTATCCATAATTATTGTAAACTTATGAAGTAAATAAAGATCAATTCAAAACAAATTTTTTTTGTAGACACTTCTGTTGACATTCTTCAGTTGTTTAGAAAATGAGATTGCCTGAAAAAAAGGGGGGGGGGAAGGGAAGGGCACTTGAAAGTAATAGTGACAGCAAGTAGAGGTCATCATCAGTATCAGATAACAGTTCTTTTGATGGGTACCTCCACCTGGACAATCAACTCATTTCAGTTCATCAAATCTTATTTTTATACTGGACAGAAAAACAACTTTAGCGTCCTCCCCGGCCTAACATTTTGTTGTACAATTTAAGCTGTCTCTTGTTGCACAAAACTGGCTTTCTCAGTTGGCGACTTCTCTTTGGCCCTTTCTTCATCATCTTATGATTCTTGCCTGGCCTCCAAAATTTCAAATTTCCATCACTTGTTCTAAAAAACCTGTTTGCAACAGCTTTACAAGTCTTTGGTTTGCCATGCTTGTTGCGGCTGTTGACGCATCTTTTTGGAATAACTAAACTGCTAGGAATGTCAGCCATCAGTGATTGCTTTGCAAAGTTTCCCACAGAGTCAAAAGCAAAGATGCTTGGTGAGGACAAGAAATATTTTTGCTGATGCTTAGCCCCTGGTAAACCAGTTTTCCACATATAAGCTTGGATGTTGCACGTAGAAAATGTTCCAGTTTGATTCTTGACAAAACTTGATAAATTACCTATCTTGGCCAGTTGCTTGAAAGCTGAATAAATATAATTGTAAAAATTTTGTTATTTTCTTGTGCAAGAACAAGGTGAGTGCAAGTTTGAGGTACATACTCTTAAATTCTCAAAATATAATGTGATAACAATTACACATTTCAACAATATTCTTTTGTCCACAAGGTTGAACCATTTTGTTGGAGAATCCAGAAAATTGTAACTAGTATACATTTTTATTTTACTGGAATTGTTACTTTTTGTATCGTTTCTGACCCTGATACTGTGTTAACTCAATTAAGCCTTTAATCCCTGACAGTGATCAGCATCTAATTTCTCCTTTCAATATCACCCATGAATCAAACATCAAGGTCATGAGAATATGGGAAACGATAATTTACAGAAGAACAAGTTCTCCTTGCCAGCACATTAGGAAATGTATAGAGACCAGTATGGAGAATATCCATACTGATATTAGGATGCAAAGGGTTAAGTGCTCTTTGCTTTTCAATTTTTTAAACCTTGACAGTGGGCCCTTATTTAATGCTGGACACCAATTAACTTCACCATTTTCAGCAAATAGTAATTTAATTTTGGAATAAACCAATTAATAACAAAACATGAAGATTAACAGTGAATTTAGATGTTGTAAATCTGTAAAGAAATGATAATTTGTACTCCTCTTGTGCACTTCAGTTTTTTTAGTTACTAGAAGCTACCTACAGGGTGAGTGCTTATTTGATATTGGGAACGCAATCCAAGAAGTTAAGAAGTTGCCAATTTTTGTGATGCAGGCGAGAAATGCTTTTTTGTTAGGACTTATCTACTAGGAAATACGCGTGTATTTAACAGCTTAGGAGGAAAATAAAGCAAAAGATCGCCATTGCCGAAAGGTTTAGTGAATGCAAAAGAGATGTAGATGTTCTAATAATATTTTACAGGGCAGTTGGGACAGATTTGGTATGAAGGACGAACAAAATTAAAATAAAAGTATAAATTTAACCCCTCATAAGGATTCCAGCCTCTTTCGTAAGAATTGAGACTGTCAATTTTCATAAGTATGCGCGAATAATTACCACTCATTTGCAGTAAAAATCAACACGTTTAGTTTGTAACTGTCTCTGGTAAGTTGGAATAGCAAAAACAAACACAAATGCAATTTAAAATTTCCAAAAATTCCTTGCACTGAGATAAAGAGGAAAAATATGACTTAAACATACCCTCCGGCCTGAACGACGAAGAAACCGTTCTTAAGGAGAGAGATTTTCCAGAAGAAACGAGGACTCGTAAAAAAAGCATACGATGGGCCGCCATGTTGACTTCCAGCGTGTGAATGCACAGCTGTGAGGGCCTGGGACATATTTGGAAAGAAGCCGCTGAGACTGACGGCGCATTCCTTCCCACGATACTCAGAGGTGCTGAAAATTAAAGATGGCGCCTCAACCGACAGAAGAGGAGAAGGCCACTGGGGATAGTATTAGTCAACAAAAACAAATGGATGAATTCTTCGAATGGGCTGCAACACGCGAACCTGAAACCATGACAGGGAAATTGAAGAGGAAAGTGAAAGAGAATCCCCTTGTTCCCGTAGGTGAGTTTGGGTTTAGGAACGATGTTATCAATCTCGACCCAAAAGATCAAGAGTATGATTATGCAATAGGAAAATAAGAATTTACGTCTAATCTACTTGAATTGATAGAAAATTGGAAGGAGGATTTGGCCAGTTCATTTCTCATAACTTGACGGTTCCCATAATGCGGAGCTCTCAAGTTGATTTGCTCGCAAAGAGTGAGATTTTTCGATTTTGACGCCACGGGTATCACCCTCTTGGGGTGGGGGGTTGGGGGAGAGTTGTCTATGAGGGTATGATCTCCCGGAGAATTGTGAAAAAATTAAGTAGTTGATGCAAGTATTCCTTCATTCTGGGCAAGAATTTCCATAGCTGGGAAGTGTTCAAAGTGATTACAAAGGGAACTAAAAGAAAATTATATTGAGAAGGATAACAGATTCAGTATGTACTTAGCTAAAGCAACAGTATGTTTGCAATCTCAAAATCAACAGTTTAAATCAGTAACCTTTAACACATGAGAAATAATAATTTCAGCATGAGATCAAGTTTGTTTGCACAAGTCTCCTGCTCAATGTGCTAGTTGAGAGCTCTGTTATTGGTGTTATTACCCCCAGCAGAGAGTAACAAAGGGGCAACGCTAGAATTTAAGAAAAAAAAAATTTTCTCTGTCGTGTATATTTTCATTTCTCTTCGTGTGTGTATCTTCTGGAAAATCTTGAGGTTTCACAAAATTAAAGGAATAAAAAGGGGTTGTGTAGACTTTAGGCAGTAAATTACACCTCTTGCTGGTTCATGAATTCACCAATCATGTTGGCCTTTCTGCAAAATTTATGCATCGCAAATTACTTGTGGTCTTGACAATGCATCACATAAAAATGTTTTGCCACTTCCTTGACAGAAGAAACAAAACAATTTTGGTTACCCCTATTCCCACGGAGAAAGCCGTTTTTTTCTACCTCCTTTAGAAAAAAGATGTTTCTTCTCACAAGATCACAGTATTATTGCTGCATACTCTCTGCTTCACATTTTCCACAATGAGAAGTTTGAGAATAGAGTTCTAATCAGAATGTTCCCTTGTCTCCTTTTACATATACAGATAAAATATTTTTTGATTCTGTAAGAGGAAATTAATCTTTGGTTACTCCTGTTAATGAAAGGGTTGATTTTCCATCAGGAATTTTTAAAAGATCAGAAGTGTTGACTTGAGAGTTTTGTCCTTGGCTCAATATCCACTGTGGTTTTAACCCTATACACCCTAACATCATTATACATATTCTCCATTCTGTTCTCTATAAATTTCTAAGTTCTAACAAGGAGAATTTGTAAAACCATCAGGCACTTTGTTAGTATCTGATCATTTCCTCTATTCTTGCGACTTAAACATTCAATTCAAGGGATAGATTATAAAGAAAAATGAGAACCTCGTCACTCTTAGGATTAAAGGGTTACATGTAAGCAAGGCAGTGATGTTTATAGTTTTTTTTTACTATATGCGACATTTAACAATCTGTGAATCTTTCCCCCTTTATGCAGGTGCTCTTTGTACAATTGGTGCTCTTTCATATGGTCTTTTTTCATTTGTTCGTGGTGATCAGAAAATGCAGCAATACATGATGAGGGCACGTGTTGCTGCTCAAGGAGGGACTCTAATGGCTGTTGTTGCGGGAGTCTTTTACATGCTTTACCAAGAAAGACAAGCTAAGGGTGGCAAAACATGAAAATGGTACACTGTGACAGTAAGACTGGGCACTGTTGGAGTTGCATTTGTGGAACTGCGCACAACAGTGAGTGCTGAAAAGAGTAATTGTACTAAGGGTGGTTTGCAAGTTTTATGTATCAATAAGATGGTGATGCAACTTGTACAATGTAAACTGTGTTCTGATGAATTTCACCATTGAGGACTAAGGCCACTATTATTAAATGAATACCCTGATCACCAATCAATTGAGGTTTGGGAAATTTACAAGTTACAGAGCAAGAGTAATAATTTATAGTTTTTAATGAGAGGTCCCCTCCTATCACCTCTTTTTTGCTCCTTTATCTGGGTAAGTTTAGAATTATCAGAGATTGGATCAATGGCTGATGTGAACTTGTATACCTAGCAACTATCAAGAAATTTGTTGGAAAGGGAGAAAGAAGTAGTCTTTACACTTAAAGCAAATTTCTAATTCTGTACTAAAATATGACTTTACTTTTTCACACATAAGTTGTAACTGCAATCTCTCATGAAATAAATTTCATTTAACTGTTAAAATACAAATCTCCAAACTGTGCCATCTTGACTGTCAACAGAAAAATAAAGCTTAAAATTTAATTCATTATTACCTTGCACTGTGTGATTCTTATCATTCTTACTTCACTTAGTTAGCTACAAATTCACTTGCTCCCTAGTATTAATTTATTTAATAATTTATATGCAGCAGTACAAGAGTTGACAAGATTAAGGCAATAGACTCAAAAATGAACATTTTCATAAGTGCTAATATTGAACATGACTTAAGTAAGCTGTATTTTTCTTAACTAAAATCAAAAACCAATATATGACATGTGATGTGGCAAGATTACTTCTATACTCCAATCTCTGGCCATTTTATGAAACAACATTTTATGAAACAACATTTTATGAAACAACATTTTATGAAACAACATTATGTGTTTCTGTTCATTTAGGAAGAGTAAAAATCCACAATCCCACTGCTACTAACATCTTACTCTTGAGTTTTAATTAATCAGTAGCATTTGGTGTATAGTGCGATGTGGGTGCTCCATCCATTATAAGTGATAGGAAGCCCATTGTTGTATGAAAATGGCCATGGTCTTCTACCAATGACAGAACATCACTGTTCCTGATAACAATATGGGTGATTCTTATTTCTAGAGAACTATACAGGTTGTTACATGCACCTTTCTCCAGCTAATAATCACTACCATGAAAAGCAGTAATAATTTACCTCAACTCTTGATGCAAACAAATAGTTAAAAAGATTTCTATGCATCATGATAGTAATGCAATTCTTTCTTTTTCTTTCAATTTTTTCCTTTTTGCGTAGAGGTGCACCATTATTGCATACCTCACCCATTTCAATTCTATGGTGTAAGAAACAGAGATACCAAAAAGATAGTACAAAAACATACAAAATTGTACCAATAATGATGCATTCTTAATTTTTGCCGTCATTCTTATAAAAAATAATTATGTTAATGGCTGATTTAGTGCTCACAGTTCCATCAAAAAGTGGACAGAGAAATAGAGACCTTGAAACTCCCAAGATCTGCATATTAGTTCTACCCTCTAGCTCGACACATTTCCTTGTAAATTGGTTATGAGAATTTGATGTTAGATCAAAAGAACAACTTGATAACTTTGAATATTCTCATTACCAGTTTGCAGGATAATGTGGATTACAGGGAGAAATTACACATTAATCACTTCTGGGAGTTAAGAGTTAACATCATGCAGTATGGTCTTCCAATCTTTCAAAAGGCTAGCAATCAATTATTTCATTAAACCAAAATCTTGTAGAAAAGGATCAGGAAGGATTCATTTCTTTCAAGAGATAATTTCCACATAATTTGCTGGAAATAATCCAACAGAGCCATCAGGAGCAACACCTCTCCACCATCCGTCATCAATTTGTTCAATATTTGTGATAATATCATCAGGATCAAATGAAATCTCTGTTTCATCACCTAGTGTAATGAAAAAGAAAGACACAATGAGAAACTAGCCCGGAGGGGATACAGTAGCTCTTGTTACAAACCTGGACTTTTTTTGACTCAACAAAAAACAGGCACTGTGATTGGTTGATTCTTGGTCATGTGCCCTTGATCGAATTAAAATGCCCGACCGGGATACAGTTATGCACTTGTTGCCCATGTGCCAAATACAACAGTATGTTTTGGCCATGTGATTGTTCAAGGGAAAGTCTAAATATACAACAAAGCACTTAATGTATGGTCCCTTGGAAACTAGTTAGTTTTGATTTCCCTGGAGTCCTGATCAGGACCCTCCAGGAAACAAAACTAACTGTTTCCCTTAGGACCATACATTGTTTAACTTCTGTAATTGTTCAACAGGTACATGTAATAGCTTTAATAAACAAATAAATGGTCATTCAAGTGAGTGGAATGCAATTTGTGTAGGTAATAACATGACTTCATGTGCAATGTGGTGTTAATAAGCACAAGTGAATTTTTCTTGTGCAGTTTGTGGTCTTTGATATATTTACCCCAAATTGCACGGAAAATCATATTATCACTTATTAATAATTTACATGTAAAAAAAACATCGCAAAAAGGCCAGATGAAATTTTGATAGTGCAATGAATTTGTAATTTGTACTCTTGTTAATGCATGAAAAATGCACTCATTTCCAACCATCAGAATTGCATAATTTTTTCATGTATGATATTAGGTCTAAAATCATATGTTTTCAAAATCAAAACAGTGTACAGTGTGAGTTTGTTTTAAAAATCACAAGTATGGTTTTAGACCAAATTGCATGATATGAAGTTCAATTAGTGCTTTATTACATCCATTTTGAAATAGCAGAATTTAGTTGCTCGAATACATGATTCTAGTCAATACAAATATTTCACTGATCTAGTACTGACCTAGTTTCAATGATCATATTGATCCAAGTAGAATTTCAAGGACTTTCAAGGCATGGAAAAAGAACTCTTGAAAATTATGGTTTTTTCCAGAGTTTCCAAGACATTGCTAACTCCTCCATTTTTTGTGAGGCAATTAAGACAAAAACCAGACTCCTCAAAACAATCAAATCTGAAAATGCATTATTTGAGGAAGCACACCATTAGAAATGACCAAATGAAGTACTTTCACTTACTTGCTTGGTAGTCATAAACAGCTCTTGCCTGCAGACCTCTGTCCTCCTACAAGCACAAGATACTTAGTTATATGTCTCTCCAAGGCAATGAGGTCTAAGTGTGGTGTAAGCATCATACACATTAATAAATAAATACTACATAAATATTGATAGCAAGTTGATATTAAGGCAATACACATGGATAACACCTTGGTTTATAGAGAAGCTGGATTAAGCATGGGCATCATCATCATCATCATCATCCTTAACAAATTGGTACGAGCCGGCCTTTACATACACAGTAAAATCAGTATGCGTATTCTCCATACTGCTCTCTCTCTATTTCCTATGGTGCTGACAAGGAGAATATGTATACCAATCAAGAGTCTCTCGGTGATCATTTCCCTTATTCTTGTGACCTCAATGTGTGATTCAGGAGTGATATTGTGATGAGAATTTTGTTGTTAGTCACTCTGAGGGGTTAACGGGTTAAAGGACACACCCCTACCTCTTACAAAAATTGAATGATGAAGTTACAGGTCATGTCTTTTAATAAAATAATTGGATCAATATCAGTATCTGGGCAACTGCCCACCCACCCCTCCCCTAACTCAACAACCTACCCCTCCCCTAACCCAACAGTTAATGTTAGGTTAGGGGAGGGGTAGGTGGGCAGTTGCCCAGATACTGATATTGATCCAAATAATCCTTACAACAAGAAGTAGCCCTCACAGTTACAGTGTAACCTAATTTTCACACTTCCAATTAACTATTACATGTAAACTGAAAGGGTTCTTAACCCTTTTAACCCCTGATGGTAACTGCCATCAAATTTCTCCTCACAGTATCACCTTTAAATAAACTATATAAAGTTGCAAGAATGAAGGAAATGATTGTGAAGTGAAGTAGCTTTTGATTGTTTGACAAATTCTCCATGTTAATACCAATATGTTGAGAGAAGTGTGGAGAATATGCATACCGATGTTAGGCTGGAAAGGGTTAAATATGGTAAGAGAAATTATATGATCCCTGTGTAATTCTGTGTCTACTGCTTTGAAGTAATCAGAATATCTATCTAGCTGTTGATAATGAACCCTTGCTACCAAAAAAAAAGAAATGATGTGCAAGTGAAACAAGCCCATAATACTTGTACCTCAGCGGCGGGTGGTTCTGGTTGTTGAGATACTTCACTTGAGTCTTCAATAAGCTCCACATAGTTAGCAGGGAACATGCCAAACCTGCCGTCAGGGCTCCGCCCCTTCCACCAGCCCTCATCAAAGGTATCTATTTCAGTGATTATATCGCCAGGGTCAAAGGTAATTTCCTCATCATTTTCTGAAAAAAAAAAAAAATTATAAAAAAAGTGAATACAGTGGATATATTACCATGCATATTTACACAGAGCTATTTACTATGCAGATTACGAGATAAGATCAAAGGATTTAAGAGCTTCAGTTACCTGGGTATCTCAATTTACAGTGCCAACAAAATAATACAGATTGAGACAAAAATTTAATTGAAAAACACACTCTAAATAGAGCTGAAGAACAAATACACTGATTGTATATCTGTACCAATGGTTTCTTTCAGCTGATTCTACAAACTTACCTGCTTGATAATCATACAAAGCTCTTGCTGTTTTTCCCTGGCCACCACTTGGGGCTTGAGACTTCAAATGAAGGTAAGAAGTAAAACATTACTTACTGTATTTTCATTGACAGAATGAAACACCTTTTAAAATGCTAGTGTTATTATCTGGAGGGCTCAAGTCAACCAGCTACCACTTTGTTAGGCCAATATGTGCACATAAAAAAAAAACACAATAGCCTAGTTTTAGGTGTGCAAGACTCCTAGTGGATGGATTCATGTTTAACACCTGACCTGGATTGCTGTTGTGTTTGCAAAATTCTTACAGGGGTTTCAGTAGCAGCTTGGTAGCAGGCAGATCTATTCACTTGCAATGAGCTGGCTACCTGCTTGTAACTTTAGTTCATTGGACTCTCAATATAAATGTTCTTCTCTACAAATTTGTTCAAATCAGTTGACTTCTAAGACTAGGAACAACAAAGCAACAAAAAATGGAATGGACCCCAAACTGCCAAAGAACTCTACTGCAAGAGTCATGCCTGGCAAAACTTCCTGGAGGAGTTCAGAGCTCCTTGGGAACAAGAGATCCCTCCAGGCCTTTAAAACTAACTGCTTTACCTACTGTAAACTCCTCATTTGAACCCTATTGCAAATGAAACCACTCTGCTAAACACCACCATTGTCTCTATCCACTCAGCAATATCAAAGGCCTGTGGAAGACTGGCATGACTTCAGGGGCATACAAGCATACCTGAGTTGTGGGTGCTGTATCCATGCCCATATTATCATAGAGATCCTCACTTTGCACTGGTGTATCATCCTTCAGTTGTTGTTCGACGGTGTCATAAGCGTCATCAAAATTATCATAAAGGTCTGTAGGTTCTTGTTCCGGTTCTGGTTCCGGTTCGGGTTCAGGTTCTGGCTCAGGTTCTGGAACAGGTTCTGGTTCCGGTTCTGGCTCAGGCTGAGATAAAGCAAATTAAAATGATTTTTAAGACAAAAGTTAATTTCAAAACTGCTATTTTTCAAAAGTCTCTTTCCCACAATGTAACAATTTCTAGCTTAGGGTAAGAGAGCAGAGTTCATGAGCACACCATCTTCTGTCTTCCCAAGAGAAGCAGATTTTTCTGTGTTAACTTTGAACTGGTTTTCCTGCCTAAGTAGAGCTTCAAGCTTAAGCAATTCACAGCTAAATATTTTTGTATCCATGGTTCAATAGCATTAATAAAGTTAAGCAATAAACAATTTAAAAGTACATATTATTTTTTTCCCATAATTAGATAGATCAGGTTTGAATAATGGAAGTGACCCCTGTCACATTTGCGGCAAAATAGATGCTTTTGATTACTTCAAATCATGTAACATACCTCTGTATTACCATATAATACGGGTTCAGGTTCAGGCTCAGGCTCAGGCTCTGCTTCTGGTTCAGGCTCAGGATGATGTGGCTGTACTTGAGGAGGTGGCCTTCTTGCTGGTGGTCTGGATTTGGCTGGAGGAGGTGCAGGTGCAGTCCTTTCTTGGAACTTTGGTTTTTCATCCTGACCTTGGCGAATCAGTTGCTCTGCTTCCTGTAAACAATTAGGATTTATGAGAGATCTAATTCAATGGTCACAAGTGCAGGAAAACAAACAAATCTGAGTTCCCCACAAGAGTTTAAACCTCAGACAATTAAATATCATGGTTGGATTCTCCTCTACTGAGCTACTAAGAGTGCTTGGCTCAGCTGGGTTTTAAACCCCTTTCTCCTCACAATATCACAACTGAATCACACATTAATGTTGTGAGGATAAAGGAAATGATCACCAACTAAAGAAACTCTTGATCGTTAGACAAATTCTCCTTGTCAGCACCCTTGTAAATGTACAGAGAACAGTATGGAGAATGTTAGTGCTGATGTTAGGGTGTAAAGGGTTAAGAAATGTCGAAATGAGAGTGAAAATCATTGTGTGTGTATTTGGAAGACAAAGAAAGATAGTAAAATTCAGAGCTCTGTCATCAATTTAGGTATTAGATTTTATTCACTTGTCACAAGAACACACTGAAGAAAAGGACCGAAAAATTGTATATCTGGAGGTGCAAATTGCATATTAATTAATTGTCTATAATAATTAATCACGTCCTATGACAGTTCTTTAAAGCATGTTGGTGCTGTACCTTCATCCTTGCTTGCCGTAATGAATTTGCTCTCTCTCTCTCCTGCTGCATTTCCCTCTCATCTGCAACTTGTTGTTGCTCCTAGAGTAATTATTATACAAGTTAATACTCAGTTTTATCAATAACTGCATGCTCTGACATTATTTATGTCATCTTTAGTAATCCTTTTCAACTAAGGTTTACATTACATCCTCATAACTTATAATCAATAACTTCCTGCAATCATGATCCTTTCCAACTAAAATTTAGATATCATCCTACGTCTCAAAAATTATGATCAAAAGCTTGCTGCAATCACAAAGAAAAATTTAAAACAATTTAAAATAATCACCCCTGCACCCTTTCCTAAACACCCTGAACTGTGGCTTTCAAAATGAGTCCTAATTACACTTAAATTGCTAACTTCAAGAAACCTGTAAAATAAAATAAAGTCAAGTCCAGCTGGTAAAATAAAATAACCCTTTAACTCCCAGAAGTGATTAACATGGAATTTCTCCCTATAATATACATACATTATCCAGCAAACAGATATTGAGAAAACTCCAACTTATCAGGTAGAAGTTATCTTGATCTAACACTAAATTCTCATAACTGATTCACAAGGAAATGTGTAGCAGCTAGAGAGGAGAATTAACAATCAGATCTCTGCATGCTCACCCATCTCCTCCTTTCTTCCTCTTTTTTCCGTTCATCATCTTCCCGTTGCTTTCTCCTGTGTTCATTAATATCATCAAATGTCTTGTTAAATAAAATCAAGTCATAGAATTCATTGATGGGAAATGTAAGCTGAAAACAAACTTTATTCACATTTGCCTTGGCATCATAATGGGAATTCTAAAGCTTTAGCTCGTTTACTTAACACTGTTAAGCTTTACAAACCCAGGAGTGACCAAATATATGTTGTCTCCTTACAGTATTATCAAAATGTGAAGTAAATAGTTCATGAGAATTAAGAAACTTATCAACTACAGGTCATAGTGTCACATTAGAACACCAGATTCTCGAAAATAGACAACAAAAGGTTTATATGGTTGTGGGTTAGGAGAATTACCTTTCAGATCATGGGAGTGAACTGGGCTAACAAACCATTTACCATTGTCATCATCTTTTTACAACAAAAACAACCAAAATGGACCATTAACTTAGATCTTGATGTAGAACAACAAGATTGCAAATCCCAGCCACAGTGGTGAAAAGCAAACCCTCTCTCCACTGCAGAAACAATGTTCTGTTAAACTACTACAGTAGTTTAATACTAAATAAAGGCAGTATGTTTCTAAAGAAACTGTAGTGCTGCATTGGTACAGGGATAACGCAAGATAACTCAGTTTTATCACCTGAGTTGATAATGTAATTGGCTACTATAAGGAGCTTTGAAAACTGACGTTTTAGGTGCTAGACCTTTTATCATTACAGCCACCAATTTACATTTATTTATGAACGCAGTTAATAAACCAGTTAAAGACTCACTTTTGTTCCTCAATACTTCTTGATCTCTCTCTATAATGCTTGTCTCTTTCCTCTGCCTCTTTGGCCTAAAACAGTCCAAAGTAAACTTATGTAAAAATATAAAACATCAAGGTTTAGAAGCTGAGTATGCACAAAACTGAGAATGCTGTTTTGAAAACTGTACAATTCATTACTCTGATAATGCGTAAACATGGAAAAATCACAGCATGTCCAAATCTTATGTAAGTGAGAAACAATTCAACCTATGTACAATTACTTTTTGGTGATAAGTAGCAGAAAGCAGATAGAACCCTCCAGGGCTTGTATATGTATTTAAACGTACTGTACCCATTGTGTGGGAGTGTGATTATAATATAATATAAATAATGCAGTAAACAGTCACCTTTAGGTAATCATGTCTACTGTCTCTACTTTGCTTTTAACCCTTTAACTCCCAAGATCCAATTGGTAATTCTCCCTACTTACTGTCATACTTTTCCTTCTAAGTTAGCCAGGAGAATTTGGTCTTATTCCAAAATAACACCCTTAGCTGATAAGCTTGTGTGTTCTCATAAGGTGACTTATTGGAATTGCAAGGAAAAGTTACACATCAATCACTTCAGGGAGTTTAACGGTTAACTGGACTTCCCAAAGTAATGCATTCCCAGGAATGATTGAAATGGAACTTCTCCTTACAATATACCTACAACATCAAGCAGACAAGTGATGAGAATACAAGACAAATCTCAATTAAGAGATTAATAGTTGATCTGATAACAAATTCCCCAAAGTAACATCATAAGATTTTTCAGGCAGGCAGTAAAGAGAATTACTAAATGAGATCTGGGAGTGCAAGGGTAAAATTGGAGGGCTCAGAGCAAGAACGATCCCTTGATTTTTTGGCCATTTTTGAAAGTGTCCGCATGCCAAAATTCAACTACTTCTGAACACTTTCAAAAATGGCCGAAAAATCAAGGGATCGTTCTTGCTCTGAGCCCTCCAATTATTGTGCGACATCTTTACCTCTCGTTCTTTCCTTTTCCTTTCTGCTTCATTCTTCTGTGCTATGGTTTGCTTTCTCTCCTCGTCCTTTCTTTTCTTCTCATCTTCCTGTTGGAATAAACCATTACAACAAGGTAGTGTCAACATTTTTTACAAGTTTAAAAAGAAAAAAAAAAATTAAAATTTTGTATCATCAATTGTAATCTAACTACCATGTAAAAGTTATTACTTAAAATCTACTGACAGTGCTGTACACTGCAAATCAATATAATTACATGTACCTCTGATTTTGTCCAAAATTGATCCCTCTTCTGAACATTAATCTCTTGTTGAACTTGTACCCTTTGATAAACAGATCCCTAGTAGCAAAATTATAAGAATTATTATTCCACAATTAAATTATAATTATCATTTTACCAAGTATATACCACAGAAATACACTGTGGAACCATGCAAAAATAAGAATAGAAATGATCCACAGGCTCTTTGATTTTGTTTTTGGTTTTTACACATTATTTTTTCAACGACAAACTTTGAAACCCTCAAGACTTAATTGTTGGTCATCAAGAACACTTGGACACTTGGTTTCTATGTGGTGTTTCCTTCTTTCACGCATGGCTTATGCAATCTGTAAGAAGCTCAGATAAGACCATATCAAGTTTTGAAAACTACAATTGAAGCCAAAAGACTAGAAAATGAAACAATAGTGGAATAATAAATCCCTTATTCAATGGTTTATTATATGTTATCAGTAGACATTTTGCTCACAATATATATTTTTCCTTGCTCCTACGGGGCTTGGAAAAATACTTTACAACTCAAAAAAAATATCCTTGCATATCATGTGTTAAAACCAATTAATAGGGTGTTTAGGGCAAAAATAATTACAAATTAAAAAATACTGTGGGTAAAAGTTTCTGAGTTGTGCTTATGTTAATCTCCTTAGTTGAAGAAAAGGCTTAAAGTGAGACACATGAAATAAAAAGGAGTAAAGAAAAGAGAAAAAGGAAAATGAACCTTTAAAAAAACTCTTCCACTACACCACTCAACTGTAGGTGAACAGTCTTAACTCCAAACTCAAAAATCAAGAATCAAGCTTAGAGGAATCATTCATTAGTTTTTATTTTTGAGAATTGAGTCTGAGTATCCATGTTTGGGACTGAGGACCAAGTTTTGAATTTTAAGAATTGAGAATCAAGTTTTGAGATTTGAGTTTCATGTTTATGATGCTTGTAGAATTTTTCGAGGATCTTCATCTGCAGTTTCCAGTTAACAATTGAATTCTTGAATCCTGGTATCCATCTGCAGTTTCTATGTAACAATTTAATTCTTGAATACAGAACAATAATTAAAGACTTCTTGGTCAACAGTGGATACCTACATGTCACTTGTAAAAATGCAATTTTATTGTTTATCACCTACCACAGGGGCAACAGGTTCTGCTGGCCGTGCCTTTTCTTTATGAAAACTGTAGTTTGCACCTTGAAACCGAAACCAACCAAGCACAAACAGGCACAAAATAAACAAACAAACAAATATCAGAAATGATCAAGTATCACTCATAACAATTGAGCAGGTATGCCAGCCTAAAATTTTCTATTAGATGGATATTTCTGGATACCAGCCAAGAAAATTTGGAGGAATTTAATAATCTAGACTTAGTTGGAAATATTTGACCATAAAGACTGACTAGCATCTATATTTTCCTTGAAATATTATCCCTTAATCACACACTAAGATCATAAAAATTAGGAAGCTCTTGATTCGAACATAAATTCTCCTTGTCAGGATCTTTGGAAATGTATATAGTACAGTATGGAGAATATGCATATTGATGTTAGGATATAAAGGGTTAACCCTTTAACTCCCATGAGTGACCAAGAAAAAAATTTCTCCTTACAATATCCATACAATATCTAAGAGACAAGTGATGAGAATAAAGAAAAATATCAATTATGAGATTGCTAATTGATCTGATACCAAATTCTCCAACTAACATAATGAGAATTGTTTGGCAGACAGTAAGGAGAATTACTAATGAGATCTTAGGAGTTAATGGGTTAAGCAAAAAATGTTTCCTTCCTTATTTGAGATTTTCTGCTCAAATGGCTTTTCTTCTCTTTTAATAAGTTCTAGAAGAAAGTTTTTAGGGGTAGGGGGTTGGGGTGAGAGAGGAAGGAGAGGGGGGTAGGGAAAGTTGAGACTTTGCAACTTTAGTATTCCATAAAATATCTTCCTGGAGGTTAACTGCAGTTTTCTGACTTACTCACAGGTAAATGTGCTGTATGTACAAAAGTCCTGAACACACACCATTAATATAAAAGTATTGATAACAGTGTGATGATGTACCTGAAGCTTTCTTAACTTTGTCAAGTACAATACTTTCTTCTACATCATCTGGGGATCTTGCGGTGATGGTTACATGAGCCCCCTAACAGTAAACCAAATAAGATTTAATGATGAAAATACATTTAATTACAAAAACATGACATATGTTTCCTACAACCATCAAGAGCACAGTAGAGATGTAATGAATATCTTCTAAAGCAAGTCTTCTTGGTGTGCAAATCAAAGGAGAAAAAAAACTGTATCTAACTTATCATAAAATACAAACCAAGAATATGAAGTACTGTATGTGTGAGTTTCTTTTTAACCCTTTGATTCCTAAGAATGACCAACATCTCATTTCTCTTTACAATATTACCACTGTATCAAACATTATGGTGAAGAGAATAAAGGAAATGATCACCAGCCAAAGAAGCTCCTGATTGTTTAACAAATTCTCCTTGTCAGCTCCTTGGAAAATGTATGGAGAACAGTTTGGAGAATGTTCACAATGAAGTCAGGGTGAAAAAGGCCAATGTGTTTCCCATATACATAATTATGATACACCAACGACATCTCTATGGTCAGGGTTCCAAATTGCAACCAGCTGGTAGTATATGCAATAATTGTAAATTGACTTTTGGTGACCAGAAATTTAATGCCCAGTAGAAATGCTAATTTTGGATCCTGAAAATGCAAATCTAATTCAATTTGCAGACATTTTAACATGACGGTACATGCTAACCTTAAAGAACTTTTCCACATCTCTGACATGATTAGCACAGACACCTTTCCTTGAAGAAGGAACTCCTTCACCTTGCTAGAAAATTAAAAATTATTTTCATTTAAAAATTTTGAATTCATCATTTGTGATCCAAGTAACTTTCTTCATTCTCAAACATTATCAGTTTTTCTTGGTTTATTTTCACAAATTTAGTGATTGTCTACCAAAGAAAAGTAACTTGAACATACTCAACTAACTAAAATACTAAAACTCACTTGTCATTTTTGTCCATGAAAACTTGAAATCACTTTCTAGGTTAAAACAGTTGCTAAATAATTCTGTGCACAGAAGGTATTCTACTCTAAAGAGTGATGCTGTACAGAAAAATATCAAGGGTAACAGTCTATCATAAAAATGAAATTTAATTATATCAGATAGATTGGAGCCCATCTTCATTCCTGCTAGGGAACACTGGGTGACAACTGTAGATGTTCATTGGACTCTGCTTTTTATTTTGAATATATGGTCTACAAATTATGTATGTACCCAGTACAATTAGTAAGTAAATTATAATGTACCCAGTTTATGAAGACAATTTTTGGGAGGTTTGTATTTGGATCCATGACTTTAATAGCAGCATACAGCATTTTTCCTTCATTAAGTTCATCCACCAATTCATCCAGATCACCATCTATTTAAAATAATGCAAAATGTTTGTGTCATGTGTTTGATCAGCCACAGTACAATCAAAGTGCTTTGTACACTACTTTTTAACCAAAACTATGACAATTCTTGAATGTAATTGGTTATCACCAGCCCAATTTGAGCATGAATAGGAACAGTGTAGACGTCATGCTTGTAATTGGACAGTGTAATAGGACAGTTAACATGTCATGCCTGTATAAGTGGACAGACACATCATGTGTGTGCACTGTTGTCTTGCATTTTCCTAAGTTTACAGTTGTAGTTGTTTTTTTTAATGAAAACTTATCACAAAGTCCAATTTCTTTATCCAATTTTGTCATAGTTTTGATATATAATTGGTAATAGCTTTATGGTTGTCCAATTTTGTCAATCACTAGTATGACTATAGACTGAATTGGACTCCACTCCATCCTATTACAATTATATACAATAAGTTACGCACAAGATCTTCCCCCTGCATTTCCAAGTTTTGCAGCTTGCAAGAAAGCAATCAGAATTTTAAGCATTAATTTAAGATAAGAGCATTTAAGTATCGATGGTGAGTTCTACTTTCTAGAGTGACGTAAATCACTAGATCATGAGGCATGATATTTGTTATATACGCACTACCCCTTGCCCAGATGTTCTTCTACATGGAAGAAAGGAACCTATACAAGTTATGTCCTCAAGGCTCACACTTGACACTTGTTGTTCCCAATATCATGTTGGAGAATTTGCGGGGACCAGAGTATGATATACACATCTATACATGTTGAGAGGAAATTGTTGTTACTAGTTTTTCAGTAACAACAATGGATACTTTTCAAAAAGGCATGTGAGCTCAGAGGAAATTCTGTCTCTGGCATGACCCTGCTTTCCTAGGTTCAACAAGGAGTCCTGTTTTAAATGAAAAGCAGTCAATAATTTCAAAGGGGCAGGGTGGGGTTGAGGGAGAGGAAAAGATTCCAAAGGGGGTGAGGTGGGGTTGGGAGACAGGAAAAGATTTTAAAGGGGGTGGGGCTGGAGGGGAGCAAAAGAGCAAGAGGAAGAGAAAGACATAGGTACAACAAGAAAATAGCCTTTAACTTATTATTATTTTTAACTGGAAGTCCATTGTGATCCTTGATGTAAAAAAATGAACTTAAGAATAATTTGTTGGTTGAAAGCTCCACCTCTGATGAGCTGAAGCTGGAGCAAAAATTTATTGCCTCGCTCAGCTGATCCATGGATGAATACGGCATACGATAAAGTTAAGCTCACAGCGATGCTACGTCGCTAAATAGAAGAAGAAAAGGCCTGACATTCGAATTTTCATTAATAATCTATGCTTAAATAAGAGGATGGAAAACACACCCTTTCCGTATGCGCTCACGTACAGTTGTTCGCAAACATAGTGCCATATCAAATCCGTGCAGCGCCGACACTACTATAATAATAAAACTAAGACTTGGATCTCAATCGCACTTTACCTAGACCATAAGCTAGCCGATTACATTCAGTGTAATAAAAGAGCAATAGCACTTCAAGTTAAGATATATCATGTCAAATGCAACGAAACTTCCGTAATACATACCTCCTGTTTCTACCACTTTCAGATCGTTTGTCTTGCCATCATACCCAAACACGGCCCTGAAACGAGAAAGAATGTCACCAAATTGTTTGATTCGGATGAAAATTTGGATGAAAAACCCACCAGTTGACGTCCGAGCTATCATCGAAGACCTGTTGCCATGTTTTTCGTAGAGAGTCACCGTTCTTCTTTAAATTGATCGCCATTTTGCGTCTGTCACGTGACAAATTTAGAATGACAACCGTGCAGGATCTGGGATAAGGCTGAAGAGGGCGTGGTGGGGGAGGGGTAAGATAACCTCGAGGGGTCGACGGGATGTTTTAGAAACTTTCTGTTTCAGTCGACTTTGTGACGGAATATGCTGAAATTTTGATCGGATGATCATGAAACGCATCCATGTTTTTCTCTCTCTTTTCACAAACAATTGTTTTAAGACAGTATCTTTCAGTGGTCTATCTTATTGTGTATGTGTGAGAAAACAGATTTAGCTATTAACGAGATCGAGAATTTTCATCCAGTTTTACCATTAATACAAAATGGTCTGTTTGCGAGGGGATCTTCAGCATTTTGCTCTATGTGAAATGTTATAAGCAGAATTTCAAAAATATTTTGAATAATCTGTCTTGTGTGTAACCCTGTAAATTACTCGCTAAAAAGGTAAATGCAAAGGAAGACTGATCTGTGCCATAACTTTATCTACCAAAGGACAAAAGGAGGCTAATTTACCTATCCAAGCACTTTGGATCATTTGCAGAACTAATAATAAAACTGATTTTTTAGTCCTCATCATTTACTACAGCAGTAAAACAGTGCCATATCACATTTTTTACGCTTTTTGCCTTCGTCAGAGAAAAATATCTATTTTACTTTTAATTTTATCTTTACAGATGTGGCAGCCAATCAAAAGGTTTAACATTTTCTATACAAGTACTCAGAATCTCAAGGTGGTAAATTCTTTTCCATTACATTCTCTCAAACTTTCTTTGTGTCATCAGTCAGATATTTTTCAATGATGTCAAATGCTTTCTTTGCTTTACTCTCAATCTGTTCTCCTGGAATAGGACGCTTGTCAATTGGTGTTACTACAAAGTTGAGAACCTGAGCCTGATTTTCTTCATGATGAACTGTGCTGCCTTTCACAGGTTGTGCGTAGTACACTCTATCAAGCCTGAAGTCAATAAACAAAAAGATTAACCATTGTTAGTACTAGGTCTATAAATGAACAAAAAAAGGGAAAGAACCACAACAAAGTTTGAGCTGGGGGGGGGGGTTCTTCTTGATAATTTTCTGGGGAGTACGGCTGAATGGGGTTGCATTTTTCAGGACTGGAGTAACTATTGTGGGTTTGCATTTTTAAATGAAGGCTTTAAAAGTCTTTATGAAGTAAATGGATAAACAGAGTGTGATTAAGATTGGGTCTCAACACACAGCCTAGACTATAACAGGGGAAGGGATTCTGAAAGGCTAATAGCACAAACTTAGGGGAAATTAACCCAATGTTAGCATTTCATTTTTGGATTTATTAAAAAGGGGTTTGATTTTTAATGGTGTCCACAAAATGATCATAATGTTGAGCAGAGTTTAAGTCTGAGTTTACACATTTATTTGTAAGCATGGTTGAGATCTTGTGGCTATAAAGACAAACCCCTATCAAGTTTCTCCCTTAATCCAACCTCTCCTCTCCCCACTGCATTCTACATAATTGCTTGTCATCCTAGTAATACAGTACTACACATTCCCAGAACTGTTGAAATCCCAATGTCAGCAAGAGCAAGTGCACCTTTAAAATCAAAACTGTTCAAAATTTGCTTACTTGCTCCACCAAATTGTAGCAGCACACATTGGGCATGGTTCAAAGTTTGTGTACAAACTACAGCCTGTCAGTTCAAATGTTCCCAAGTTTTTCCCTGCATTTCGTATGGCCACAACTTCTCCATGTGCACTTGGATCACAATCAACAAAGACTCGGTTGTAGCCTTCACCTGGAAGAAAAAGAGCATTTGTTTAAAGTTTACCAAAAAACTGACTAATGGATGAAGCTATAATAAAAGCCAGGCTGGTCAATGCAAATAAAAATAGGAAAGTTTGTAGCAAGGTTAAAAAAAAAATCCCACAATCAAGAATACTACAACCCCAATTATCTGGGCTCTCTATGCAGGCTGCTCTGTTTACCTTTTGACCCTTACTAGGAGTTAGGGTTGGCCTTGAATTTTCCCTGATAGTAACACCTCTAACTCACTTGTTAAGGTTGCAAGAATAAAATAAGAAATGATTACCAACTAAAGAAGTTCTTGTTTGTCAAAAAATTCTCCTTGTCAACACTTAAGGAAATGTATGCAGAACAGTATGGAGAATATGCATACTGAGGTAGGGTTTTTTTTCACTGACATAGAGAGAAACTGGGTGGGGAGGGGGGCTGGGGAGTTGGTGGGTTGATTCCATTTGGTTCTGGTTTGTCATACTTCACAATCTCAATAAGTCGCATGTGCACCGTGTACCCCCCTCCTGCTTGTGCCCATGAAGTTGCCTGATCATCGGGTTACGTAATGGTGTAATTAAGAGAAGTTTTCCCTACCATAGAGACCGCTTTGAAAGTCTGAGACTGGCGGTAAAGTCAGCGTTTAGAACCACATTAAAGTTTTGCTGCATGCATGAAGACAGGAAGCTGGGTTGCGAAAGAAGAAATAGCCATCGTACCAACAATCTTGCCATCTTTGACAACCACGGCTCCATATGGACCACCACGTCCCTTGAATGCTCCTTCCGCGCTGAGCTCGATCGCCCGAGACATGAATCGCTCCTTTTCTTCTCTTGTAGGAGTGTATGTAGACATCTCTTACTACCTCTACAGGTCTTGAAATGAGCAATTTAGCAATCAACGGTTTAAGGGTAAACACCGCTACGACTTCAGCTGACTTTCACCTGGCCTCCGTGACCTACACGCGATTTGTCTCCGATAGGTCCCAGTTTCCCAATTGAGTAAAACTGTCGAGTTGAAGAGCATGTCACGCGGTAAGATATTTTTCTAACTAACAGGGATTTATCTCGGTAACATTACGTTGTCGTGCCAAACGAAGTATATCTGTAGAATTTCACAGGAATATGTGGAAGAAAGGAGCTCCCGTAGTGATGCGGTGCATGGCTGAGGAATGCTGCCCAAAGGAATCAACTGCAAGACGTAGATGTTTTAGAAAATTTAAGGCAAGAGAGTTGCAATAAATAAATAAATAAATAATAATAATAATAAATAAATAAGTAAAAAAAGAGAGAAAAATTAGCAGATGGATAGGTTATGAATTTCCAAGTACACCTGCATACCCGGTTATTAATCACTTTGAGTAATCCTAGATTTGTTGAAGTTTGACGAAAAACGAAAAGAAGAACGGAGAATGGTAAGGGTGGAGCATTGGGAACGGACCCTTTGTTGAAACCTAACCAAGATATAACGGATGAAATTTTTAGGAGTGTTCTGAGGTGAGAGAGTTAAGGTGAACTGGTCCATGTCGAGAGTTAAAAAATTGAAAGGATCTCTTGTTATTCCTGAGTACTCCTCTAAAGGCAAGTAGACATTGAGATAAAGCCTCTGTCAAATGAATCGAGAAAACACTATTTATTCAGATCTGTTTTTTTTTTTACAATTAAAAAAGTTCCTACCCTAAATTTATATTGACCCTTTAATCCCAATGAATGACTAGCATCTAATTTCTTCTTACAATATCACCACTGAATCACACTTTTAATGTCATGAGAATAAAGGAAATGATCACAACTTAAAGAAACTCTTGATTGTTGGACAAATTCTGACTGTTAGACAAATTTTCCTTGTCAGCACCTTAGTAAATGTCTAAATAATATTTTATAACAGCCATATCAATTCAACCGTCACAACTTAATTTCTTGTGTCAGTCCTTTTTTTTTTCCTTGCATTAATTTTCCCACAATCATTCATCATGGTCCAATGATGTATCATTGTCACTTGGTCATGCAATCATATAACACTTTACAAGTGACCACATTGCCCCAGTGTGTGCAAGATAATGTTGCATTTCCATCAGTGTGCGTCATTTTTTTTGGTCACAACAGATAATAAATCCATTTGGATCATTTGCCCATTTTTTAATGACATCATATGCCTCCCTGCTCCTGACTTGCTCTGCAGGGGTAGACCGCTGATCAATGGGTGTGGCAACAAATTGAAAAAGTGGTTCTAGGTCCATGTCACTCTTTGTGTCTTCCAGACGATTTCCATAATACACACGGTCAAACCTTGAAGTGAAAAGAAGCCACATGAAATAGTTTTGGAATACATGACCTGGTTCATAATCCCTGTCAGAGCCAGTCACTCTGTACATTAAGTTGAGTTTAATTACTCCTAACAGATACTTAAACTCATTTTTGGCCTGTATTGATCAAATGAAATATAAAGTTCTGTCTGACAGCTGTAGATTATTTGAACTTGACTTTGAAAAACAAAATGGACTACGAAGTCACTGCACATTGACTGAAAATGCCACCGTGTGGCATGCTACTGGAAGCAGTTATAAGAAATGAAATGTTGATGTTTTTCAGTGAATGATGTCACTTGCCTCCTTACCCTTGACTTGCTCTGCAGGTGTATAACACTGATCAGTAGGTATCCAAAAATACTTATTTATATAAAGAAAATACTAGTATCCAATTTGCTTCCCATGGACTGATCTGGGATGTAGCAACAAATAAATACCAAGTTATATATTCAGGTCAATCACTCACCTGCAAAGCCAGATGGCTGAAGAGCACATTGCACAGGGTTCACAGCTTGTGTATATTTCACAGCCACTGAGATCAGTTGATCTAATATTCTTACAAGCTTGTCGAATGGCTGTCATTTCTCCATGAGCTGTTGGATCATAGTCAACTACCTCCCTGTTGTATCCTTCCCCTGAAAATAGCCAATTAAATGGATAATTTAACCCTTTACACCCTAACATCAGAATCCATCTTCTCCATACTCTTCTTTAGTTACATTTCCTAAAGTGCTGACATGGAGAATTTGTTTAACAATCAAGAACTTCTTTAGTTGGTGATTATTTCCTTTGTCCTTATGATCTTAACCCTTTAACTCCCATAAGTGACCAAGAAAGAATTTCTCCTTACAACATCAGTACAATATCAAGCAGACGAGTGATGAGAATAAAGAAAAATCTTAATTAGGGGATTATTGGTTGACCCAATACCAAATTCTCCAAACTAACATCACAAGAACTATATGGCAGACTGTAAGGAGAATTAACAATGAGATCTTGGGAATTAAAGGGTTAATGATTGATTCAGGTGTGATACTGTTGCAGAAATAAGACACTCGTCACTCTCAGGGATCAAAAGCTAAGAATAAATGTAAATAAGGAAGTATGTGTACTGTACATTAAGTAGATTACAAATAAACAAGATGATGAAAGAAAGAAAGAATGAAAGAAAGAAGGAAACAGTTATGGGTTGATAGATGATAATCATGATATTTGTGCAAATAGATTATGAATGAATAACTAAAGAAAATATATGTCATGCCAGATGAATAGGGGGCATCACGAATTATCTTTTACTTTTATAGGTGGTCAGACTGAGGCCATTTAACCCACAGGCAAACTTCTAAGTTAATACCAAGATCACACCCACAACAAAATGCTTTTCCATGAGCATTATACTATTAACAGTAGCCCACAAGGTCATGTATAGTGTTGTTTATTTTTTCGGCTTACACCGCTAGATCTCGAGTTATAACGCAAGATCTTGACTTATGTCACGAGATCTTAAGTTAAAACGCGAGATCTCGCAGCTAAAAAACACGAATTTTATGACAAGATCTTGACGTTTTATACCGCGGGATCTCGAGTTATATCTTACCATACATGACCGTAATGGGACACCATATTACAAAGAGCAAGTCGCAAAGCATTCTTATACTTTGTCTCTCACGGCTGTGTAGATCTGGTTTTGATCCGATCTGCTGAAAACTATTAAATTAAGTTACCAATAATTTTGCCATCTTTCACAATAACCGCCGCAAATGGACCACCATGCCCCTTAGATGGTCCTTCATCGCTGAGTTCGATTGCTCGACCCATAAATTTCTGTTTTTCTTCTTCAGTCGGTTTTTCAGACGACATTGAGCTGTACAGTTCTTCTGCAGGAGAGTGTTTATGTCAAAATATTGAATTAGGATGGGGGGATCGGAGTTGGGCTCAGTAAGGGCATGTCAGGGCCATGGGGTAACATAAGATTGGTCAGCGGTCGGCAATGAACTGCAGAAGAAGTAAAATAGGGCTAGAGGAAAAGAAAAATAGACAGTCAAAGACGGCATGTGGCCACTGGTATAGCACAATTTTTATAGCATTGAAAATAACTAGGGATTGTATGGTCAGGCTATTTACATGATTTTTTGGACCTTTTTCTTCTGGACCATTTATTACCCAGGGAGGGGTGGGAGACAGTTAGTACTCAAGTTACTGTATAATGTGTAGATTGAAAAATCATCATTGCTCATTTGCATTTCCCCACAACCCACCCACTTTAACTTTATTTGTACAATTCAGCTTTTTTCCTTTTTGCGAAATATTTTGATCTGGCCTGCAGTTAGCAGCTACTTATCAACCCTGACTGTTTCAGAAATTGGAAAGAGATTTCGTTTTGTGTCGGTGTCATTGCGAAAGATAGAGGTTTACTTGTTATTGTCTCTTAGAGGGCTTACCGTAATTTGCGAGGCGAAACGAAATGAAAAACTGTAATTTGTGAAATTAACTCAAAATCGGTGATTTGCAAAAGGGGAATACGAAATTTATGAACTAGAAATCGGTTTTTCTCGAAAAAGGTAATTCTGTAATTTGCACTTTTGTGGAATCAATGCACTAGCTATGTGAAAGAGAAATGACGCCATAAAGCCACCCCTCCCTGCGTAATAATTGTCTCCCACCCCTCCCAAAGTAATAACAGGCTGCTTCCCACCCGTGCCTGAGTACTGATAGACTGTATATTGTATCCCATCCCTCTCTGAGTGCTAATGGTCTGCCTCTCCCCTCTCTGATAGTAGATAAAATGGTCCAAAAAAAGAAGTCCAAAAAAGAAAAAAGGTCCAAAAATGATCGTCCAAAAAAAAATAGTCCAATGGTCCAAGTGTCCATTGGTCCAGTCCATGCTTCATTCTATGCCATTACTTACCTTGTTGCACTTTTCTTTAGGAGTGAAGATGCACTTTAGCCGCTTTTCCTATTCTGTTCTCCATACCTGATCAGACTTAAACCTGTTCAGAAAAATGGAATAAAACTTATTTAGTACCCATAAAGTACTTGTTATTGAAATGAGTGCAAGGTAATTAACAGCGCCGACGCGACCTCTTGTAAATTGATGAAAACCTATTGTATGCTATGCAAACAGTTTAGTGAGAAGTCGCCTGACACAATAACCACAAATTAACACATAATCAACAGACAAGGAGCACAAACGATCTGGTATTCCACTCAAGACGCGCTGACATGGATAAAGCACAAGCTTGCGGCGATGGAGCGAAGAAACCAATTTTGGTCAAACTTGTGCTTGTGGGAAAAGTTGGTGTTGGAAAATCAGGTAGAACTAAGCATAACAGTCTGTCCTCTGTCCAATGTGTTTAATTTTCACGCATTTTTCAACACATATACTTAAAGTTATGTGCTTTGTTATTCTTCATATCTTTTGTTCCTTTTGCACACTCTCTTGTTAGCTTAAGTAACAATATTTTGCGGCGAAAGCTCCGTACACGTATATTAACCTAGCTGGTTACAGTACGTTTGAATTCCGTTTGAATTTCTTTCCAGCAATGATCGTGAGATTTCTAACTAAGAGATTCATAGGAGAGTATGACCCCAACGTCGGTACGTATGTAGCTCTAACTCTGTTTATTTTACAATTCCTACAACCTTCACAAGTAACCGACAATTCATAAGAAAAAGCCTCTAATGGAACAACCAAGAATTTGTGTTTACACATGCAATCACCAACGCGAAGCTGTCATGGCCGGCAAAGCAAGCCATTGAATTTCCAATTTTTGGCTCGCGCGATGCTCGAGCTATCTTCAAATTCTGGAGATACAAGATTTTCTTTCATTTAGTCTTTTGACTTGTGCCGAAAGAGAAAAAAGAATTAACATACATTAGCCGTAGCCGAGGCTTCTTTTATCAATATTTATCGGGTATTAGTAGCACCTTTGTTTAATGTTAGAGGTCAACTTTAATCCATTCAGTGTCGGATCATGACGCTCTTCGGGTACATCAAATGATTAAATCGAGTTGGTCATCGGTTTTCTACCTTCAAATGACTGAATGTGTCTTATTTTTACAGAACATCTGCATAATTTGTCGTAATCTTACGAAACACTTTTCACCGCTAAATTTTAACCGGATTGATTATGAGGTTATTACATTTTGTTATGGTACGATGTTTATATTCAGGCGGTGATAACCATTTCTCAATTCCGTGTTAAGCCGAGATAAGTATTGTTGTACTAGAATTTCATGAAAATTAATTCTTTCCTTCTGTTTGAATATGATGATGGCTAGTTAGGAGTTATCTCGCGCAGTTTACATTCGCAATGGCACTTTGTGCAGTTTTTTTCCAGCAATGATATTCATAAGATTTGCAGGACGAGAATTCTGAGTGTTTAAAGCAAGAAAACTTGAAATTTGATTTGGTCCAAATTTGCAGCGGGTTCTGTTAAGCCAATTGATTTCATAGCTATAAAACCATTCGACAGATACATGGTTAATGTATCGAGTGAATAAATAAACAATATAGATTTGGTCCCATTCAACAGCCATCGATAAGGTTTATCACTTGCTAAATCGGCGGATCTTTAATCAGCTTAAATGTGCTTATCACGATTCAGTCTTATCGAGGGTTCGTTGGAAAGATGTGTTGTGTTGTGTTCCCTCGACGTAAAACTGATTGACAATGTAAGCCAGGAAAGGAAGGAAAGTACTAACCCTATGGCGTATACGCCTCCATTATCGCTTTTATATTGCACCAGGGCACTTGTTAAGTGAACGATTTGCTTAAAAAATAATCAATTGGGTGCAGTTTCGTTATATAATCGCTCCAAATGGGTTTATCTGAATGGTAGGCCTTTAACGCCTGTTTTTCTTTCCTGCAAATTATTGTTCAGTGGGCGTGCGTGTTTTTTCATTTTCCAAATTTCTCCAGGTTCAATATATCACCATCATACTAGACTGGAAAATCAAGATGTCCGTGTGGAGATCCTGGAGTCTGGAGGCAAGGTATGGAGTGACAAATAGAACACTTGTGCGTGCGCGCCGTGCTGTAGCAGTCGTTTTATAGAGAAAATGACCAGTAAAAATGTAGCCTTTTCCAGGCAAACCTCCCTGACCTCTTGCTGGCATTCTTGGTACCCATTTACGCTCTTTCTTCTCGTTCAATTATTTTCTCGTCTCTACTAATTGAGACCATCAAAGAAAAGTGCAAGCGAGAGTATACGGAAAATTTTGAGAAAGAAGAGTAGTAAATTTATAGTGTGAGGGACGAATGGAAAAAAAAAATTTTTTTTTTAAAATCTGAGTACTTAAGAAGGCGTGTGTTTATAATCCTACGATTGTAGCAGTGTGCTATGACGCCGATCTTCTTAATGCCTTCTTTTAATGGTGCATCTGATTAAAATTATTTCTAAAAATGAGAGTGTGATTTTTTGACCCTCATCCTATGATAATACACTGAGAACGTTCGGAAAGGTCCTTTGAAAGCTGTTATTATTACTATTAGTGTAATAATTGTTAATAGTACTATTATTATTTAAAAATGTTTGAAGCGTTTGCTTCAAGAGCAATTGTGCTCGCGCTCAGTTAAATTAACTACACTGGCCGTAGGTAAACTGATAAAAATAGAAAAATCGACGGACGAGATGGGAACATTAGTTGTATTTAAATAAAATTGTAAATTGTTAAGAATTCCTTAGATAATTTTGAACTAAGATAAATGATTTTAATTCAGTTCATTTGGGGGTATTAACAGAATCATAAAGATACAAACAAACTTTATACTTATCTAAAAGAGATGATCGCAGAGCCTACACGAGTGGGGCTAGTATCTGGGTGCTAGTTAGCAGCTCAGTTACCAACGATTGACCCTTTATGGGACAGTGTTTAATGAAACTGACACCCGTAATCGGTCAAATGGAACAGCGTACGTGAAGGTACACCCAAGGATCTAAATCCTGTTCCAGAAGTTCAGTTAAGTAAACGAGGCGTGGCAGTAAACGGCGCGATACCAGGAGGGGAAAAATGAGGAGGCTTGGGTCGAGTCGGTTCCTTAACCGACCCGATCCAAACCTCCCAGGTTTTTTTTCACTCCTCCGCTGCTACTGCACCGTTTACTATTTCGCTTTGTTTACTAAACGAAACAGGCTTCGTAATCTAAAACTTGATAATCGTTTTCTCATGGTTGATATAGGACTATATTGAGAAAAATGACGTCCATGCTCTGTGGGGAGACGCGTTTGTTCTGGTTTATGCAGTGGACGATCGAACAAGCTTTGAAGAACTTACTGCTGTTAGGAATCATCTGGAAAAAGTGCGAGAAGCTGACCATCCTGTTCTGGTGTTGGTTGGAAATAAGAGAGAAGTAGGGAGTGACCGAGTTGAAGTGTCGAAACAAGATGGAATCCAGCTTGCTGAAAAATTGAACTGTTTGGCCTTTCACGAGGTTTCCACGAAGGCGAGCTATCAAGACATCGAATTCGTGTTTATAGAAGCAATCCGAGAGACAATGAAGTACAAAATGACTCAACGGGTTCTGAACGGGGCAAGGAGATCATCTCACAGCAAAATTATGGAAATGGTTGAGAAGAACGTGAGTCGAAACAGGGCCATGTCAAGTGTTAAGGAGACCATAGACGAGTATTGCGCTACAAGAACTGAGGAGCTCACCCGGGATTTGTCACGCGATCGGAGCAGCACCTTTACATGATATGCATAGATCGAATAATGTAAGTTTGCTCACGATTTGCTGCGTTACTGGTAGAGATCAGGAGCATCACCAGTAAGGAAAAAAGCTAGATGAGTGAGCAAGTTTTGACAACATATTTCAAGTTTCAAATCTTGCAGGTATTGAAGTTGATTTGTCCAGAAGATTGCGTTTGATGAGTTATGTGATTGTTGGGAATTGATTTAGCCGTCAATAACCCGCCCAATGGACCCGGAAATGTTTGGGTGTGAAATAGGAGAAAAAGTCTTATTCTGGAAATCACTGCGTTCCGGGAACTCAAGATGCATGGTGCATTAAAACATTAAATGACTAACTACAGGGAAAAAATGTACACGAACGATGATTAGAAGAAACAGTTTAAAAACTTGAATGAGGTAATGCGATATATTAAGTATAGGCAGTCACTCGAAGATGTATTTTTCAAACATCCCCCCCCCCTTCCCGGACAAGTTTAACATACGGAATCATATATTTATACAGTGTTTTATTGGCACTTTTTTCTTTCAAAGACCAATTAATTACCAACTGTTTATAGATTCTATACAAATTAACAAACCTAAAACGTTACTGTTCAAGTAAATAATTTTATTTATAACATTTTGTCTAACATGTCAGAATACCCTAGAGCCTTGTGTATTCTGGATTTGGTCTCTTGCTTTTTGCAGACTAAATTAATGCCTAGCATATAGACAAGAAAAGCATTATTAGTTCGTATTTCTGATAGAAATCTTTCTCTACCCTAGGTCTTTGGAATGGGAACGAGCCAAAAGAGGAAAGATTTACAGGAAGGAGAAGCGAAACACGTAGGCGTTCCCTTCGTCTTTTGCACACCCACTTCATTGAGCATGGAGATTTCTGAGTACTGCATAGAGCTAATTGCCCGGAAGGAGTTTCACTAAAGAATCTAACATATGAGCAATGGGGAAGGTTGCTGTAACCTGCGCAGCAGATGAGTTTGTAAATCGTGCGCTCCCAAAAACTATGAACTGTGCAGACTAAGGTGGTGATAAAATTTCCAAGCTTGTCTTGTGGGGGATCTTTTTATAATTACTTCCGGCTACAGTTAAATTAGTAGCAGAAGAAAACTGAAAATATTAATACACGTTTATACACAGGTTATATCGATTCAGATCGTAATCCATAAACTACGGTTTTCTTCATCCTCAAATGGGTGAAGCTCCATATTACATGTTTATACTGCATATTTCGCGTGGATTTTACTTGATCCTACGCGGGGTCCAAGTTTGATTTTCAAACTCAAATGTCTAAATTTAAGAAGTGTCTATTTCCAGATATCTGAAGTTGTCTGGGTTGAGAATCGTATACAAGAGTCCTTTAAAAGCGAATCCTCTCGGATGCAATGAGGAAACTGTGTTGCTTTATATATTCCCTGTTATTTTCCTTATCATCCGTATAAATGCTACGTGCGTGGCTAAATTTCCCAGAGACATAAATTCTGGGCGTTTCTTTCCAAGCCAAGCTAATTAACAGGCAACAGCCTGTGTAGACTTTCTTCTAAAAGGCATTGTCTTCAATCCTTTGACCTTTGCCCAAGAAGACGGAGACTTCATTTCTTTATGTGGAGAAATCATGGGGGTCGGGGAGTGAGGAGTGGTAATTGTGCCAGCTGGATCTTGCGAAGGATGCGCGTTTAAATATTGTCTCAAGATCTCATTAAACATGTTTACTGTTTCAGCAAAACTCTCGGAAATTGATATCTCGAAGAAACCACAGTTGAGGGAATAGGTGAGTCTTGAGCCGTCTGTCTCGCGAACGGTTCTGAAGTGTTCCAAATCGCGCTTAGTTCCCGCGATAATTATACTGCTGGAGTCCAGAGTTCTGTAACGTCTTATGTACTTGACGATCTTACCGGCTTCTTGAAAACTGGCGCGGTCTGTGATGGAGTAGAGAACAAGGAAGATGTCTGCGTACCCAATGATGTTCTCAAGCTTCTCTTCCGAGTTCTAAAAAAAATGAAGGGAGTAGTCAATCTTTGTCCTTCCCACCCCTCTCTCTCTCTCCCTTGTTCTTGCTTAGGGAGTCTGGAAACGATGTATCCTCTCATGCAGTTCTGTGTAATTAACTGGAAGATTTACCTTTCCTGCTGTGTCCAAAATGTCCAGTGCAACATATTCTCCATCCACGTCGATGTGATGTCTATTAGTTGTTTCTGTGAAAAGAACCAACAAGCTATTACAACGCAGAAGTTTTACAGAGTTTATCAGTTTTCTTGAATCTTTGTACAGTGGTTATTGCAGCTACTTCAGACTAACGTGTCTTTTCCCGATAAGCTAGCGCTTGTTGCAAGAGATTGGTGAGAAGGACGTGTATCTTTTTAGAAACAGGATCTTAATTGTTGACACTTTCAGCTCTCGCAAGAAACCTTTTAAGTTCAGTCTGGCCTGTTAAGAAGAGCGAAACCTATCAAAACGATCCTTATCGAAAAGCAGTCGGTGGTTCAGTCTGGGTGATACATTAAGTGGGATTATTTACCGATCAAGACCTCTTGATTATGCATCAAATATAACCAGTTACAAATCAAATTCAGACATGACACGAAGTTGCAAAACTTGATGGAAGAACCGTTTTCAGATGAGCAGCTGTCTTAAGAAGCGGCGGGAATATTCTTCTGATTTGCTGGAAGCACTTCAAAACAACCGAGTTATTCAGCGTAGGTGGAAACGTGCCGTCAAAATATTTTGAACCATTGATGCGTTGCCAGTACAACAGAGGAGGAACATAAATTAATAAACAAATTAAGTTGGTACGAAACAGCTTCAGTTGCTTCGAGGCAAAGTTTACATCAAAGCCTTAATTTCAATCTATGCGAATTTTTGCAACTCACAGTATAACTGCCACTTCTATGTGAAAATTGAAATTTTTTTGGAGACAAAACCAGATTTTCCCTTCAACATATGCAGTTCGCTCACATCACGTTCTCAAAATATGAATGCAAGTTGAAAAGGAAAATATTGCACAGAGTTTCATAAATTTACTCGAAGTTTCTTTTGTTTGTTGCGTGTCTTGAACTGTACTGCTCACGAATTCGTCGCTGAAGCATAACTTTCCCGCGGAGGGACAACTTTGGACTACAATGGAGGCAGTTTCCTATTTAGGAAAAATTACGTCAATTGCGAATCTAGGGCGGCAAGTGATTAAATGACTCCTATGGTTTATGCTAACATGACCAACGCGGCTTGAAATGATTTGTACGTTTGCTCTGTGTACTGACGTATGAAGACGCGAGCAATGAAGCAAACGCTTTTAGCAAAAAACCCTGCGCACCAAAAGTAGCGAATTGATCATCGTAGATGAACTGCAAGTGAAGAAATTGTAAAAAGTAAAATAACTGTAAAAGAATACGGACTTAACAGGCACTAGCATGGTCCCGTGCCTTCAAGATATTCTGTTTTCTTGTGTTCTGTTGCGTGCTACGAAGACATATGCCCTGCACGAGGAAAATTCTACTTCGCTATTACTTTCCGGAAAGAAATTTAATCACAGCCGTTGAAAGGTCGTTAACTATACCCCGTCTACATCAGATATGCTTTTAACCGGCAGGAAGAAGAAATGAACCAAAAATAAAATCACTTACTTACCTAACGTTTGGTCGTATTCTCCAATAAAACGCTTTGTTAGGAATCGTACCGTGAGAGCTACAATGTAAAAGTATTTTTTTTCCTCATCAGTTAGGATCATTATTAGAATTGATAAACAGAAAAAAAACAATAAACACTGAGAAGTTCTCACTGTGAGCATACTGTTGAGGAACACATCTAAATACATTGATAGTTCTTATCCATGATAAGCCCTCGGTTGAGGGAAAATGTGATTTTTGAGAGTCCGACGAAATTAAAAAGTGACAAACAAACGTAAACAGATGAACCGACAAAAAAAATATTCATGATCTAATAATAACATGGTAATGAAGAAGATGTTTGAATTTGTATTGGATTGGTTAACCCGTTAATTTCATCCATAAGGGTAAAAGCGATCAATCAGTAAACCTTTACATAAAGAAATCATGGAATCTTTGTTGGACTTTGTATATGCCCGGCTAAAATATCTAGTCCTTGATTGAAAGGCAATTTTTCTGCCGCTTCTAAAGACTTGTTCCCGGAATTTAATGCTACGATGCGTTTTTATTACTGGTGCTTCTATCTTAAATATTGTGTGAAGTCTGTTCATGTAGGAATCAAGGTGAAAATTGACTAGCGACAAATAACGGAAACAAACAAAGCTCAGACAATTGGTTTTGAACTTGTGGTCGATGTGTACTTGAGGGCTTCATCGAGCAGGAAACCTCAAATATGAGATTGCCGTAAGTTCCGCCTGGTTTCTTATTTACAAATTGCGATCGTCTGTTCATTGCAAATTGAAGAGTCAATTTGTTAAAGTTAAATTTTACACAAGACACTTTAAAAGCAAACTTCAAAATCGAACTCAGACTACTGCAACCGCGACCAAACAAGAAATTTCGAAACGTGTTTCCATTTTGAAGTCACCTTTTCATGTAATTTTCGAACTTGGGTCATTTGTAACCGTAGAAAAAAACAATTTTAAAAATTGTGGACAGTTTTGTTAAAAAGCGAGCTTTTGCAAAGCATGTGTAACTTCACATTAACACTCAAATGTACGTTGCGTGCTTCAACTTACCTGTCTTTCCGACGCCGTCTTGGCCCATCACGGCAATTCGGATGTTGCGCAGGTTAACTTGATTGCTATAACCGAGTTTTCGTCTCTGCTTCATGGCTTGCCTGCTAGCGGAGTCCTTGTCCAATGAATCTGAGAGAGGCACAGACCAGTGTTAACGACGTCTGCCTAAATTTAGCGAGTCGTCAACAGTCATTGTTTAATTGTGGCTTGCTGCCTGTAGCCAGAGGCAATAAATTCTTGATCTCACGTTGCCCTTCTGAATTAGTCTGTAAATATTGCATGTTTTTAGCGGAATGCCTTAAAAAAAGTTAACAATTTAAGCTTCCAGAAACAACTGAAAATCACTTGAGAATAATTAAGTTATCAATTCGAGGACAACTGACATTTTTTTAAGCTATCTAAAGTTGTCTTCTGTCCAAAGAATATTTTGAAATTCTCTTGAATGCCCATCTCTGATCAGTCATTTAGCACTTGGTACGATAAGAATGGAGTCAATTACAATAAACCACGTCGTCTTTTTGATTTTATCAATCTTAAGCTCTCTTGTATGAAAATTAACATACACGTAAAAGAATCAGAGAAAAATGTATTTTAAAATAATCCTTTCAAGAGTCCACCGCTTTCATTGACTTCCGCACTAAAACATCTTTCTAAATTATGAACGTTGTGCCGCGTAGCACTGGGAACACAAATGGTGAAACAGAGAATTTAATTTACACTTCAGAGTTAATTCTCTGTTTCACCATTTATCTTTCTAAATTACTACGGTTAGCAAGCATGGCGTAGACACCCTCACAATACTAGAGCTTGCACGCAGGCTGAACAAACGTTGGTCTAGGTATGCACGCTACGTTACTCGATCATGATTTACAAAGGACGGGGTAAGAGTTGACGATGAAATTTTCGCAATTGAAAATACCCTCGAGCTGTAAATGTATATATCTCTAAAGGAATGAAAACATCTAATTTACGTGAATTCAGTGTATTAACGTGACCTGTCTCTGATGGTGATTGTATACGCGTGGTTGTGTCTCTAATTGTAATTGCAAACACGTGGTTTACTAGCCAAACGTGTTTTGTAGTTCACATTTATTCAGAGAATAGGTGCGAGATTCAGTTTCCCTTACCGCAAGCGGTCCAAGCTCCAGCTGTGAGATGATCATTTTCTGGCGAAATTGTAAGAGTTTGTAAAGGAGGCTAACCACAGAAGAGAAGCCCTCTTATGTAGTGATCGTCTCACAGCTGGAACTTGGGCTGCCTGTGCCCTTACGATAATAAAAAACTCTGCTGGGTTTGACCTCGTCGGAAGATGAAATTAACAGCCACTCGCTGATAAAACGTGACCAGCGCCTCTAAAGGGATAAGGCAATAGATCGACAACGAGATGTAGAGTTCAACGAAAGCTCAGTTTATGGTTAGGCTTCGGTAAATATTCCTGTCTCTCTTCTGCGATAGGTTTGTCAATTAACTGTCGCTAGAAAGGTCCAAGCAATCATTATTGATCTCGCGGGGATTTAAGAAATTTTCATTAAGGCTATTAAGGTAGCATCTCTCTCCACGATCGTACAGACCCCGTCAAAACTCGCGCGCGGATCGGTGAGGAGATTTACTAGGAGGCAGAATAAATTGAAATTGTTATCCTGCAATGAATTTGTCCATATCCAACACAAGTAGGATACTCAATATAAGGCAATCACCGAAAGTGGAGCAATGTGTTCCGATGTATCCATCCGTGGAACTTAACTGATAGAAACTGGTTATCTTCTACTCGCAAACTGTAATCCAAACTTGAACTTTTGTTGAAAGTAGGAGGAAAACTTTTTTTGGGAAGCTGATATTAAGGGGGCTTTTCTGGAAAAATATGGGTCGGAAGGTAATAGCTCAAGAGCTGGAAGACGCGAAGGCCAAAATGAGGGAGACTTGAGTCAGACTTCATGAAACAGTTAAGAGCACTGTTACAAAATTTACAACGTTCTGTATGGCATTTAGGAACAAATGAAGATGGACAAAAATGAGCAATATCAAATGTCCCTTTTAAAACTATAGAATGAATATTTCAAACTGGCCAAATGCTTCAACAGCTCAGCATTCGAGTCATTCATGTCCTAGCCAAATATACGTAGGTCACCTAAGGTGAATGTATGAATGGAAAGCCGTACATAAGAGGGTTGTTTTCGTCGGTGACGGAGTTTCGATAATCTGAGAAACAGCCATGATCAAAGTCGACTGAATGATATGAAAATTGAATTGAAAAGTAATTTTACTTTCTTTAAGTCTGTCAGTAATGAAGTTGATTAATGGGGGCAGCCATTTGAAGCATGCAGTGCTCTTTGCAACTGAACATAATGCTTTTAATTGTTGAGTGGCGGTAATGAACGTCCTTCATGCAAATTAGACAATCGAATGAAAGCATTTGAACTTTCAAGGGGTTTCTTGTTTGTCACTCGGTCTAAAGTGTTTCTAGCTCTGTAAATCATTGTATTAAGCTTAAGAGTGTGTATTCAGACTGAGTCTTCCAGCAAGCATGTGCATTTAATGCAATGCTGTTTGTGTACATCTCGAAACTGAAGCCAATGGATCTTAAATGGTGCTACAAATAAAGGAAAATTATTCCACTTATTTGCGATCAGACTCCTTCAATGAGAGGAAAGAATCCAATGAGGTTTGCCTCGCTCTGAACTTGTAGCTCAGAGCGCATAAACTATTATACAGATGGCACTTGTTCAAACCCAGTCGAAGCCAGTATTTTCTGATGGTTCTTTTTTTTTCGCAGTTTACTTCATTAATTACTCGCTTAGATATAAAAGATATCCTTCGGTGCTAATCGACGTATTGGCTTATTAAAAGCATACCGTGAAGTAGCGCCAGCTTGGAAATTTCATCAGTGGTTTTACTTCTATGTCACATCGACGTGTAAGCAGTTCTAGTATCTCTAAATAAACAGATCTGGCAGCAAGAAGCAACAGAGATTTTCTTAAATGAGTGGTTCTCTGAATTCAGAAGTTCAACTTAGTCTTGCAATTACGTTACAATTGATTATTTCATTTCGTGGTTAACACGACGCGTCGACATTTCACAGAATCATCAGGAAAAAACCAAACTCTGTTTTTATATCATCGTCAGTTCTTTCAGGAGAATATTCTCTTGGTTCTGTCAGTCATTCCACGTTATTTTCGTCCGCGCTCCGCCCTCCCGATATGTTATGAAATGCTGTTGCGGAATGAAAGTGTTTCTTCCTTCACAAATCGGTTTAATTCCATAAAATTGGCATTCGCTAAGTTTTAGTTCGACCGGACCAAACATGACTTAAACGTGTAACGGAGCTTAGGAAATCAGGAGAAACTGTGATCTTATTTGCAAAGACTACAAACTCTAACAATCGAAATCAAACAGTAACACATACGTCAGAATTAGTTAAGGGACAGAACTTTCTGAAACTAAACAAGGAAAAGTGATTACGTAAAACAAAATTCTCTCTTTGAATTTTGGTGACATGTAATTACTATGGAACATGCTATTGCCGCTGCCGCTTCCCGAATGCACAAATTAATTTTAGAGTGGATTGAGTACCTCACTTCCTGTCGGACTTCCTCGCGAAAGAACTGTTTGCTTAGCTTTTCAGTTGTAAACAGCCGCAGCCGGATGCACGATGCTTGCAGTGCTTAAGTCTCCGTCTTACTCTGTAAGATGATTCCTTGGCTTTGAAACTTTACCTAACTCAGTAAGACGGTCTGAATTTTTGACGTTGACTGTCTCGTGACAAATTCCACTGCTCAGTTATAATCTATTTGCTTAGGAATCTAAGACGATCTATTTTTCGTTGGAGTGACATACGACCATATCACAGCTGTCATCACATTCATTTTCGCTCAATATTTTTCGGCTAAATAGTGTATTTTATGATAACAGAAATGTAGTTTAAGTATGTACTGATTAAATTAAACAAACTGTTTAATCAAAATACAAACACCTTAACAAAACTGAAGTAACAAGTCAAATTTTCAAATTGGCAGCAGTTTATCCACAACACTTCGTGATAAAGGTCTGCGCTTAGAGATGAATACACCAATAGACTAAATACATTTCGATCTGTTGTGAGCATTATTAGAGGTCCATAACCTTTACTGTTTTGGTTTCTAAATAAAGATTGTTTACCTAAGGCAAGTCGGCAGAACAGAAAAACAGGAAGCCTTCAGACAACGTTATAAGTAAAAAAAATTATACTTTATATTCGCCTTCAGAACAAAAGAAAAAAAAAAACAGCGAAAACAAAAGATCTTGAAATCCCTTTCCCGACCGATCATGCAAGACCGTTTTCTTGTTGACAGCCAATGCGATCTTTTTCTGCGGTCATTTCACTCCGAAAAGTGTGTTGGGTAAACTTCATCTATCATCAAATCTATAAACCAAGACTCAAATCTCTAATAGCGAGTGTCAATACTGATTCATTCTTAAATTCGACGCCCTTTATCACATTTCAGAACCTCTGTTTAAAAAACCCTTGCTATTCACTGACACATTAATTTGACATTCCCTTGTCACCAGATCGCGACATAGTTTGCAATGCTTGGATTTCCGTGATCTGCGATCATGAGATGAGATGAACAACATTCATATACAGCTGCATTGCACTCATCAGGAACAGAGTGATTGTATCTGTTCTATAAACTGTGAGCCATAACGAAGAGTCGCTGTGCAATAATCATTCTGACAGCAAGCCTCCTACGTTAGGCAACTCCCTCCATTTCGTTCTCATTGTGGGAGGGCACGGCTACTCATGGGCTATCCGATACCTTTATGTTATCAATGATTAAAAAGGGGATAACGAAGTCCGTAATGTTTCCAATTGAGATGTTAAAGTTTTAATTACTATCGCCCGTCAGTGCTTATTGTAATTAATTATAGAGGTGGAGCTTAAAATTTTCAGTACGTGATCGTATTGCCGTTTTTTTTTTTTTTTAATTTTTTTTTCAAAAAACTGGGCTGATTTCCAAGTTTCAGCAAAAACGGAAAGATCGATTGCAACGGTTTATTGATATGACTTTAATTTAGTTAACCTGCGATGATCGCTTCGTCAAATGTTGCCTTATCGACAGGTCAATATGTAATTTATTTCATATGTACCACAGAAATCGCAACACATGGACATGGTGAGAAGTCAACGAGCACTCGGCATGTGGTCATTCCATCGAATTTTCCGAGAAACTGCGCCAAAATTTACAGTCAAAGACAACATTTAAATTATTTGCAATAAATTCAACCAAGAGAGAGAAACAATGCCTAAAACAAAAGCGAAAACAAAGTAGCCGAGACTGAGTAATTCTCTCAAGTCTCGATATATTTCAATCACTAAGCAATAACTTTGCGATTACAATGGAACGTAAACAACGTTTCGCGTATCGAGCTTGACTCTGATTATGACTTTAGATGAGGCAGTTGAAACGTCAGTCACCACTGTTTGAAACATTTCTTTCCTGAGCTACCCTCACTCGAATTATTTAAACAATTTTTGTTTCCGTCCTTCATCGTTGCTTTCCAAACGAGTAGTACAATCTCTCTGTACAACTTCTTTCAACTCTTTTACGCAGTGGTGTGACCAAAGATGGATTTCCCTTCACGACATCAAAACAATTTTTAAGCAGAAACGTAATACGAAGTGAAGAAATTATCAAATCAGTAATACCATTAAACGGACCATCAAATTCTCAGATCTAAAAGAATAAGAAATGTATGGCAAACAGAACGGAGAATTAATATCTGGATTGACCAAGAGAGAAAGGAATAATAAGGTTCTTGCAGTAATATTTAGTCCAAAAGGAAATAAATCCCTGCCTTTTCTTAGTTTTCAAGATGTTTTTCGAGAGAAAGTCCATAAAAATTCATTGGTAGTGAAAAACTCAAACGTTGCCTAATGCCGACTAATAACAGACATGGGATTAATAACGTTTGTCAATCAAATGAATACAGTTGACCAAGAGAGAAGTAATCATAAGTTCTTGCAGCGTTTCCGCGTCCATTACAAGGAAATAAACCCCAAGAAAACGTTTTCACGTTTTCGTGTTTTTATCCCCTTTAACATAATTCCAAATTTCGACGAAACGAATTGCTTCTAGAACGGCATCTAGAGAGAGGGCACCTCAACATTGAAAGCCACAACTTAATTTCGAATCAAAACCAGGAGATGGGTACAGTAATGTTTTCATTATGTAGACAACAGCTGCTGAGAATTCACCAACCTCTTAATTGGAAGACACAGAGGTATCACCTAGACAGTGATACGTAGATATACAGCATTATGAGAGAAGTGATAAGGTGAACTTTAGTTGTTCAAAAAAACGCGACTACAAGAAAAAATAAAGCTAAGGGAAGCGTTGATCCCCATTTTCTGGTCTGTTTATGCTGCCAAGACCAACAGGAGATAAATCAAATAATTATCCAGCTGACTCCATAGTATATGGAGTGAACCCTTGAACACCATAGAAAGCATGCGCAACCATGTAGACGCGAAGTAGTTCGTCGTCGGGCACGATCGAATGACAGTTGATGTGACAAGAATCCATGATAGAAGAATCCTACAGGTAACGCTAATACGGCGATCAATTCGAAGTTTCAACCTTTCCCCCCTCCGGGCAACACACGGGTATTTGTGGGGGTTGGGGAATTTGAAACCGAACTGTCAAGTCTTCCTAGTGGAGTACACTTGTTTTACGAAAAAAAGAGTGACCATCAAATCCGGCACAATTTTGGCCCAGCGAGGGGTTGGGGGTAGAATTTGAACGATCCAATCTTCAAAAGTTCTAATGCTTAGGGGTTTCTCGGGGGGGATGTTGAAGCTTCGAATTGATCGACGCATAACTTCGGGAATCGAATCTGAGCAACAGAGGTGTGTGGCGGGCAATTGATAGCACTGGCAAATTAAAATTCGCCTCAGCTTCAGGAAAAGCTTAATCTACGCGGAAGACTAATCTGCTAAAGAAACAAAGGTGTGTTAAACATGGGAATTGTGTATGATATCAGTAATGATCTGCGCAAATCGCACAACAAAGGAGAACAAAGTGATTTGTCCTTTACGCCCACCAAGAAGAAAGAAGAACGGTGAGTTCCTTTCAAAACCTTTCTTATACCCCATTCACACCAGCAAAACATGTTTTGTTAAACTGGTTTTCATTGAATGAAAATTATAAACAGAGAACTGAAAAACTTGATTTTCCATAGGATTCAAGTACTTGCTAACTTGCATTTCCGATGTGCTACATTCAAGTCAAAAATATTCGGTTAAATAGTTTCTATGAAGAAAAAAAAATTAAACTGTGTTTAACAAAACAACTTTTAAACATGTTTAAACTTTGGTGTGAATGGGGCATTATTCAGTTTTGAGATCTGGAATCTCAATAAGTCAAATGAAATCAGATTAGCCGACGAACAAGAGATCTATATACTTTACATGCAGTTATGAAATCGCTGAAACCTCTCATATCAAGTGGTTGAATCAATTTTGCAATAACAATGATCTTTGCTCTTCAGAAGGGTGCGACAGGAAGTACGACATAAATGGGCCGGTAACGGTTCATGACTGTTCGCTGGAGACGTCGGTATTCATATGTAAAATCGTGGTTTAGCTCAAAAGATTTGGCTCTCATACGTCGGAAATGAACAAGGACGATTTCCACCAATAAATGGCGAGCATAATAACAACATGAATGTGATTACATAATTTTTTGTTTATTGGAAAGCCATCAGGAGTGTAGAGTACCCAGAGTAGTCCAGGTTGAATCGAAACAGAGAGCCAAAATATCAAGTGTTTTCAAAGTCCAAGCAAGGCAAAGACTGTTCGCCTGAGTGAGCGAAGGGAGATATCACGGCTGAGGAATGATTCGTCATCTCCGCTCAATCTGATAGCGAGTGTATGCAGCTGCAGTTAATTACAATTACTGCGAAACCGAAACTGTTTGCCCAGATCAAACACAACAATGACGAAAACAAAGTTTGCCTCAAGAGACAGACATTTTGCATTAATACACTTCGAGTTGGGTTTAAGTTTGTGAGGAACATGTTTTAAAGCATGTACATTTTCCAAATCAACCAATCTGTAAGATAAATCCTCTGTTTTCTCTTTCAGAGTTCAATGGCTAACTTTGTGCTGTTAAGTGACGACTGAAGTCGTCTAAGTATTCGCTTTTACTGATCGAAGTCTGCAGCATTCTCGGTTCATATCGAAAGAAATTTGTACAACATCTGACTCATCTGACTGTGAAACTAACATACTATAGTCCGCTTGCTTCCCAATTGAGTCCCACCACCACCAGCTGCAAAACGTTACACATATCAAAACGCTGATTAGCAAAAGGTAGCGGTGTTTAGTTCAACATACCTTGCCCATTTCTCAAAGGCATCACTGCAACCCACTCTGACGATTTATTCGCGCAGGAATTGTAAAGTCACATCCGAAATGTACTGATGCTATGCTACAGCAGAAGCGATCACGTTGCGTAAAAATGACGTTCCCTATGATGAGCTAATTACGAAGCCTGTCAGCAAAACACAATGATGAAATATTTCAAGTATGTGAATAGCCCTTGGATTATCGGCTATCTCGCAGGAGAAAGTTCAGTTTAATTTAGAAGGGTTAAAACTGCATTAAAAAATGCAATCGCTTGTATTGCGTTCAGCCAAGACCAATGGAAGATTTTTCCTTACTTAGTTAAAGACGACCGAAAGAACTATCTCAAGTATCACAGGCAAGATTGGATTTTGTGAATATTCAAAAATCAAGAGCAAAACGAAGCTTAGTAACTTTGCTACAGCTGACAGTGTTTTCGTGTGAAGCGGTTTTTGCCATTGAGCGGGCGATTCACTTTTTTGAAGGCTGCGCCAAGCATGAATGTATCTGCCATTCGAAGAAGCTTAAGATTAACGCTGATTCCATGGTGCACGCCGCTTCTTAGTTCAGTTATCCGAGTTTAGTCCAGTATTTCACTCAATTTTTTTCACTAACTTAATAAGCAGTCGTTATTATGAGTCATGCCAAACCTTTCAAAAATAGACTTTTCCTGTGTAATTAAAAGCTGTATCTTGAGCTTTAGTGTATTTAAGGAACGAGCGAAATGAGATTACTGACAGTATCACTAAAAAAAATAACAATAACTGTAATAAATAAATTAGGAAGCCGTCAATTAAGGTTACAATCAACTAATTAGCTGATAATTGGAAGATTGCGAGACTATTGAAATATCTGTCAGTTGTAAGTTAAACAGGTATTCTCATCATTAACAGGGTGATGGTTGCATGCAATCTGCTATGTTTACTGCGCGTATTAGCTGTAATTTGTTTACAGACTATAGCGACGTGTGGGTCTCAGTGCTGCTACAAAATCAGTTTGACTTTTCACCCAGACTTATTTAAAGGGTTTTTGCAAAGTTTTTGATTAGTAGGTCGGCTACTTTTTGGCTTTAGATGATCACTTGTTTAAGCCTTCTCCGTCATTAATAAGGCGGTTCTCCTCGTAAACATAAACTTTACTCCTAATAGTACAGGTTATTCTCACAATAATCCAGTGTCTCACTGAAACACAGATTGAAGAGTGTGGGCGACGATTGCTTGTAACCTGAACTAGATTTGTCTTGCACCTTTTTCACATTTCCAAATCTTAAAAGTAAATTTTACCACATTATATTGTCCCAAAGAAGAGAAAGGAGACGAGGAAAACCGGAATAAATGTGCCAGTGGAAGCGGTGGGGAAAATTAACGATAAAAACAACAAAACATCAACAACCACCGTGACAACACCAGATTACGTGTTATAGACTGCTACAATAAAATAGGTTTGACTTTTTACCCATACGGTCATTTAAACAACAAACCGCACTCTCTGACGGTTTATCGCCGGCGTATTAAACTACGCGGGATGTTGGAAGAACACGAGAAACGTTTGTAAGCTATACCAGCTGGAGGCGGGTGGTTTACGTGACGTTCAAGGTGTCCTCTTCATTTCCTCTAAACCAAAGGCTTTCGGTAAACAGATAAATTAAAAAAAACCGTGAATTCGTTCCGTGTGGCGCCATTCCTCAAAACAGGAAGATATTTTAGTATTCTATACCGGTGCAATCACTGATACAGATTCGTGACCAATCGTAGGGCACGTTGTGTCTAAGCAGGGGCCCATTACCTGGTCTAAGTTATATTTTAAACATATTTAGGTGTTTTGAATAGAATTTTGCCCAATACTTCAGCCACTATGAGCTGTAAATGATCTTTTGTCTGGTCAAGTGTGCCCCTTTAGTTCCAATTTAATATCAACAAAAGAAACCAGTTTATTCGCGTCTATAGCGACTGCCTATTGCTGTTACTCCGTGAAGTGGAAAAAAAACCGCTGGATACGAAATGGCAGACTCTCGGATTTCGTGATCCGATACGCTCTGATGAGTCATTTCATATATTACGTAACTTATGCCGAAAGTAATGTGTGTATGGTCGAGAAGAATATTGCGTTTTGTTTTACTCTCTTTTGAAAGAAGTTTTCTTTTTTAGTTTGCGAGTAACTTATCAAAATATTTTTAATACAACAGAAAGTACGGAACTGCAGTCAGAGTATGTAAAAATGTGGAAATGTGGAAATAAAACGTTAAGTCTAGACAAGCCAAGAAATAATAAACAAGTCTGATATTTTGACTTACGTGAATGGCTTTGTTTGCCTGAGGAAGGATTCCTGGACGTTGTCTTCTTCATCTCTTTAATAAAAATAATAATAATAAAAAAAAAAAAAAAACGAAATACAGAAGATGTGAGTTTTAAATGCCTTTAAGTATATATTTAGGATAATGCATATTCAAGCATAGATTAGTCTGAACGTGAAAAAAATTTAAATTTTCAGCTAAGTTGTCATACGCACACTGAAAAATTTAACGTTGAATTGACAGTTATTGATAAACTCACCATAGCTCTTTCATAAACTAGTGGATTTTACATGCAGTCCCCGTCGATGGAACTTCTGCATTGTGCCCGAGTTGTTCAGTCATTCAAGCATGTGGAGTTTTTCCGGTTAGTCAAACGTCTCTAACTCTCTTCATGATGCACGAGCGGTTGAAGTGAGCAGATAACTTTTACATTACAAATTATACTACCAAGTATATATGAGATAAATGCTCTATTACTATTTGAAAAGAGAAAAGGGCAAATATATCGAACGGGTATAACGACAAAAACCTTGGAAAAAAAATAAAGGTTGATAAAAACTGGATTGAACATCATAATCTCTGCGGCGGAAACTTATACGAGCAGTAAAATAAGGTTTATGTCGATACACAATCTGTTCTGTGCAACTTTTTGCCAAGAAAGATATGTGTTACCGAAATCGAATTTCGGAGTGGAGGTTATAGCAAAAGAAACGATCAGGATATTGCCGAGCGATCATAATCTACTTGAGAGGCCTTCGACAAATGCGAAAGCTGCAAGTAATTTGCTTTTGTTTTGTCTTACCTCAACCAGTTTCGAATAACTTTACTGGGCCATACGACAGTGTTCACTCGAAGACGATATTCGCAGTGCTTCAGTTTCCATCAGAGTGCGACTTGTGAACCGAGTTATCCGTAGTAAGTAAAAGCGTATTTGACAGTTTTCAATACGGCAAAAGGTCGAATTGCCAAATTTAGAAGTTATCTTGATAAGCTCTGACTGTTTCTGCTGGCGAGATAACATGAAAAAAATGTCATTGAGTTTACCGGCTATTGTACGATCGCCTTGCACAATAAAAATCCACTACAAGCAGTTGAAAAGACACCCGTCGCGTTATTTACAACGCAATATAAGCTGGGGTATTAGCTAATGTTTAAGTATCATTGTTTGGAATAACACAGCGTTTACTTCAAAGAAAGAATGCCCAAAACATAACGTCCTGACTTTGTTTTAACCTTTCTATACTATATAAGTATATGTACTGAAAACGTCATTTACATATTTAAACGCGTTCACTTCGACCACATGAGTCAAGCGTAACTGAGTTGTAAACTGAACTTATATGGAGAGTCAGGAGTCTCAACACGGTAATCAAACTAACGGTTAAACTTCGTCGATTTCTACGCCGAACGGCTAAATTTTCAGGTCGTCTTATGTCTAACTGTTAATCCCATTGAGACCCTCGTTTAAGTCTGAGCCACTAACCGAGGGTTGAAATGAGTTCTGAGAAGGGCTCAAAATATATTTATGCCCACGAACATAAAGTCAACTACTATAATTATCACTTTGGAGGGCTCTGAGAAATTAAAAACTGAGAAAGTGTCAAGAAAACAGTCTGAACAAGCAAGCAAGCGTACGTGGGGGCTAAAATACATTTTTTTAGTCCGCCAAAATCTCCACTTTAGCCCGCAAATGCACCACAATTTCCGTCAAAATAATATTTTTTTGCCACAAGCTACGTGATTAGTGAAAGCCATGGCCTACTTCGTATATAATAATCAGAAACTCAAAAGTAGCTCAAAATTTTAATTTGTTTGCTTGCTTTTTTTGTTTTTGTTTGTTTCTGCATTTTTTTCTCCTTGCAAAATCAAGTTATTTGATTAAAATGTACTAACTTGTATTTCAAAGATAATCGGTCGATTTATTTTTTTCAAATTACAATCTGAAATTTCTATTTTCGAGATGATTTGTTTGCTTTGTACGGAGAACTCGTCTGGCTTCGGCGCGGCGATTTAAAATCACTTTTCTCCGGATTTATCTTCATCGTAAAAAGTGTTGTGGGAGACGGCTGACCGACAAAATTGCGGTCACCAGAAAATAACATGCATTGAACAGAAAGCATGCTTGAATTCAATAAATATCGACGGCATTACAAAAGCATTTCGAGATGTATTTGAAACTGGGTTGAAAATTCATACAAACCATGAATATCATCACTCAAAGATGGCTACGATTACGATGAGAGCTCTTTGTTGGGATTGATGAAGTAATTATTGAATTTCAATAAATCAACTTATCACGTCGTTGCTTAGTAAGGGGAATAGGGAAATGAGATCAAGTTCAATGGAAATTTGGTATCATTATTTTTTTTTACAGCAGAGGAAAGGACAAGAAACTTTCCTCTCTTTCTGCCGTGAATGCTGACTGAAGATCAGCATTTTCGTTGACGCACGTTAACCATTTAACTCCCAAGAGTAACCTCTTATTTCTTGTTACAAAATCATCCCCGAATCAAGGTTAGGAGAAGAAAGGAAATGATCACCAATTAAAGAGGTTCTTGATTGTTAAACAAATTCTCCCTATTAGCACTTTTGGTAATGTATAGAGAACAGAATGGAGAATATGCATATGAAGCCGGGTAAATAAAATAGAAGCAAACATAAAGATAAATAATCCTGGTGTGAATCCATCAATCAATATCTCAGGTCTGTCTGTTGAATGAACATCCTTAAATGCAAATTGATTTAAATACAGACCTAAGATGACAATCTGACAACAATGGATCAGAGAAATAATTTGTGGGAATACATGACGTAACAATGCATAATAAAAACAAATCTTATTGACCTAGCGATAAATCCTTAACAGGAAAACAATTTGATTTAATCCAAGCAAGAAGTAGGCTTCTAACGAAATTATCAGGTAAGTCAGAATGATCGGAAAGATATCTACTGCAGTATCCCCCATTCAGTTCTGAGAACATTTGCCGCTTTACCCTGAAGTTTTGGAATTACGGTAACCCATATCACCACCTACAATGACCCCAATGTTAGTGATACGTGCAAAATCTCGGTCACAGTAAAACAGAGCGACTGCAAATCAATTTTCTTTTTGCCGTTTTTTTGTGATTACGAGACTTTTAGGTTTGGCATATACAGGGTGTAAGCGATCTGCAAATGTTTCAATCGCAAAGAGGGCTTTTAAAGAGCTCCTTCTTTTGAACTCGGGAGAAAATGCTCATGATTCAAATGACGTTATATTCAAATGTTTATAATTACTTTTGTATACAAATTTCATTTTTTAATAAGTCATGACCCACGAAATCCATGATTGTTAAAGATTTTGTAACAATTGAGATTTTTGAAACATTTCCAGACCTAACTGCTTAGTGTTCTGTCACTCTCTGAGATGCTAGCAACGCTGTCCTGCATAATCTCTCAGAGTCCTGCCTGAACATGTTCCTGCCATACATCACGCACCAGTTCATGCTCATTATATCCATTGACTGACACATACCTAATTGCCATAGAATTTTAATAGTAATGTCGAGTTTAGGGTAAACTGCAGTTTATCGTATCTCTAGTTAGTACTTGTTATGTGATTGGCCAACTTAACGGATCGTATATCACCGTACGGTGGGCTAAATTTCAATTGCATAGTTGAAAATATTGTAATTTTTATCATTCACTATCAAAGTATTTAATTTGCATGGATCGCAATCGTGGAGTTGCTAGCAACGCTGTCCTGCATAATCTCTCAGAGTCCTGCCTGAATATGTTCCTGCCATACATCACGCACCATGATGTACGGTGGGCTAAATTTCAATTGTATAGTTGAAAATATTATAATTTTATCATTCATTATCGAAGTATTTAATTTGCATGGATCGGTAATAATAAAAAAAGCATTAACATTCTGTTGTGTGGCTGAAGCACCATGGCGATTTTTTCAATGCGATTTCAATGGCGATCGTAGCGTCTAAATAGCCAGCAGCCAGGCACTGTCCTAAGTAGAACGGCAGTCAAAAGTGTTCACAGAGTGAATTTCTACTGAAAGGTTCTTTCGGAGACGCAATCGTGAGGATTGAATGGCTTTGTTTTTCTTACGATTCAGAGGACGATGCTAACGATCTAGTATAAGCTCTATCGACGTAATTGCAGCTTGTTTTGGTTGCTGATAGCTCACAGTATGAGCTCGGTATTGACACAATTCTCTGAGAAGGCGGAACATGATTTTAACCTTTAGGAGACAAAGCTCGGTGTGTGACTTCGACGAAATGCCCCACTTCAAACAAATAGGATAATTATGTTTAACGATTGTGGTGGTTTCCTGAAAAATAGCACGCTTAGAAATGTTTTCAGGAGGGCACCGCAAAGATTCTTAAGATTCCGACCAAGGTGCTTAAGGTACTAGGACAAACTATAACTCGTGACCATATATATATATGTCACAGCACTATTTTATCAACACATGATTTATCTAGTGAATTATGTCTTCTTGAGGAGATTGACTTATTGTCAAGATGTTACGAAAAAAGCTTCCAACATGGAGACGCTACCTCACAGTTGAGCCCGTGATATTTTTCTACGCGTATGGTCTGATGATGAGCTTCCCGATTTTAGGACAGTATGTGTACAGCGTCATCAGCAAGTTAAAGGGTTTCCCCTACGAACAGTTGCTGTTACAAAAAGAGGGCCTAGGATGTCAAGTACACTTCGCTGGTGCAAACAATACTTTGGGGGATATAGAGAAAGAGGTAAGATGTCAAAAGACTGACTGCCAATTATAGGGTGTGATCATGAGAATACCACATAGCATTATGGGAGGATAATATCCCCCTGTCATAATGGGATAGTCTAGACCATTACGAATAATGTAAAAATGGAGCGTCCCAAATCAACATTTGATTCTCTTTTAAAACTTCCATTCCTCAGGTACAAAGTTTGGCAACTAAAATCATCACAGGAAACACATTCTTCTCGACCATTCCTGCGCTCATCGTGGCACCATTTTGGGGTCCCTGGACTGACAAATCACGGCGGAGAAAACCGGCGCTCCTCGCTCCTGCCATTGGTGCATTTCTTGGCAATGCGGTCATGCTCATGGTCATGTACTTTGAATGGCCGCTGTACGTGATGTTTATCGGCTCGGCGCTTGCTGGACTCTCTGGTTTTCTACCGACCCTCTCCTTAGCAGTAATGGCGTATATTGCTGATACCACTGAAAAGAACGAAGTTGCTTTTCGGCTTGGTAAGGAAAATGTACATGAGTGATATTTAGCGGTTGAGGGGGCGTAGCACATTTATTTTTTATAAACGAAGTGAAGCGCATCTAGCATGGTAAACTCCTCATATGTCGAAGGGTTGTATTATGCGTAGTATGCAGATCCCCGCAGATCCCGGGGAAAATATGACGTCAAATTAAACAGAAGGGTTCCTTAGAGTTGTTGACTGGTGAATAGATCATTATAACATTTACCATAACTGAAAGTAAACAGCTTCATATGGTTACCTATTTATAAACTTAAATCCAAAGCAAAATACAATCATACGAGTTAAGTTTGTTTTGGATTGTAGTCGCATGCACTCTTTAGAGCTACAATACATTCTATGGTATATTTAACATGTGCTCTTATTTTGCAGCCATCATGCAGATGCTTGGTTTCATGATAGGTGTCGTGAGCCAGTTAACCAGTGGTTTTTGGATCCATAGATTCGGCTTTATCGTGCCAACGTGGTTCAGCCTGGGATGTTATTTAATATCTGGCCTCTGGGTTATCTTCCTAGTTCCGGAAAGCCACGAGAAAGCCACCCACGAGAAACACAATTTCTTCGATATCAAGAGCTTAAAGGTTCTTGTTAACGTCTTTAGAAAACAAAGGGAAGTCGGAAGGAAAAGTTTGCTTCTACTCGTTTTCGTTGTAGCCATTGTCACCCTAACGACAATGGGCCTTGAAGGTGTAACTAATCTTTTCGTCATGAGAAGCCCCCTCTGTTTTGGTCCTAAACTCGTTGGGTACTTTTTGGCATGTAGAATGTTCTTCGATGGATTGGGAGGAGCCGTTGGTGTCAAGTTGCTCGGAAAGTTTTTCAGCGAGTTAACTACATGTGGGATATCAGTTGTCAGTCAGATTGTTGAGATGGTGTTCCTAGCGTTCGCAACTCGCACCTGGTTGGTTTTTGCTGGTGAGTATAATGAGTGAAAGAGGAAAATCAGCGCGTTGGGCTCTGGATCGGAATATCTGGGTCCAAGGCCTGGCAGGTCACTGTGTTCTATTCCTGGGAAAAGCACTTTGCCCTCGCAGTGTTTCTTTCCACCGAGGGATAAACGGTGCGAATTGCTGGGTAGTAGTCTTGCGATGAATACGCATCTCAGCTAGAGATAATAAGCATACTCCTGGTCATTTCATGCTGCTGAAACTGAGATGAGCTCCGGAGGGGCTCATGAACTTTTCGATAGGTTATACCTGGAAAAAGCTGAGAGTTCGTCGAAAATTGTCGCTCTTCAAAGCTCAGTGGCTCTTTAATATACGTGGGGATTACGTCCTTTGCTAAAAATTAACCCTTTAATTCCCATGAGTGACTGAGAAAGAATTTCTCCTTACAATATTAATACACACAAGCACACAAGTGATGAGAACAAAGAGGAAAACTCAATTAGGGAACTACAGGTTGATCCAATACCAAATTCTCCAAATTGACATCATAAGCATTTCATGGCAAACAGTAAGGATAATTACTAATGAGATATTGAGAGTGAAACGGTTGTCCTCAAGCAGGTTTGCGTCACATATTCCTTTAATGTTATCTTTTTTCACGGGCATTTTCTATTGATCCCAATGCTTTATGAATACTTTCTTGTTAAAATTCACCAATCCTAAGCAAGGTTTGGAATGAGAATTGGATGTACTGACAGTTATATTAACCATGAGGCCTATTGCTGCCAGGGAGAGGGCGTCCAGTGACGCTGTTCCTTTCCTGTTTTAAATTCTCTCTCTTTCTATTAGAGTTGAAAAGAAAGACACATTACTGGCCTTCTTCAGAGTAAGTGTCACACCATCACTACGAATAGGTATTTGAAGTTATTAAACTCCTCTTTCCTTTCAGCACCAATACTGGGCTGTTTTAAAGCATCTGCCTACCCCATTATTACGAGTATTTTGTCACGGATAGTTGGTGATGATGAGCAAGGTATGTACGGCTGTAAATCAACAAAGACAACTTTAAGAGAGACGAACCAGCCAGGGTTCACTGCTAATGCGATAATGACAAAAACCAGAGCGACGTGATCAACCACAGAAAGAGATAAATATGGACAGACGGACAAACGGACAGACAGTTAGACAGACAGATGGATAGACAGACAGACAAACATACAGAGAGACACATAGATAGACAGACAGACGGACAAACAGACAGATAGATAAACAGACAGATGGACAGGTAGACAGACAGACAGATAGACAGATTAAAAGGTGGACAGTGAGACAGCTGATAGATAGACAGACATACAGTCAGACAGATAGACTGAGAGACGGACGGAGAGTCGGACAAACGGATAGACGGACAGAAAGACAGATAGACAGACAAACGAACCGACAGATAGACAGACAGACGAAAAAGGAAAGAAAGACAGAAAGACAGACAGACGGACAGGCAGAGTGACAGACAGGAATAGACAAACAATAGACCAATTAACAGGAAAGAAAGACGAATGGAAAGACAAAGTAGAATTTAGTTTACAATAGTGCTCAGAAAGTCAAACAACTGCAAGCAAAAATGTCAACGAAACTTAGTTTAAGACCAGAGATTTGGTCAACCGTTCCTTGTGAATCCACTTTTCACTGATCAATCCATTTTTACCTGATAAAACATCTAAAACCTTACAGCTTATCTCTTTGTCATAGCTTCCTTGTTTTGTGCCATTGGCATTATTAATATCTTCTCCCTATCCCTGGGCATGATGTTCTTCAACAGCGTATACGAACGCACTCTCCACCTAACATTCGGAGGTTTCGTGTTCCTTCTATGCGCCGCCATAAAGTTAATTCCTTTCTGTGTCTTCAGGTAGGTAAACGTTTCTTCGTAGTCGCAAGAGATTTCGTTTAGTAATTTGAAGCTAGTGAATGCGATGAACAGTAGATGATAAGTCATTTGAGGTTACGAAAAAAGATAGAATCCAATGTCTCAAAAATCTTTTTAAAAGCTATCAGCAATTGTCCGGGCATGTTATCATCCATTCATTCTTTATCAGAACTGTGCAGCTTAACCCTTGCGCATGAACCGATTGGCTCATATCGCTCGAACATGACTGATTTCCTCAGTATGAAGTGAACAAGGGTTTTTGTCATTTTACCCTACATAATATTTGTCATGTTTTCCCGTGAGTTCCTTGTTGTGGGCTCGGGCAGAAACCAAACCACTTAATCCGGAATCCATCGTATTAACCAGTAAATCAATGCATGTGCCTCGTTATTACAGAAAAAAATTCATTGTTTACCGACTTGTTTTTCAGCTGCGTACAGGTGCCACCGACCGGAGAGCATCAGGAAGAAGGAGAAGAATTGGAACTGAAGGATGATGACGAAAATCGCAATAAACAAGACGGGAAATTGCTCAAGGAAAAGGAAAAAGACGAAAACCAAGAAACCAAAAGTGAAAATGGAACGTCGAGGGAAGCCGTCGCGGTTTACCCTGATGAGATAGAGCTAATGAAGCCAACAGAGGATTAGGAATATCAATAGGACATTTATAGGATGCCAAACAAACACAGGCTGGGCCAACACATCGACAGACGGGCAGGCGGACAGACAGACAGACTGACAGACAGACAGTTAACAGAACGATGACACGAAATAGATCATGCTTTGTAGGTTTTACATTGTGTAATAAAATCCAGGGGCTTATAACCTTCAATAGAGCTTCGGTGGCATCATCGATAACAATTTTCAGGTTTTTTATCGCTATATTAATATTTTTTTCGATAAGTAGGTTAGGATATGGCAGCCATAAGCTGATGTGATTCAGGAATTAAGGTCCTTAAGACATAGTATGAGGACAAACAACTGAATCTTGTAGCGGGGAATAATTTGGGCGACGTAACACGTTCGAAGAATAGTTTTAAGAAGCATTTATTGACAAAGCCTTCTAGTTAGAATGATACGCATGCACGGCACAGACACAAAAGCATTGTACTCAGCGTTTATTGGACACGGCACACTTAGCCAAGTAAACTTTTTATGCAATGTAAATATCAGAAGAAGACGAACACATTCTCCAAGGGACTGGTCATTACTTCGCGCCTTACGGAGGGGAGGGAGAGGAGGGCGAAAGACTTTGGTTTCGTCAAGATAAAATTTACCTGTTCCTCCCGTAAGTTTCTGTAATATTCATTTGACAACCCCCTCGCCCCTCATTTGCATTTTATTAGCAGTCGATTTTTCACATTCGCCCTTTATATTCTGTTTTCGACTGCTGATCACCTCCTAGATCCCCCTGAAAACCTCCCCCCCCCCAAAAAGAACTTCAACCCCCCCCTCTCCTCCCCCTTCCAGGCGACGAAGATCGAGGCATTTCAAATCGACGGCTTTATAGGACAAAGTCATTGTTATTTACATTTTGTGAAAAAAAAATTTTGTCAGCTTTTTATCCTTTTTAAGTAATAAAAATATAGCTCTATTTTCTGATTCACGATGCATGACTTCGAAGGGTTGTCTACTCCTGCCCTCGTAATCATTATGCGAAAAAAATTCCGCGACGGCAAATCACTTTGGGCTGAGGGCCACAAGAACAACCATTATAAGGAGCCTTTAATATCTGGTGATCAACTTCGCACAGGGCCAATTCTCACGCGATGTGAACTAGAGATTTTTTTCGATCGCTCGTGTAAACAAATGGCGAAAAATTACTTGGCCTAGGGACCAGTCAAAATTTATGACCGGAGGGGGGGGGAGGGGGCAGGGAGAACAGAGGGGGGGGGAAGTCGTCACCGACAGAGTTTAGGGGGGAAACTATAGAAAATTGACTGCTTAAGAGGAGGCAGGCATAATTTAACAAAATGCAAACCTTTTTTTTTTTGGATTGTCAAGCCCTGATTTGATATTCTGATTGAGGTTGAGCATCGTACATTTACGTGGGAAGACTGACTTCAACTGTTGTTGTTGTCTTTTCTTTGTATGTGCCATTGCTTGACCACATGTTCGTAAAAGCAAAGGCATAAAATAAACTTAGTTCAACTTCCTAGCATTTTTCCCTTCTTGTCACGCAACGCATATCTCGCCTAAGGAGGAAGGGTTTGTTGGGTGACCAGGCCAACATCGACTAGTAAATCCACTCTCAATTGTTAATCTAAAGAAGGAGCGTAAAATTTAGCGAGCTTAATTGAAAAACCATCGTTCGGAAACAGCTGAGTTAGATGTTGGACTGCTTGAAGTCTTCCAAAGGACAACTGCTTAACATTCTTCCTCACTAGGAGAGGGAGGGGTCTAAGTGATGGTTCTTGACGTCACGAAGCTGGCACTGTGCGTCATAACCCGCGAGTGTTTGTCCTGAGTGGAGTGCAGCGGCTGCCGTTGACAGGAAAAACTTTACTATTCAGCTGTGCTCGGGCAAGGTAACCCACTTGCTATTTTTTTTTGGCCAATTTTCCTTTTCGTGAACAAACGGTGCAAAGTGCGACGCTGGATATCGGACATGACCGGAGAGATATTCACTGAGCCACATCGAGTTAGACAAAGATCAGCGTTTCCGAGATGTTTGCCATTCACTTTCAATGCATCTTCAATATTTTGTTTTGCACTGTAAAAGCGATGAGATGCTGCTCAGGTGATAGCTATATAGATGGTTTACAGCAAAACAAACTAATTTTGTATGCTACAAATACCATATACATGTCACGCTGGATTAGGTTGGCTTGTTTAGATGTCAAACAGAGTCATTCTTTAACCGGGGTCACACAGGCAAACTGCTTAATCAACACTTAATCACCCAAAGGGAACAATAAATGCAACTGATTTCAGTTCCCCCAGTGCTTAAAATTTAAGCAAGCCAAATTATTGACAAAGAATCTAGATGGAGTTTATTTTCGTGACCTGTTATTGGAAATGTCAGGTTTTTGTATAGTTGTTGTTGCTCTTAACAAATTCAAAATTCTTTTCCTCGTGGAAAAATCAGGTTGAACGGAAAAATGTCGAGATAAACTTATTGGACGGTAGAACCTTTGCAAGTGGCGAAAATTTTCCACTCAAAGACACGCTTGTACGTAAGTAATGTCGCAGCCATATGCCCAGACGGGTGCCTGTATGACCTTAGGTGACATCTCCAGAAGTAACAACAATAATCTGAATCATACGTACCAGTTTAGGAGTTGTAATGTGCAGTGCTCCTGATAACTGGCAATTTAAGTGGAGTACATATGGAAAATTTTTGTTCGTTTTTTCATAAGCGTAACACAAAGAAAAAAACCAGAGTGTTCCAAGAGATTCGTAATTCGTGATTCGTATATCAAACTCGATCTTTAGAATTAACTAAAAATTGTTATTCGTTTGTCACACGAGCGAGGGTCAATGACAAAGTCAAGGACGTAACTGTTGTTTTCGGAAGGATGTTTGCTTACATGTGTTTCGATAAAGAAAGGGTTTTCAACCGATAAAAAGTGTAAACATTGTAGGCAGCAATACAAGTGAACACAGAAATAAATTTCCCAGTTTTTTTCTCAGTTCAGAGCCACGATCCCCTTAAAAGGGATAAGACTTCATCCTGCCAAAGTCAATAGTTTTCCCACCACCTCGAGTCCCTTACATTACAGTACGGGCTTTTAGACCTGTTTTGCGACCAACAGGTTGCGGTCACACACGTGAAAACACTATTGGTGGAGCTTTCAATTCCTCTTCTGCTCCTCTCTTTCAGATGTTCTCAACCATTGTCATCCAGTTTCTAAAGAAATATTTTACGGTGGAACTCGTAATATTTTTCTACTTCTACGGGTTTCTTATGAACCTGCCAGTCCTGACAATTTACGTGTACGAGCGAATCAGTGATGAGAAAGGATTTCCGTACAAGAACCTCAGCCAAAGCGATGACGGAAGCGGCTGCGGAGGAGAAGGCCTGGGGCAAAATTCAACATTGGGGGAACTGGAAAATGAGGTCACTCGTTTACTCACGTTGTTGTTGTCATGGATACTGTCCTTCGATGTAGTGACGTGTTGTCGTTGTAGTATGACTAGTATGACCTAATAGAACTGATTTTCTCACTGTATTATGATTAAGTAACTGAGTCTATCTAAGGCAGTACGTTAAGTATGATTAGTCCCGTCTTTCTCGAAAATTAATCTCCCAGGAATTCATTTTTCTTTTAATTCATCTCGGTTTTGATAATGGATGGCATCACTGTGTCATGCTGATTCTCACCTTATTCTCTAATTCCTCTTAAAGATTGGTTAAGTGGCTTGGATTAACATTTCACTGAGATAGAGCGGCCTTGCTCAATGTCTCTTGACGCTGAAGAAACCAGATGCTCTCCAATATGTAACAGTGTGCCATCAGTCTCGTAAAACAAAGGCTCCTCATCCCTTGTTTCATTTCAGGTGCAAACTCTGGCTTCCCAGCTTGGCATGACTTACAATCTTGTCCTAACCCTGCTCTCTCTTGTTGTGGCGCCGCTCTGGGGACCATGGACTGATAATGGCGGCAAAAGAAAACCTGCCTTACTTGTTGCCATAATGGGGGCGTGTCTGGAGATGGTCATTACCCTGTTGGTAATGTATTTTGACTGGTCAGTGTACGTTTTGATTGCGGGCGCGGCTTTGAACGGCTTGTCGGGATTTGCGACAGTTTTATTCGTCGGAGCAACGGCATACATAGCTGACGTTTCCAGCAAAGAAGAAAGAGCTTTTCGAATTGGTGAGTATAATGAGAAATTGACCGTTATATTGACATGTCGTTAGAGAGTTTTTAGATTGTGTAACGTAAAACCAAACCAAAGGAATTTCGATAGCAAATCAAATGAAAGGATTATTAAATGGAACATATGGGAGAACTCAAAGCGAGTATACGCTTATTAACAACCGATAACTGCTTATCAGGTGAGCTCAATGTGTCATTACATTGTGCAAGATAATTGTTTTGTTTTTCTTTCCTAACGTTCCAGCGGTGATGTACATGCACGTATTCCTCGCTGGAGTCATCAGTCAACTGACCAGCGGTCTTTGGATTCAATATGTGGGATTCATTCCTTCTGCTTGGTTCATGTTGGCTTGCTACGTTCTCTCTGGAGTCTGGGCTTTATTCTGCGTGCGGGAAATTCCCCGAGGAAACAGCAACGAAAAAATGGTTGGATTTTTCAGCACTGATAATATAAAATGTTTTATCAATGTCTTCCGAAAGCAGAGAAAGGCTGGACGAAATAATTTTCTCTTGCTGATGGTTTGCGAAGGCGTGATTTTCCTATCGACCTTGGGCATTGCTGGCGTAAAAGGGTTGTTCATTCTGAGAAGTCCTCTTTGTTGGGGCCCACACCTGGTTGGGTATTATTTTGCATTTGAAGGGTTCGTTCATGGTGTTGGAAGTGTGGTTAGCATTCACTGCTTCGGACGCTGCTTGAAAGAGTTGAGTGTCGTCCGCATTAGTTTGGTTTCCGTGATTCTGGCTTTGGTTATGTTGGCGTTCTCCGATCGCACTTGGATGGTGTTTGTTGGTAAGTATTAAAGTAAAGAGAGGGAAGAGGAGGATCAGATGATCTACCTTGGACCTCCCGTCTCACGACCGAGGCCCCACATCTTTATACCATCATTAAATAAGGGACCAGTCTTGGGAGAATCTTTTGGGGGCGTCACGTGGTTTCAGTGGAAATGGAGGGGGGAGCAGTCGTCCCTGACAGAGTTTAAAGGGGACTATAGAAAATTTATTGCAACGACAGGGGATCCCTAGAATACTACAAAGTCTTATGGGGGTTCCGGGTTAATTTTATTTTATCAAAACCAAATCTTCCCCCCTCTGACCCTCCCTCTAAGTACTAAAAAGACTGCTTCTCTTTGTTGCTTCCAGCGGTCGTGGTCGGTGTCTTTTACGGAGTTGCTGATCCAGTTTTGGTGGGAGCAATGTCGAGAATAGTGTCAGATGAAGAGCAAGGTACAGCCAAAAATTAAGAAATCAAAATGTATTTAAAACTTTTCCAGGAGTATTAGGCAGAGTCAAAACCTGAGGCTTTTCATGCAGGATTTGAACCTCAGACATTCCGTTTTCGCAGTTAATTATTTACAGTATCTCTTTGGTAATGCTCCAATGAAATATGCATGCATAATCTATCGCAGATGTATGGGCATCTGATCATTCTGTTCGAATGGCCCTTAGCCAGAATTGCCTCGATGCGCAAAGTCTAATGACTAAGCTTTTCGATACTTACCAGTTTTTTCCTGTTCTGTTGATGTTCCAGGTGCCATGTTTTCTGCTTATGAGATGGTCATTGCACTGATGCAGCTAATAGGCGCCGTGCTCTTCAACACAGTTTACCAGGCAACGCTTTCTCTTTCGTTTCAAGGTCTGGTCTTCCTGTTGTGTGCAGTGTTGATCCTTATTCCCTTTGTTCTCGTGAGGTAAGTGTGGTTGCTGACTATCTTAACGCTACGTTATGCCACATGGTCCTTCTAAGTTCACGGTTCAACTTAACCCAGGGTCCAGTCTTCATCTATCCCCTGGGGGGTAGGAGGGGAAATGAGAGAGAAGAAGGGGTAGGGCGGTCGAAGGATCTTGGTTGTGCCACACTAAAGTTTACTTGAGTATTCTAATAATTCCTCCCCGTTAGCAGTCAGTTTCCTACGGATGCTTTCTGTAAGTTCACTCAAACGTTCATTTACCACACAAACAAAACATAATTAGATAATGGCGTTAGCCATAACTGTTCCGTTTACACTTGACGTTATCTTAGCTCGTGGACGGTTTTAAAAACACGCTCAAGCTTTCTGTCCCTTTCCAAACGCAAACTCACATGGGCGCTGTGACAGGAGGGTAACATTTCGACTTTGTGAAAGAACTCGACGCTTACTGATTTTTCTTTTTACAATATTAGCTTCATAGAACTGCCACCTATTGAGGAAGACGACAAGATGAAAGAAGATGACGAGTTAGAGATGAAACAGGTCCAACATGCATCCGCGGAGTAGTACAAATAATTGCCTTAAGAGCCGTAAGGCGTAATTAAGTAAATTGTTATCGTGACGCAACCAAAAATCCTCCTAACCCTCCCAGGCAATAAGTGGATATCCATAAATTAAGATAATAAAAATGCATTATTTGGGCTTAGTAGTTTGATGAAAAAAATTTATCATGCGCAACGCGTTTGAGCACCAGGCGTTCCTTTTAACATTATAATATCTATGATCAATAAAGTGATTAGATAAATTATACTGCAAATGTATAATGTCAACTGTAAATAAATATATATTTACTTATCAGCTGTCGCGCTTCTGTTTGCCACTCGTTTATCGTTTAAACCCATTAGAGTGACTAGCATCTAATTTCACGAGAAGGTGACTATAATAAAGAAAGTGATCACCAAATAACAAACGGCTCATGATCGTAAAAAAAGTTTTCTCTGTCAGCACCTTAGCTAATGTATAGGGGAATAGCATGGAGAAAATTTAAAAAATCATCGGTTAAGTGGTGTTTGGTGGTTTTTCGTTTCGTCATTTGAGCATTACTTAGTCCATCGCTTTAATTTTAAGGAAAATCGGTGAAATTCGTTTACGCAGAGCTTCGCTCAAGTTTTCATCCTGCTTTCAGTTTTTTCGATGTGTTCCGAAAAAATGCACCCAGCGATTATTAGAACTGGCTTTCAGCTAAACTCAGGGCTTGTCCACATGTGTCCGTTTTGATTGATAGCGTCACGAACGGTGTTCGACTCAATCTGCCCTGCGCGCGAGATAAGACGAAATTAGCATAGCGGATATTGCCACTTGGGCTTCATGCAAGCATTATGGCTTGTTTTCAGTTGAATTTTTGCGATATTCAATGTGTAAGGCGATTATATTTATGCAAGGGGCGACGCAACATAATAAGGCTTATTTCCTTGCCAGTTTCGGGTTAGTGTTAGGACATCAAACAATTAAATCGCAGAGGTCGAAAAGCATGGCCTAGCCGATCAGGACGCACGGGTGAGTGGTGAGGCAACCTTGTAAACCAGATAGTCATCTCAGAAGAGTGGATGGAGGATTTTACAATGAGTCGTGGCTATATCTACAATTTAGTGGACGATACGATTGAATACGCCAACTTTATCAATGATGATACCTTTTTTATCGAATTCATTGCCGGTTACGCTTTCCCATGGACGGGAAAAAGCGATTTAAAAGCACAACGTGTAGACGCTTAGTTTATCGTTTTCCTTTAAAAACATGAACAACGGATACGTCTGGAAGGGACCAACCTTCTCTTCTGACGGCACTGACAGTGTCGATTTCACATCTGGATTTGGGTATGTTGTAAGTCACAAAAAAACTAGGGAATATTAGTTAAAAGCATTACGTAATTTATCGAAAGAAGCCGCATTTCCATAAACGGTTCTGAAAAAAAGCTGAACATGTGAGGCATGCCGTTTGTTCGTTTGACAGGTAGATACACCAATGAGAGCTGTGACCGAGGCTTTGATGATAGAGACGTTTTAAAAAGACATAAATAACATATTGACTTTGCTATGCCTCTTAGAGCTTTTAAACTTTGATTTATCATTGAAAGGGAATGAACCTGCCTGAATTATGAAAAACGAAAAAGAGAGTGTGCAAGAATATCAGGAAAGTGAAACTGATCAAAGACCAGCGCAAACCAAACGTTTTCCGGCTTTTGGCCACGTTGAAAATTTCACAACAAAACATGCGAAACACTCGGTGAATAACACATGCTATCATTTGTCAACAGCTTATCTTCGTCTTATATAATATACTAACTACATAATGATTTTGCTAATGTTTGGAATGCACTCACCCGGTTTTCAACCAATGTTAGAGCTCAAAGCTTGAACACGTGACTTATAAACGTAATTGTATTACGTAACGGAGTCAACAAACATGTTTTGATTTTCATATCATCACAATAGGGTCATTAGAGGCAACGATATTTTTATACGAGGTACCGGCACTGAGCCATTAAGAGACATATTAATGCTGTAGCAGCAACACTCGGTGAATGCACTGCCAGAAAGATCATAGCTATAGTTATTGATTAGAATACCGAGGAAGAAGTTTCTGGGAGACTATTGAAGCCGTAAGTTTTTAACAACATTGCAATTATTTTCTGCATCTTAATGCTCTCTTGTCACATTAACCGTCTTGTCAACCCTTGTGACGAAACAATTTTCGACTCGAAGCGACGTCCAATGCAAAGACACAACTGATAAGTTCAAAGCATTTCAGCTGAGAAGCACTCTTCTGAACTGCCATTTTCCCAATTCACATCAGTTGTATTAGGTACTTTGTGCAAGGCGACCGAGTGCCATCTCTGACGGACGGTGGAACAAGAAATGGGACAGAAAAAGATTGGAACTCCTTCCAGCAGCTTGGAGAAAATTAACATTGTGGTGATGGGCAAAGATGATGTCGGAAAATCTGGTTAGAATGATTATCATGAACAAGTTGTTATTGCTCAGTGCATTATGGTCTTAAGGCAAAACCGTGTAGAGCCCGAGTTCGCCTTTACACCCTTTTTAACAATTCAGTTCCTAAAAAATCGTTCTTTTAAGGTGTGTTCATGGATTTTATCAGTACATCAGTTTGTTGGACAGTCTCTGTAAGGGCCTTTACTCTCTGCAAAAGTTGATCAATGTATTTCGACTCAGCGGCTGCCTTCGGAGGTCAAGCCCGGAAAGGGATAAAACCCTGTTTAGTAAAATTTAGGAGATATCCACCTTTTCCATTATAAAATCTATGGGAACACATTCAGACATAACTATACAAAACGTGTACTGGTTGACGAGAAGTTTGCCTGCATGGAGCTTGCTAAGAAGGACCTCAACACACTCGAAAACTACACTATTGTCGATTTCGATGTTTTTGTAAGGATGCCAATCTAAACAATTTCAACAAATATGTTGTTTTTGCAAACAGGCGCCTGGCGCTGTACGACTGTACAGTTTGATTTGTTGCGTTCGCTGCTGGTGTTGTATGCCCAAACCTTTTGACTTCTTTGCCCGTTCTCTTGCAGCTATGACGGTTCGCCTTCTCACTAAAAGATTCATCGGCGAATATGACAGCTCTCTTGGTAAGTTTCAATGTAAAAATGCAGCCTGCGTCGGTGAAAGCTAATTGGGTTAATCGCAACTGTCAAATTACATTAGCTGGGCTATTAGCTGACTTAGCGCGCCTCTTGCTGCGACGGCAAATATCAAATCATATCATGCAAATATCTTCTTGGTCTAGAATTTAAACGGATTTATCGCCTAAAAAGGTCTCTTTTGTGTTTTTTAATCTTGTTGTTAAATTGTTTTAGGGTTTTAAATGGTACTGGTACTTGTCAAAATAAGATATGCATTATCAAATTTTTAGCTTCGGGAAACTACAATATTTAAAAGCCGGTTTCCCCTTTAAGCAGCTCAAGGAAACAATTCTTGATTTGTTTCTCTTTAAACTATAAGGGTATTTCTTTTCGTCTAACGTTTTTCATTTTGCTCTCCTGCCCTTATTTTCAAAAGAACATGAAATGGCCAACGCGGACTGTTTCAGATTATATTTTCCCGTGAAGTTATGATTAGGATGTAGAGTTATTTATTTGAATGTTGGAGTTGAATAAGGCAAGACAAAAGCGGCTTTTAAGTTAAAAATGAGAACTGATACCGTGAAAGAACACTAGGTGTTTTTTCACGTAAAATTTATTGTTTTTCTGAAAAATTAAGGGCAAAGATATCGCTGTCGTAATGTGGTCTGCCAAATAACATGCTATTCTGCAAGGAGACGTTAAGTATTTCTCTGCCTTTGTTTTGGTCATGAATGCGTGCCATTAACTCTCAGTGAAGAGTTTGGCTTTCAAAGAATGAGCCCATACGTGGAACAGATGGTTTCTACTTAGGAAGATAACGTTGACTAATAAAGATTGCGTTTCTTTGTTTTTTTACTTAGTTACAATCGAAAAAAATTCTCACAAAAAAGGGCGTGTGGATGATAAAAGTATGACCGCAGACAGCCCTTCATCAGATTAGTACGCGAATGGTATTACAGCTCTAAGCCTTTTTATAAAGAAATGATCGCATACCATCCCATTAAAAGTTACTTCAAAATTTTCATTGAGGAGTAGAGAAAGAGAAAGGAAACAAAACAAAACACATTAAAAAAATGTACACTGGCGTTCGATTATTTTATGAAAAGCACGAGGCAGCGCTGTGGATTGCATACACTGCGAAGCGGTAAACGGTGAACAGATTTTGAGAACATGCGGTGCCTCAGCGAGAAGAAGCTCGCTCACGTTAGGAGGCAGGTCATTTCGTGATGATTGCCTTTTTCCTGAATGGATTTCGAGTTACGTCATTCAATTACGAAATAATTGCAAATTATAATTGTTACAATGACACTAAAGTAATGACGTTCATCTGGATAAAAATGCGCATAAAACTTTAAAGCTTAAAATCCCACTCTTTCAAATACACGATTACAACTAAGCTCCAACGCTCTCAAAGGAAGAAGTTTGGTTAAGCCACGATGAAATCTGTCTGATCTCTCCATAAGGCCCCTTCTCTTATTTCGCTGATCGTGAGTCGCCGCTTCGCCAACTGACTCGTTTCCCATGGCTTTGCCGGTAATTACAAAATGCCAGGCTAGCGGGCTAGCTTCCCTCTGAAATTGAAAATTCAGATTTGTCCTTCACTCTCTTTTCTTTTTAATTTCAGAGTCAATCTATCGGCATTACTTTAAGCTAGAAGAGAACTTCATTGCATTGGACATCATGGACACAGCCGGCAAGGTGAAACATTTATGAAACCTGTGTATGACAAGGAAAAAAAGGAAAAGAAATGGAATTTATTGTACCGTCACTGTTCGAATATTATTTATTTTCATTTGGTTTGTCAGCCACAAAAAGACTTGTTAGCCACAAATTAATTCTCAAAACGGGCATAATAATGAATATTTTAAGTTTTCAGCAATCTTGTTCCCAGGGTTCTCTCTTACTCGTTCCCAGGGTTTCTTTTGTACTCATTCTCAAGAGAGTAACCCGAGAACGAAATTGGTTTTTGAGCAGAGGCAAACGCAAGTTAAGTCGCCTTTCACATTCGCTTCGTGCTTACCACCGGTGAACTGTTACAAGTTAAAGCAAAAAAGTACCAAGAATAAAAACATAAGAAACCTCAAAGATGTAACAATTGAAAGCTGCCTTTTGTAAGGATTACAATATTTCAAGAAAGCTAGTATGAAAGCCATTATAATTACAAACTGAAAAAAGACTCTTATCTTCCAGTCGTCATGATTTTACGTCTGAAATTACCGCATAACTACTCTCCATGTTTCGCTAGGTGTTTAATACAACAACAGTCATGTGATTTGTTCTCTGGATTTTGAATAAGCTTTTAAAATTGACGCCATCGATGATGGGTAAAAAAAAGGTCATTTATATCAATAATCGTAATGAATAAAATAATGTTTTATATTGATAATAATCGCATTTACAGAATACTGAAGAGAAGCTGAGTCAGTGCTCATCCTTCGGAAACATGTTCTTTTTGCTGTTCTCCATCACCGACAGATCATCTCTAAAAGAAATCCATCGACTCGGTCATTATTTGAAGACAATGAAAACGAGCGGCGCGTACAGCATTAGTGTTGTTGGAACAAAACGAGACTTGTCGGAATACCGAAAGGTTTCCGAAGATGAGGGGAGGACACTCGCCAATGAGCTCGGAGGAACCTATCACGAGATCTCCAGCGCTGAAGGATACGAAGAAACACTGAAACTGTTTCAAGATGCGATCAAAGTGCATCTGCAGTCGCGGTACACCGATCGAGACCGGCAAAAGAGGGGACTGGGGCTAAGGAAACTCAGGGAGGGCCTCCTTATGCGAACCAAGTCACTTTACAGAAAACGAGGCCTGACTTTTTAGGTAGACCTACCGGGTGGTGACCACAGGCGCCTTTTATATAAATGTGTTTGATGTCAGTGTAAATAGCTAAATTGTAAAGTTTGAAGTTGTATGTAAATTATGTAGTTAGGTAATACTGTCATAACAAAAACACATATTATGAGAAACGTAAAGGTGCAGTTCCTATCGTTCCCAGAAGATCGATTTAGTGAGAAAGCTTGACTTGAATATAACATTTTATTTACTAATATTAAAATACCATTCATTTCCAAGAAATGTGATCAGTGGATATACCATGGGAATTTTATTTTATTTTACATGTAAAAGAATCGTATTAAACAGCTAAAATTACAGTCATTGATAAGTTTCTTTTGGTATCTTAAGCTAATCCCACTACTGGATCATCAAAATTTCGGCTTAAATTAAGCTATCGACTTGCTGTTATTGGATTCCTCTTGAATTTTCGTCCTCCCTCTTAATCTGCGTTTCTGTGTCGTGTGACAATTTTTGATGCCCTCACGGCCTTGGCTTTGCTTCTTTAAATTTCATTCAAGGAATACTTTTAAAAACTTGCCGTCGATACAACTGAATTTCGATGGCAATCTCCATCTTGGGATAAATCTTCATGACTGGAAGATTTAGGCTTAGAAGCCTCGTGGATAGGATCAGCATCGCTGAATGACCTGGGTCTCAACTGCAACCTCTCGCGCTGGGCCTTAGCCACTTCGTGGCCAAGTGATCTCTTTCGGAATGACTTCGCCGTTTCTACAATTCCTTCTTTTACTCTTGACAACGTCGAAGTTTTACTTTTATCGAAGCAACGTTTTACTGAATCAAATAGCAGCTCTTGTGTCTCCAAATAACCCTCTGCACTGGACACCTGATAAAATCCGCAGCCTAATTCTTCGGCCAACAACCTTCCTTCTTGTTCTTCGACTTCTTGGGCGAACTCGAGGTCGGCCTTTGTTCCCACTATCATTATGGTGGGGCCGGCAGGACCCAGAGGTTTTCCTTGTAGGATGTAACGAGCCAGAAGTGATGCTTCTTCAAAGGAGGTGCGATCAGTTGTCGAGTAGACAACAAAGAAGAGCTCCGCGAAAGACATACACATTTGCATCTTCTCCGTGGAATTCTATGAAAAATCGAATTCAAGTAGGTGAATATCCTAGAAGATAAATAACCCATCGGAAAGGTTTGAAAATAATTATCAGTGCTGGGTCTATTTCAAAGAAATGATCTTTAATAGGTAAAAGATCCTCCAAAAGAATCAGTCTGTTAGCCATAGCCGATTTTCATTCAGTTTTTCTAGCCAAGCTTACACTAATGGCGAAGAAGCGGTGAATTGCGAGAAGTACCTTAGAAAAAGAGATGATTAATCGGTTCTCATTTCCCCTTGTGCGCCATTGATTTTTCAGATTTCTAGACGCGATACAAGACCTGATAATGTTTTAGTGAACAGTCATCATTTAACACCGTGAAGGGGGGGGAAGGGTGGAGAATTATGGGGGGATCACATGGTTTTCAGGGGGAACAGAGAGGGATCAGTCGTTGCCAACGGAATAGAAAGAGAGAGCTATAGGAAATTTACCACTAATACACTTCCAATGAAGTGAACTCGTAAGAAAATTGCAGAGCCTTGTAAGAGGTTCACAACCAAAATCCTTTGCCCTCCCACCCCCCCCCACCCCACCCTGCCTCTTAGGAGATAAATAATAAAGATTAGTCCTTAGTGTACCTTTCCTGCTGTGTCCATGATGTCCAAGGACACAAATTGGCCATCAACTAACAAGTGATGCCTGTAAGTTGCCTCTGCATTTGAAAAGAAATGTTTCATAATTACCCTCACATTTGAACCAACACAAGGTTATTCGTCAAACAAATATAAGAGTTTGTTATACATTTACTTTTAATGATCGATGTAGTTTCGCGCTGACGAGAAAAAAGGCATAATATGTAGATTTCCTGTAGCTCAAGCAAGGAGAGTTTGGTGAACAATCAGGAACTCGCTTCTTTAGTCGGTTATAATTTTCTTTATTATCGTGACATTAATGTTTGCTTCAGAGGAGATACTGTGATCAGAAATTTAGAGGCTACTTAAGCTACCCCTAGAGGTCACAGGGTTCGCTCTAATTTTATTTTGTTTGCCAACAAAAGATTTTTATAGAAATTTTGCGCATACTGCGTACTCCAAGGTCACGTTTTAACAAAACAAGGGTAACCTTGTTGATCTGTCGTAAACCGGCCCAGTTGACGATTGATTGCCATCGCTGCTCGTGGTGTCGGGTCACTCAGACGATTAAAACTCTCCAACCCAGACTTACCTGTCAACACTTACATACAATCATGGAACAAAACAGGTAAATTACATGGCCCAAAAAACGTGAGCAGCTGTTACACGTTGCCCCGTCCTCGACCAGTAATGTGAGGGTAAAAAAGACGACAAAACTAAGGAGAAACCAGGGAAACCACTCAGATTTTGCATTTCTCTGGGGGAAATTTGACGAGAAGTTTATTCTATGATTCCACCCTATTCAACGCAATTATTTGAGCATTACACTGCATTTTTCAATCGCTTTACCGCTGTAATAAACCACTTGGCCGAGATGTTGATTTCTCCTAATATTTACGCCGGTAAACCGATAGAAAGTGCAGTCTATTACCTTAATGAAAATAAACTTAAATTTTCTATGGGTTAACCACTAAAATGAACGATGGGTTTTTGACCAAGTGGGGCTCTCTTGGTATCTCAGTAGTTATTAAGTAAAACAGTTACTTTGTAAACCGAGCGGACCCCACGCAGGAACTTTGTTGTCAGAGGCATTTTTACAGGAAAGGTTGAGCACGTACGAGAAAAAAAATCGTTTTGAATTCACTTCAAAACCCAGATTTACTTTTTAAGTCATGATTTTTTACGGCTTACGGACTCATTTCAGATTTGAAGAGCTTTTTGCTTCCGAGTTAGTTCAGCAATGAGTGTAACAAAGAGTATACATTTACGACTACGTCTGATAAGGTGGCGGCGCGTTGTTCTTTATCGTCAGTTAATCCCCAGCGGCGCCGTTATTTTCATTTTTTTTTTTTACTAATTTTTTTAATAAAAATGAAAAATTCCTATAAAAAGTTGAGATTTTAAATTAACTAGCACTTTTTTTCTTGCTGCTTTAATATCCAGAAACACCACTTCGGGCCGACTATTCAGAATAGCATATTCCTTTTTCCTTTGAAATATGCAGCAGGCCTTGAATTGAAGGTGACAAACTACTGTAAAACTTTGCCTCAGTTAGTAGCATGGATTTTCAATATGTATTTAGCCTTCCAAATAGCTTTAGAAAGGCCTCCTGTTTCTTATCTTAGGCCGTGGGACGAGTCAAGGTATATTAAAGGTAAAGAGTGAGTAGGCGCCGGGCGAACGCGCGGATTTCCTTTAACTTGCGCATCCGACAACGTGTTCGCTGAGAAAGAGCGATGGATTGCTCGTAATCTAATCTTCAAAGGAAAACATTTATTCCATTTTAAATTTGTTCAGATGTTGGCAAGATCGAAAAAGTGGAGAATTCTGGTATTAATCACTTTGCGAACTTACCCAATGTACTGTCGTAATCGCCAATGAAACGTTTGGTCAAGAACCGGACTGTGAGAGCTGCGGGTGGAAAATTTACACAAACGTTAATGAGATTACACGGGTTCTTGTTCTAACGGATCATCACAACGCAATTAAAACGAAGTTAAAATGAGGAAACCAGACATTGCTTACTTTACTGTCGACAAAAAAACGTGACGCTAGATTAAATTGACTTTGGACGATGGGAGGAAAAATTTATACCCGAAACCAAAGAAATTTTATGGATGAAAACCCGATCAAATTTTTATGAATACAATCATTCAGTTCGTTTTAATTTATCTGGCAAAGATTCAACTGTTTCTCGAGATTTTCAAACAATTTTTTTTAACATGATTTAGCCCAGTGTTATACTCGCCTATTTCCCTTTAAATTATTCGCTGGAAATTCACAATAAAATACTTCTTCCGACTGGCACGACAAGCAAAGGCCAACTTTGGTTCCATTGTGAAGACCAATCTGGCTATCGCCTGACTCCTGCTATTCGATTGTCAAGTTGAATGCACATACATCTATTGCATCGAAAGTTATTACAAGCTACTTTTAAAATTACAAACATTGCTGTATAATTTTTTTTTCTTTTCTTTTCCATTTTTTATTATTTTTTTTCACGCGAAGAAAAAGCAAAATTTAATTGCTAACATTTACCAAACATTCTAGATTACGTAAGCGACAGCTTTTAAGGTGTTTAAAGAAAACCCTCCTAAATTTAACAATCTTGTGACCAGGCCGCGTTACGCTTGTGTGTCTCGCGTTGCCTTCTTTTAAAGGAAAAGAAAAGAGGTAGAGATGAATGTTATTCAGGGCACTTATGTGCTAAAATTCTGAGTAAGTACTCAATATTTACTAGTAAATAGTGCTAAAATTCATTCGGCGTTGCTTGGGCATTTTAATAAAGGGCAGACATGCCAAAACCTATTATAAAACCTCATAAGCTTCGGGATAAAGGGAAACAAAAGCGGATTTTTTTTCTGGATTTTTTGTTTAGCCATAATAGCATGCGTAAGTGTTTGGATACTTTGCGGCATTGACAATTTCCTGGTCCAAGGTGTCACGACTAGAATCTTCTTCGTGTTTCGTTCGATTTGAAGTCATATTAGTGGAGGTTAAGTACTAATAAGAACTGAACTTTTGGTTTCAATTAATGAGCTATTTACAATTCGATTTTATAACGTATAGAATACTTTTATGAACTTACCTGATTTTCCAACGCCATCTTTTCCCAGAACAACAGCTCGAATGGTTTTCAAAGTGTGATGGTGTACATGGGCCCCGTTGCGTCTTTTCTTCATGGTTACAGACGGGAATAACGAATGGTGACTCCAAATAAAAACTAGAGTACAATTTTCCCTGTGTCCTTCGGTAACGACAACAAAACAAACAACCTCTCGATTCAAAGAGAGAGTCTTGAGTGTGTCTTAAGAGCGGACGGCACTTCTGCTCTTAATAACACACGGACGTCAAGGTCTCTTGGGGGTTTGCTATTGTTCTCAGATATGAAAGAACCTACCGATCTTCTTGTAAAGACGTGGCCATAACATTTCTAAATCGCTTCTTAAAACCAAGAGGGACTCCAAATACTTCGAGAATAGTCTGAACACCAGCCGTAGTAATTTTTTTCCCCTTCTAGTAGAAAAATAACCATGTGTTATTCATGCGACAAATACTCACGTCACGTTTTTGTCATTTGTTGGCTTTACGAGTTTCATCTGTTAAAACAAATTAACTTCACCTATCATCAAGTCATAAAATGCTCATTTTATGTAATAATAATTAACACATTCGGAACAAAAAAATAATTGATGCTTTCTCGTTTAGAAAGTGTTCAGAGCTTCTGAATAAAAAACGCCAATTTCGAAATAAGACGAGTCAGATTTTCTATTGAGGAAACCTTTTTTATTGCGACAAGGAACATTTTGAAGCGTAACGTCAGGGTGGGCGGCAAGTTTTTTTGAAAGAAAATGTTTCTTTACACCTGGTTTCACGGCTTCGCTGCTCTTAACTCCCACTCAAATACGGTGATAAGTAAATGCGTGGAGCGAAATTATAGAAATTCACCTTTTCGAACTCGCTTGATGAAACAGAACTTTTCAAAGTCTCCATCCAATTTTATAAGAAAGAAATGTTATTCCAATGATCACATCTTTATTTACATATTTTACGGCTATTCTGTAACTATGAAGAAGGTAAAGAAAAAGTCCTACATGCACTTTGCACTTTGTGACACATGACGAGAAGCCCCAGTGATGAGGGGTTATTATGGGTATTTTGTGTGACATTACATTTGACAAGGTGACGTGACAACTTAGCGCGAGAAACAAGCGTGACAAACAAGTCTCCCAGATCCCGACTAAAGTCGACGAAAAGGATTCTCGGTGAGTTGAAATTTATTTTACATGTTCATTAAAGCGGTTTTAAAATGTAATGGAATATCTACCAGTTGGTGTTTGATAGAGCCAAAAACAATAGCCAGCTCGGAGAACTGAATGATTCCTTCGAGACGTTCGGTTGGCATTTTCAAACAAGCGGGCGACATAGTTTAAAACAACTCTATTTTGTCCATCAGGAGAATGGATGCTACGTTAACGTTGAATTTAGGTCAAGGAAGGGTGAAAAGTACATGTAGAAACGACATTGACTTCTTCTGTCCGTCCCCAAATCGAGCTAGTGTAATAGGGACACGCGCGCTACCTGCGCAATTCTGAACCGACCATCTTCGATCTCTTGCATTGCTTCCCGTCTTTGTTCTGGAGATTCCTCGCAGTATTTCGTTTAATAGAAAATGCAGGTATGGCTCTTCCATCCTTCGAGTGATTCACCCAAGTTTACTTTTCCCCACGCGTTGTATGTAGACAAAACTCAGATTGTTTTTTATTGCAGTTACCACTTTTACCGTCACGCAATATCTCAATGCGTGACAACATACTATCCTAGAACATCAGTACCGCTTTTTTTTCTGTTTGCCTACTATTTACACTAACTTAGATAGCATTGACCTCAAACAAGCTGCCTTCACCAAGCTAAAACTTAACACAAGCAAACTTTTCGCTCAAATCAATTTTCATTTCCAAACTAGCGAGACTCTCTTGATTGAATCAAGGCCAATTGTCATCTTTTTTTTTAGAAATGACCGGTTAAAATGTTCTTCCGTATTAGACAGGCTGATTCTTAGAATTGACTTTATGATTTGATGCGTTAGTTCCACTAAAAGTACTCAATCTTTCATTTGGGACCTGTCATCGTTTTTCGCCTGGGGGGGAGGGAGGGAGGGGGGGGGTCAGTGGATTTTGGATGTGTCATGATAAAATTTACCAGATAACACCATAAGGCTCTGTAATATTCTTTTGACGACCTCTCTCCCCCCTTCCCTTTGGCAGTCGATTCTCTACATGCGTTACCCCCCTTTTATACTCTGTTGGCGACGACTGATCCCCACTTCCCCTCCACTCCTCCTGAAAACCATGTGATCCCCAAAATGTTGCCACCTCCCCCCTCCCCAGGCGTTGCCTTGTTCCTAAGCGCGATACAATTATACATCAAAGCCAGTCTTAGAATATTTAAAGTGAACATGACTTTCTCCTTGTGTAGATCCCTTTAAAACCTTCTTTCATCCTTGACAAAGGACCCGCTTTCTCTTTGTCGCCATTTTCCTGGTCGGTTTTATTGCTCAAATGCAGTCTCAGTGAATCATTCAACAGAGAGTTTGTTTCGACGAATCCCTCCGAGACTGAAATCTCGCAGAATACAGACCTTATTTCCCTAGCAAATTCATACCCTTCGTTTCTCGAGACTCTTCTGTAACGACACAGGTCTGTCTTTGTACCAACTAGAATCATAACACAATCATTGACTTTCACTCCCTGTATGTATTTCCCCAAACGTTTTGCCTCCAAAAATGAAACTCGATCAGTGATAGAGAAGAGAATAAAGAAAACTTCCCCAAAAGATGCGCATTTCTCCAACTTCTGTGTCGTATTCTGGAGGAAAGAAAAATAATAATTTCTGTAGTTGATGACCTGCTTTGTTGAGTTAGAGGCGGTGGCCCAGTGCTTAGTTCCCCGGAAACTTTGGTACTCACGAGGCTCGTGGATTGTAGTCCGAGAGGACTGTTTTGTAGCCTTGCTCGGTTGTATGAAGAAAATTTGAGAGCAAAACATATCACTGTTACAGTGATATTTCCCACCCAGGGGTTTAAGTGGATACCAGCGGACTATCGGGGAAACATTAACATACGGCAGTGCGATCACCACTTTGTTGGACTTGCAGCTCTTTCGAGGCCATCGCGAACCTTACGCGAACCTTTGCGAAAGAGTTGCGATATGTTTTCGGTTATTTAATGATAGAGTGGTATACGCACCGCTTCTTTTTTATTCTACCCCGTCAATTTGATTATGCATATGATATTTACCTCTCCGGCTGTGTCCATGATGTCAAGGGCTAGGTATTGCCCATCCAGTGTCATGTGATGTCGATAAGTCATCTCTATTAAATTGAATAAAAACGGAGACGAACATAAGGAAAATTTCTCAATCCAATCTCGCCCATACCAAACATGGTTCAATGTATGACGTTCTGATTACAGTATCATTATAAATTATCTTGTTCAAAAGAAATGCAGGTTGTAAAAGAAAAATTTGTCAAATATTAAGTTGTAATATCCTCGTTTCAGCTTGTCAATGTCAAAAAGGGAGAGACGGTATGAAGTTTCCTTCGCTGACCCCATTTACTTGTCTGATGTGAGCTTGTGCAAAATAATTTTTCACAGTTTTAAGGTTGCCCATCATCGAATCAAGAGGACTTAAGGTCTCTGTGGGGTTCTTACGGCTTACATGGCTTACGGTAAACTTCCTTCCGTTACGATTGGAAAAAAAATTACGGTTAACTTTTTCCACAACTAAGGGTAAAAAAAGTGACACCTAAGTTTACACCTAACCGCTGAACTTTTTGGCCCTTTTACGGCTTACGGTTAACTCCGTTGAGACCCTCGAATAGTCGATGGATGAGTTGACGGTGGGAGGAGGGGATGGTTTGAGTTAGATACTGTACTCATAGCGAAGTAGGGGCTGTGCTTGGGGGCTTTAGTTTGCCACTCACCTAAACTTTCATCATACTCTCCAATAAACCGTCTGGTCAAGAATCGGACAGTGAGAGCTGAAACGAGAGTTAATCCAAGAGACAGTTCACTGGATAAATAGGCATCGCCTTAAGCATTCTTAAGAATTCTTTCATGAATTAAGTTTTTGACCCTATCAAACTATTTATTAAATTGTGTTTATTGTGCATACATTGTGTACTCAGTTCGAATTTGTATCTACGACGTACTTTCTCTTAATAATAATAATAGTAATCAGAATAATTTCAAACTTAAGGATTTTGATTTTCAAATTCTTAGGAGCCTAGATGTTAAGGACAGTTTCCCCACTTAGTGTCTCTGGATTTAATTTTAGACCTGACACTCAAATAAGGTTTCCTTTCTTATCTTCTGTACCAGTCAATCAAGAAAAAGAAAATAATTTCAACCGTTCAGATGGCCTTAAAGTTTGCAAGAACAACCTCCTTCACAAGGAAATTGAAATTTGAACGAGGCCAATACTTAGATCACAAGGGGAAAAGTCAACAGTTGACGGTCTGAGAGGAGGTATGCTGGACACCCAGACATGTTTTTCTATCTAAAGGTTCTTCGTTTCTTTTATTTGTCGACTTTGTGTGAAAAAAAAATGTATCACAGCTGTGCCCTGAGGGGTATGTCAAAAAAGTCATGCGATCCTTTCGTTAAAAAAAGATTGCGCCTTAAAATCAAGCACCCTCTCTTGTTTTGTCTTGTTTTTTGTTTTGTTTTTTTTGTCTAAATGGTCGAAAGTTGTCTTGCGGTTTAACATACAGACTTGAAGACGTTGACCTCGAGAACTGCAGCGTAGAAAGAGGAAGTGTCATGGTTTCTGCGGTTAAGTATTAGAAGCTGATGATCGTTAAGATCCATTTGTATCACGTAGGCCATGCCATTTTAACTGAAATCACCAAATATGATATATAAGCTCTCTACTGCCAAAGGTCTTTAGGGAGGTCTCATTGTGACACCGAGTTTTTCTCGCATACGTTTTGTTCAGTGCTCTCTTACTCGCTGTTCTCACGTTCTCTGGTTCTGAAAAAATATTTTCGTTTGGTTAAACGTCTTACAGAGTTTTCCGTGTCCTTTTGTTTGTATAGAATTCTTTGTCATTGTGCAAACGAAGATCGATTGCAACTGTGGGATTTTTTCTATATAACTACTGAAACAACCACTTCATTGATGATCTTCTATGGAACTTTAAGAACTACGAAGCAATGAAAGGAATTCAAGCAATAAGCCCTCAGTACTTGAATGTGGTGAACGTTTTTGAACATGAAAAAGTCCGAAGTGTCACGTATCTTGTTCTATGCAACTTAATAATTGAGAGAACACTGATAATTTTGAAATACCCATCATGTTAGCACGCACTGCATAGAATGTTGGATATGTTCAAATGTAAAATCCAGCATCATGCGCCACCGGTGAAGTTGTTTACTTTCAGTATCTTCTCCAGTTTTCCATGGAAGTTCAGTTTGAATCGGTGTTATTCACTGTGTTACACTATTTTGTATGTTAGATAAGTTTCAACAGCAGTGTATTCAGATACCGGAAGTATTTGTATTTCATTTGGACTTCACCCTGAGTGTTAAAGACTGAGCCAGCAGTTGTTGAGACAAAGACGTAGCTTAGTGAACTCATTTCATTGTTATCGTTATTTGAAAACGATTAGTACACCCTTAAACGTGACCTCTTGGATGCCTTAAAGTGTGATTTCACTTTGTTCCACTGAGTTCTCACGCGAAGCACTTCATTAGGATCAAAAAGATTATGCATATGCACCCGTTTTGTTCCCTCGGTAAATGTTCATTGTTGCCTTATTTTGTGGTACTGTTGATACCCACTCATGGGTTGTTGTGGGTCATTCTTCTGAATGAATTCTTTGAAGTTAGAGCAAATTTACTCAGTTTCATTGGCGGTGTCTGAATGGCTGATAGTCAAGTGTTTTATCTGAAGATGCTAGAGAGATTTCAGTCTGCGCCCTCGTCTGCCTTACAGGTGCGCGACAGATCTTGTCATTCTTTTTCCAATGTTTCACTAATAACAAAACTTTTCAGCTGGGCGTTGTGCGAAATTCTGTGAAAATACTTTATTGAAATAGCGATTACTGGGGGCGTTTGAAGAGGTACGCCTGGTAGCCAAGTCAATATCTGCTATTTGAGCTTATATATCTCCATTTTTTTGGCCGCTTTCTTGGGGTGAACCTTTTATCGTAATTGGACAACTGTTGCGGTGTTTGGAAAAACGTCAACACGCGCGTAGCTTTCAGAAAAAGACCGCGATCTTAATCTCGAGAATATAAGAAAGCCACTTGATTTGATCGCATTCTGAAACAATTGCAATCGCTCATGATATCTTTATGATACCCACGTCGATGCCTGACTGATAACTGAAAAATTATATCAAAACATATGTTTTTATACGCTGGGTTATTTTAGGAACCCTCTGAAAATCAATTATTTTGGCCTGATTATTCACTTTTCTGTTTATTAGTGAGAGCAAGTTCCTAAATTGATGATCATAATTGATTGCGAAGTCACTACAAGACAAAGATAATCGATAAAACTCTCGTAATTGATATGCATAATTTATCGGTTTTCCTGCACCTGATGAAAGCTGTTAAACATCCTTTCAAGCAGTTAAAGACGAATGATCGTCCACAAAAAAAAATACATTTATTTTACTTGGTATATAACTTCTTTAAATTTAACTTTATGAGTTAGAAATGTCAACCAACTCCTGGCATTTTGTTGTGTTCCCTTACTTCTGAAACAGATTACTTCATAGCTCCGAAAGTCTTAGTTTGGTTTCAGAAGTCAAGCCTTTTCATGGACTACGTTGCTGGAAAGTTGAATCTAAGGTTTGTTTTCATGGGCCAGTTTATGATCCTAGCGGTCTGATTCCCGTAGCATGAAATGATAAACAATATTGCTACAGGCTCCCCTCGGATGGGACACCAGTCCATCTTTGGTTATCCCAAGAAATCTCGTTCCGTTTCCTCCGATAGTTCCACGATAGTTCCCCGGTGCCTTTTTCTTGGCGGAGGGGGCTATTTTGAGAGTCAACTGCAGCTTTTGTTGTAATGATACAGTGATACTCAAGGCTATAACTTATCTGACATACCTGATTTTCCGACGCCATCCAACCCAAGCACCACCGCGTGGACATTTGTGATGTTTGAAGGATTCGCTGAACACGTTCTTTTACGTCTCATGCTCTCTTTGTGGTCAATCAGCGTCAGGGCACAACAATAAAGCATAAATATACATTAACGACTGTAAATGAGTTGCAGACTAGACGTTAATCGGTTTTTCATTATATATATATATATATATGGGTGCAAGAAAGAAAAACAAACAAACAAAAAATTAATCAAAACATTAAGAAGCACACCTTGCACTGTTGAAATACTCTAACCGCGTTCCTCAATACACTCTCTCAAAATTGAATGACTCTTTTTTCTCACGCGGTCGATACAACTTGAAAAGCATATGCATTTCGACAATAGCACGTATGAGGTACAAAAACATGTGAATATTGGATTTCTCATGGAAACCGGCCAATCAAGTGAAGTGTTTGATGATCGCTCAGCGAACAAACTTTGGACAGGGGCGCGTATTTCTGCACGTTTTTTGTGTCCCAGTTCCCCTCGGGATGGTGGGAACAGTCAAACAAAAAAAGGTATCAAAAAAAAGTTGTGGAAATACGAAAATGGGAAGTATCCATCGATAAAGGAAAGTTTTTGGAAAAAAGAAGAGCAAAATAACATTCTTGTTCACTAATTCGCAGTGGAAACGTGCCAAAATAACCAGACTACAATAAGTGAAAGTTGCTTTTCGAGCGGAAACTAGCTAAACCGGTATGACTCCCCAAAAGATTTGAAGCGGAAGCTGCGAGTACTTTTAAGGTGTGTCCCTTACGTCGCCCACACTTAAACTGTACATTTTATCATGTGTACAATTTGCTTGTAGGGCTGATTGCATCAAGAGAATGCACCGCGATATACCTCCCTGTCAGCCTTCGGAATTTTTCAATTAATCCAATAAAAAGTTCATACCATTTATTTAATTAACTCTCAGATAATGCATGTGAAGAGTTTCGTCGGTAAGCATTATTACGTGCAAATTGATTTCAAACATAGATCTGTAATAAAAGATTCCTTTAGTTAAACGGATCAATTCCTGAAAAATCAAGAGATTTTCCTTGTTGCAGGGATTTATTAGTTGCATTTAATGCAATAACGTTGAACACGCCGCATATTCTAAAGCTAATTAAGTAGCCATGTTATATTAATCCTATAAAGATCGATAGAGACGTCTTACAGCTGGTATTGCCTTTCAAGATAAAGCGGTTCCATATTCCAACTTATTTTCTAGCTGCTGAAATGCTTGCTATCATTGCAAGCATTCCATGTATCGCAACATTTGTTGTAAAGGACTTACATTAGCAGTGTTATTGATAAGAAAGGTAGGCCGGTTATCGGAAGTTGAGAGTGAAAAAAATGTTCATGTCTGCCTCTCTTTGACCTAGTAATGCACGTGTTCAGTGCAGAGATTATGTCAAATTACATAAGTGTGGCATATTTTGGTTACCGTTAGGACGAAGAGAGAGCATGCCGTTCATGCCGGAGAGAGAGCGAATGTAAGACAGCATCTACAATCAACTCATGCACAAAGATGGTCTTGGTCACATTTTTAATCACATGCAACAAACTTGAAAGTAAAGGAAAAGCTCCAAGGCATTCTCCTAACCTGTTTTGGAGCAAAAAGCTAAACAACTTGCCACAAGTGAAGGGTTGATCTTCACGGTTTGAGCGCTTTTAAGGTCGTCGCACAAAAGAAAAATCAAGGCTTTGATGGGGTGAAAACTCTTTCCTTCCAGCTTTTAGTAGGACGCTGATATCAACAAAGGAACGCCGTAGTGACATGTTCGGATGATTATGCTTGAATTTCGTGTTTACTTGTTTGCGAACGAGCTCATCAAGGCCTGGGCTGTTGAAAGCCGGCCTTAAATTTACGGTTACAATAGATTAGACACAAACCCAGTTCTTATTCTCTTGACTGGACACGAATCACGCTACGGTCCTTTGAACCGTTGTAAACAGACCCACCACGTTATAACATAGAATGAGCTCCATGAGTTCAATGTCTCGTGTTAATATAGCCAACATAAGATCAGGTTTTTGAGTAATCAGAAAATTTGCGCCATTATAATTCGTTCCAATTGATTTTGCTCTCATTATGTAATTATTTAGTAATTCCTCCTAAACGAAAACTATGAAATTGAATTTTCTGAATGAAGAAATGATGAGACGATTTTCAAACATACCTCAAATAGAATGGGGTTGAACTTTCCACTTGTTAGTTCTAAGCATGTGACTATACTGGCAAGACCTCTATGATCTTGAACCTTTAAATGTAAAATCAGCTCTGAGGAAGTTATTTTTAGGGTTTGCAGAAAATTGTTGTGATATTAACACAAACTTGATGATCTTCCCTTCACGGGATAGGTTGGCTATTTTTGTTGAAAACTAAATTACAGCTAAGAGTGTTCCAATTCATTTTGATGTCGCTTTAACGAAGTGCGAAAAATGAGTTTATGCTGTGTGTTACATATTTTAAACAAAAGAGGCACGTTTTTTTCAGTTGGTTAGTTTTTTGAACAAATGAAAAGATGACCTTGTATGTTCACTTAGTAACTGGCCTTAGGCAATCCTTTATGAGGTCGGGTGAGAAAAATTTTTTTCGATGAAAGGATGAACTGCTCCAGGTTATAAAAAGCTATTTTTAGTGGATAAATCAAAATTTTGTTTGTCCTATCGTATGAGAAATTTATAGGAAAATGATCTTATTTTCTATTGAAACACAGGAAACACCTGCTTTGATAATTATCGCCCATGCATAAATGTGAAAAACACCAATCAACGTTTAACCTTGCTTAATGAGGCATTGGAAACTAAATTCCTTCACGTAATGAAGTAACTATGTCGTTTGATTCAGTATAATGTGAAAAAGGAGCAAAGAACAAAAGAATATTAAAACTTGGAAGCTCATATTTTTTACAAGATGTTTACGGAGACAATAAGCAGTTATTGGATGAGTTTAGGGGGTAAGTTTCTATAGAAATTGTGGTGCTGCGTCGCTGGGAGGGTATAACAGGGCAATTTAGTATTTTCAACTGTGTCGATAACGTAAATTGGCCACCGTAAAGAGTTTCAAAGGTGGCGTTTAGAGCGTTAGCTCTTCGTCAGAGCGAATGGAGGAATTGTGTGTTGTATGTTTTTTTGTATATAGAAAATGGAGCTACGCTATTGGTGGGAATATGGTGACAAGAAAACAAGAATAAATAAGTCGAATACCAGTCGTTGATACCGTGGGAATTAAGAGTTATTGGATGAGGTTGAGCATTATGTCATCAGTTATCAAAACCTAAGTCTGCGTTACTTGCCGAAGCCAAAGGCTGAAACAGGTAACACAGACACGAGGTTTCATAGTTCATGATAATCCGAGAGGCGAACTCACTAATTGTTTAATTGAAAAATTTTTAAACAATCTGCCAAAGAAAACACTCCTCACTGAGTTTGCCAAAGTTTGAGAATACTTCACGGACGAGGGGCTTGGAAACTAGGCATACTTTGTACTCGACATGATAATACACGCTGCAGATATTGCATTTATCATGTTAACTTCACACGCTTTTGTCCAATGATAGAATGCTCTTGATCAATCAGGTTTTTCATTGTAAGCTTTACAAACTCTCTACGGTGACCAATTTACATGATCAACTGGCTGCTATAACCAAATTATCAATTCGAAATATTCTAGGTAACATCAGCGAAGTCGAGGTAACAGTGTAATTCTACACATTTTTATTTCTGGATTCGTCCTTACCGGCGTAAAGTATTCATCATCAGGTAAAAGGAAACACTGTCTGTTTTATCTTTAATAAGGAGCAAGAGCAGGCGGTTTTGGGAACAGTTCATACCATGATTCCTGGCATAAACCGATGATCAGTCGTCTGAAATCCACGGTACTGTACTGCTTTCAGAGACAATCATTCTAAGAGACTGATTTCCTCTGGTTAAAGTGATTTTTATGTCCCGTACGCGTCGCTCAAATATGGAGACCGAGCACACGCGGCACTGGATCTCCACGTGCCAAAAAGTTCCTGACATGTGATTGAGTATTTCTGGACCCTGCTGAAATCCCCCAAAAACGGAATTGATCTAAGAATACTTTTAGTAGGTTCAAAATGGTTTCATAGGATTCTTTTGTTATCATCACTTTCCTGAAAATGGTATCAAACAAATTTCCAATTGCTGCAGACCCTACGTGACTGATCATATTTGTGACATAGAATACAACCATAGCAGAACTACAAACTGTTAGAAATACCACTATGTTTACTTTTTGGCCGCTAACTAAATAAGAGTCAGTTTATGAGTAATGATTAGAAATTTGTGAGAAGCTTTTTCAAATAAAGCGAAAATTAAAAGAGAAAGGAAATATGCTCGTAACCTTTCATCAAACAATTGGTTGCTAGAAATATTAGGATGTTTTTGAGTCTCCTTGAAAAGGAATGATTTTGTAAGGATCCGTCTCTCAGCTTGGTCTTTTACGCGAACTGTTTTCATTGGAAACTGACTGCCTCTAAAATTCGACACTTCCTGATCGGTACCTGTGTTCTGTAATGACAGTTTGTCCCTTGTTTTTGAAACCTCCTTTCAATCTCCTCATCAGTGGAGACTTGGGCGTCTTTTGTACATGTCCAAGGGATACTCTTAGATAAGTTTGTTTCAATATCTTGCTGTGCTCAGCAAAATCTTCAGAATTTGATAGCTGATGGAATGAACAACCCATGTTTACGGCGAAAAGTTTTCCCTCAAATTCTGTCACCTCTGTGTGTCGTTTCTGGTCTGCTTTCGTTGCTATTAGAAAAATCGCTGACGAGGGAATATTCTTTGTTTCGTGTAGATATTTGATGATGAGGGTGGCCTCTTGGAACGATGAGCGATCAGTGATGGAGTAAACTACGAATATGATGTCCAATGATGCACAGGTATCAATTTTTTCTTTGCAATTCTGAAATATTATATTAAAAATAAAACTGTTAGACGTTAAGGAGGGAGAGGGAGGTGTAAAATTTTGAAATTGGTAAATTTTAGAAAATTGCAGGGCCTGATTGTTCAAAGCTGGGTGAAGATAACCCAAGATAAGTGCGAAATTTGATGTCAGATCTGAATGCTTTCAAAGAAAATAAAGCTGAATTTCTTTTGTCTACAGTGTTGTGATTGGAAGCTTTAATGAGAACAGAGAAAATCATCCCAAACAGGCTTTTGAACAAAGGAGTTAAGGAAACCCGGATTAAAATTTAGCCTTGGGCTAGCGCTTATGGGCCGTCGAAACAAAAAATGGGCCCTGTCACACGAACACGATTTCCTAAAGGACCTCTGAGGTTCAATTCCTAGTCTTCAATATTCAGAGTTAAAAGATGAAAAGTGATCAGATGAAGAAGTAAAGGGGCTTGAAGGCGGCTTGTGATTTGCACTGGATTTCGAATCCTTGTCAAAAGTTCGATTTCGACTTATCTGTGTATTAATATGCAATTGCCAGGATTGTACCCATCGTTATCCAAGTCTTGGATCAATTTCAGTATCTGAGCAACTGCGGACCTACCCCTCCCTTAACCCAACATTAACCCTAACTTGTCATCAATCGACTGTTGCCGGGTGAGGGGAGGGATAGGTGAGCAGTTGCTCAGATACTGTCATGGATTCCGAGCGTTAAATGTATGCACATGCGTAGTCAAATTGATTGTCCGTGAAAGCTATTAATAGCCTTTGCCATATCATTACTGCAAGACTGGAATGTAGATGGAGATGTTCCTTCACAACTAATATTGGAGTCATTAACAAGTTAAATTACTCTTGCTTACTAATAGAAATGTCACTTCGTTCTGCTCATCGCAAAAGAAAAGGTCAATCCTAATTGAGAGTGCAATGATAATTTACTTGACAAAACTGGTTGTTTACAGCAGTTGAATTAATAATTAATTGCAGACATCTTGAATTGTACGCCTTCATGTTGTGCTGTTATCACTAAATAACTGTTACAATATCCAGATAAAGCTTTACACGAACCAATAAATAAAAATTGTGGAGAGATCAGAGACATCACGAACTATAATTCCCCGAAATCGATGAAATCTTCAACATCGAAAGTCATGCACCTGATACAGGATTGCAAAAAAAGATAAGTAACAAGGAAAGGGTTGATACCTTGCCAGCTGTGTCAAAGACATGAAATAAGACCTCTTGTCCTTCTATATCAACGCGATGCTGATACCAGCTCTCTGTGGTTTAAAAAAAATTTGAGGAATTCTTTTACTGTTTACGCTAATTCAAAACTAATTAAATGCCTTCCTAAGATAACACCTTGCGCGATCCTCATCTTTTCAGTCTGTTAGTGAGTTAGTCAGGTTTATGCTTTTATACGTGAACGAACGCAATGTTGTTTAGTTAGCGGTACATTCTGGTAGCAAAGCCAATGTTTGAAATTTCTCGAACCCTGTTGAAATGTTTTCTCGAAGTCGAGTAGTATTCTTTCTTTGAAGTTTTTAAAATTTGTACCGAAAAGTTGAAGGTATTTTGTACGTCTGTTACTGCTTAAAATCTGCACTAATTGCGTGAACTTTGTATCAAAAGGTTTAGATTTATCTCTGTGCTTCTGTTGATAAGTGGGTGACTCAGAAATAAATTGTTATTTGAGAGAAAGGTACAGATCAGAATTTTCCGCCTACGTGCTGTAATTTTTCTACTAACTCGTAAACAAGTGTCGCCCCTCTGAAATTATTTAAATATTTTAAAAAACATTCCAAGTGAAAATCGATTGTTGTTCATAAAATGATTCTTATAGAGATTCAAGAATAGAGAACGTTATTGATTTAGTCACTAGCTGTTACAGTGAGGTAGTATTTATCGTGTTTATCAACTTACCTAATGTGCCGTCGTACTCCCCAATGTAACGACGTGTCAGAAGACGAACAGTGAAGGCTAGCAGAAGGAAAAGAGAATGAAACTAGAAGATAATTTTAACCAGTGGCACTGAGTAACAACTAATCTCTGCTCATGTTACCCTGGAATATCAATATATTATCCAGAAAAAACGAATTTGTTAAAAAAATGTCAGCTGTAGGGTCTGATCACGACATAACAACCTATCTCCAATTCACTAGGCAACTCGGACAGTGTAACAACCACACCAGGGAACTATAAGTATCATGTTTGAGGAGTTAACTAGCTAGGTAAAAGATCAGTTAGAATTACTTCTACTAGGCAACATTGATTTGTGATCGTAAAAGTACAAAAGTAACTAGACAATTAAGTAAATATAATTAGGAAAAGACAAATAAAAAAACACAAAATGACAAAACTGAAAGATTAAACATCAAAAGGTTTCGCCGTACAGCAAGGTGTTTGTTTTCGACAGTATTGTTTTGGAAGTTTTATCAGTTTACAAACAAACCCCCATTTAAAGGGTCATCGGGAAATCATGAAAAATCGGGAGCATAACAGAGCGGCTTGACGCTTCGCTGAACTGTACAATGGCGTTTTGGAGAGCTTAAAATAAAATTATGAATGTAACTTTTGAGTACGAAAACACGGAATAATTGTCGTCCCATCAAAGAGAGTCCAAAGATTAATTTATTTCATGTCACCTTACATTTCTTAAGAATTTGTACATAGATATTTTTGGTCACAGCTTTACCACGAAACGCCGGAAGGATATAAAAGAAATCTGATTACTGACGATAAGCATTGTTGCGCCTACCAAAAGTCAATATGTTGAAGTTTAGAAATGGAAACTTGATGAGTGAGTGGAGTGGGTTTCACTAAAGATGGTCGGTTCCCTGCTGCGAGAAGATGCTGTACTCACGCAAACTTTTTTATCGTTCTCAACTGTTGTGTAGTAGAGCTACAAACGAGTGTGTTTCGTGTTTTTCAAAGGTTAAAATCTTGAAACTATATTTTGTTAGGGAAGAAAAACGCCAAACATTGGGGTAATTTGAAAAGAAAGGCGTATGGCATACATGAAAATCTACTGCAAACAACAAACTAGCAACAAAATTCGAGTAATATTTTCAGGATTGACGAGCAGTCAATATTCCTCCGCTCTAAAGTTTCTTAGTAATGACATCTTTTTCAGTGCACATATAGAGAAAATCTCTACCTGACTTATTTTAGGATATTTTGGCATTAAATAGTCTCTTACAACGCTGTTAATGTTTTTAACATCCGGTGACAAAATCTTAGTAAAGAAGCCTCCGTTTGATTTTATCATGACATTTCGTTTTATCCTGGTAGAACTTACTTGAATGCCTGTCTCTTGCATGCGGCAACTAGTGCGTGATAGCCAGAGGCTCTCTCAAACCATTTTATTGCCGGGCCGTGTCAGCTCCAAGAGAAGTTTGGTGATAATCCCTCAATTGCAGGCGCGTGCGACAGGCCTCGTAAGGTCGCGGTTTTATTGTAATACATGAAAGGCTCTCCACTCACCGGTTTTTCCAACGCCATCTTTGCCCAGCACAGCTGCTCTGATGACTTTGTTCTCCTCTTCGATGTTATTATTTGACCCTACGCTGAGATTCCGCGGTTTTCGTGGAAACACTGAATGGCCAGCGTTATCTTGTGGGAAAGACTTCAGGAAAACAAAACAAAACAAAAAAAAATCATGCATGCATTAGCTGTTCCCTAAATGTCAGAATATGCATATCGCTCCGTCTTGTTATTTCTACTAACTTCTCTACGGAATCACTCATCTCAACCTTTCACCGCAAGATGCAAAAAGAACACTCAAATATCTAAATGCATTGCTACTGGATTTCCTTTGTGGACAGCCAAGTGATTTTCCGAGAGCTAACCGCAGAATGCATAAGAAACTAACATCGGGGAAAAATACACCTTGTCGCATGTTTTGTTACTTAGTGAACAAGTTTTATGATAATTTCAACATCACAACTTTTAGTGAGTTTAAATAAACATTTACCCAGTTAAATTTACCTACCATTCGTCTTCCAAATTGGTCACCTTTAGTTTCCATTTTTTTCCGTGTATATGATCCGACTCTTGGCAAATCTCTGATCGGCACAACAACGTATTAAACCTTGTGGAAAAATAGAAGAAAAAGTTCTCTGGTCAACAGTTTCTCAAACGTGGTTCACTCCATTCGAGGCTAATGATGCTTACAACTGCTTGCTCGCCTAGCTCAGGGTTCAAATTATTGACGAACGTATCTTTGCGAGATGACTGCGGAGAATTGTACTTCCTATTCAACGCATGTTCGTCGGACACGGGTCAAATATAACACAAGAGCCAGTCTGGCACGGAAACTGAAATCTTTACGTCGCTTTTGATGTAGCCATTGTTGGCGGCAAATTATAAGTGACTGTTATCGATACCAGGGGTGTAAGGTCACTGCGGAGTTTTCTTTCTTCGGACCATTTTAATGGAAAAACATCAAAACTTGTCAAAGCAAAGATTCGGCCCTCCCTGGGTTATTTAGAAAGCAAACAGCGTTAAAGCAAATCAAGGCTCTAAGGTTTAAAGGAGGGGCGTGAAACAAGGAAGAGAGAGTACATCCTGAATCTTTAGATTCATCTGTACTTAATCTATCAATTTTAGTTTACTATAGAAACTGTATTTTCCTAAATATGGTATCTTTCAGGAATAAAATCTATCGTGTATAAATTGATCACCTAGTCTCCTTAGTTTCCCAGCGACAAATATGTGTCTTCTAGCCAGCTTAATTTTTCCTTAATCTGCCTTTTTAATTAGCGGATTAGTACGTGATAGAGGCTTAAATGTGATTAACCACAGGGATAGTTCAAATATGTAGGAATCAAAGTCCTGTTTGAGACGCATCCAAGCCTCAGTAACCTGGACGAGAGTTACTTCCTTGTTTTGTTTTTTTTTTTTGTGTTTTTTTTTTCGCCTTCTTTCATAAATCAGTTTATGTGTGGCAGTTGCTAGAACTGATGATGTATAATGTTCTGGTCGTATTTGTGAAAAGATGCGAAATATGGTCTTTTGAGATAACAATCTAGCATTTAATGATTCTGTAATGTTTTCCAAGTGAGGAGTTAAACAAAACGTGTGACCTTTGGTAGTCTGTCCAACAGAAACCACAATCTTTAGTTTGTACATCTTGATGTCTTTTCATCATGTGCTTGCGTTGAATGAGGGAAAAATTCTTAACGTTTTGCAGGACTACTCCTCATCTGTTGCACAGTATTTACATCTGAAGTTACTTAAGGTAAATGATTTGCTCGTTGATATTTAGGCATCAGTTCTTAAACCTATAACGAAGGGAAGTCTTTTGGTTGTATCTTGTGAAGCGTTGCATGATACAGGGGTGCTCGGAGAATTCAGAATAATGGCGTAGAGTAAAGTCTGATGGGAGGGCAAGGTCAATCAATATGAAAATACCCACAAGGTATTAACATTTGCTCAAAATTCCAAACGTTTCCAGATTAAAAAGCTTAAAGTCTCAGGAGATGAAAAAAAAAAAAAGATCGATTCCTTTGGCCATTTTCTATCCCTACCTTTCCATTTATAAACAAACACATTTAAATCTCTTGACATGTTTTCAACACTTCCAACCGTTTCAGCTCTCATCTACGCTTTCGCGTTTTTGTTCAAAAATGCAACTTTTCGATGCATGTTTGCCTGTCATCCACACTAAAACCTTCCCGAAAACGCTGATGTAAACGGAGACTGCATGTATTCGATTGTCATATCTGATAGAGTATACAACTATATATTTGGAGTTTCTTTTAATTTCCTTTCATTGATGTTCAATGGAAATGAAAACCTCTTGTTCCATCTCCTGCTCTCGATAGAAACATACGTATCCAGGCCTTGTTATTCGTAATTTATCAGTCCAGCTTGATATTGATTTTAAATATGACGAACAATGGAGAAGGCAAGGTACACTGTTGGGGTTATAGACAAAATATTTTTAGCCTTTTTTGGATTCCTATTTACAAGAGTTTCTGGTGTTTCAACAATTACTGATAAACTTAAGAGTTCTCCTATGTTTTAAATAAACGGAAAGACTCTAACTTGAACAATTTCATAGTATAAACTTGCTCTATCACGTGTTCACAAATTTGCAATCATTACAAATGATTTGAGTCGAGGGAGATTTTATTTAAAATTGTTCTGAAACGTTTTCTTTCCCTTGAGGTGAATTAGCCCAGATGTTGTCACGTAAAACTATTTTCTTCACCTAGCACAGCGCAGTTCTTGATAAATCAAAGAGTCGAAGTCCTGTCCCTGTTTTCAATCACTTGTGGAGTGGGACTACTTGTGTGCGACCTGTGTTTTAGTCCTTTTCTCATCCGCGTCATAAGTGGAGATTTTGAACCATTTCCCTTATTATTTAGAGAGAATCGAAGCGAACCGCGTAGAACATCTTGCGTACCATCAAACCCTTCGTAGCTTGAAATGGTGTAAAACTCACATCCGAGCTCCATCGCTAATAATCTTCCTTCGTATTCTGTCACATCCTGTTCGTATTTAAGATCTTTTTTGGTAGCTATTAGAAATATCGCGGCCCGATTGACGTTTCTTGTCTCAAGGAGGTACTTAGTGATTAGAGCTGCTTCTCTGAACGACGAACGATCTGTCGTTGAATAAAGAACGAAATATACATCTGCCGAGGAACATGCATCGATCTTTTCCACAGAGTTCTGTGAGATGAAAAACATCAGTTTATTAGTTGTCACTGAAAAGTATTTCACGTAGATATCTTTATCATGTAGAAATCTATAGGAGCATCATGGAAAAAGCGACCTGCTCTCTTTTTGAATTACAATTCCAGAAAAGAGAAGCCAGAAGAGCAATTTTTAAGACAGTGGCACGAAAGTATCATGGGATTGTATTGGTTTTACGTTACAGCGCCCACGATTGGACTAGAAACTGGCACTACTTTCCCTGCCAATCGGATGCTTATCAACAATTCGCGGTTTCCCGCGCTTGAGTAAATTTTTCCTTCTCCTCATTGCTTGTTGTAATTACTTGGGTTCGGTTTTGTGTCACTGGAATAACTAAGGCGAAAAACGCTTAAGGCCAATTTCCTTGACCTAAGAAAGGGATACGTAACTTGCGATGGACTCTTTTTTTGTGAAAGCTATAAATTTCTTGTAAATTTTGAAAAAGCAGCTTGATCTACTCACTTGTCCCGCAGTGTCCAAGATTTCTAAAAGGATTTTTTGTCCGTCCACTTCAACGCGATGACGGTATGTTTCTTCTGAAGTTAAAGAAATGGTAGCAATTAGATATAACCTGTCACTTTTTTGGCTTAAAACTAAAACTTGATCTGGTGTAGCCGACCCTTTTACAGTACAGATCACGTGGTAAGCTGTTGGCCAATGAAATTGAACAAGAAGAAAATGTTTTTCATTACCTAAAGTGCTGTCGTATTCTCCAATGTATCGCTTTGTGAGAAGTCTGACTGTGAAGGCTAAAAACAACAATAACAACAACAACTTAAAATCATCTTTAGTAATCAAAAAGCAATCTTTATGCTACTTGGCTATTTTAAATAGTTTAGTTACTACTAACATCAAGTTACATTTTCAAAACAGCTCTTTTATAAACCATAATCTCGTGTTTCATTTAAAGCCAGTTACAGGCGGTTTACTGCTGCTTGTAAGACCTCTTACCGCCCTTTGTTTAGCCTGCCGGAGCAGGTTCTTGTGTTTCGGTTTTGCCTTACGACCCCTTTCCGGGCACAGCCGCCTATTAAATCATCAGAGACCGCTTATCGGGAACGTTTTTGAAACCCCTGCATAATCCATCTATATTTTTAACCTTTTCCATTCTGTGTTGGGTGTGGTTCACAGGAATGCTGACAGAGTAAGTGGAATCAACTTTGCGTGCAATATGTAAACACGCTGTAAACACGCTGATAAAACTTCCACGCTATCCTACATTAAAATCGAGTGCGGTTGTACAATTTTAATCCGTTTTTAATAGCTGTGTTAATTTATCTTGATAAACATACTTTGCAGCATGTATGGCCAGTAGTCACGAAAAGAAATGATACGAAGTTTCTAGATCTGGGAATATGTCTACAAAGTTTGAATTTAACCTTTAGTGCAAACCTTGCTTTGCTAATTTAACAGCCTTGATTTGTTAGAATTTCGGCCCTTGGCATACGGAACTGTTCATCTTTGCTTTTATTGTTATTGTCTACTATAGGGGTGGATTTCCTTTTATGGTAACCACCACAAATCTTCGTGTCTTCCTCTACTTATGAAGGCGCGTACAGCCTTTTGACACGCAATCCATTGATACTCTGTTCGTTTGCTCGAGTGTTCAAACTTTCAAGAATCAAATTTTTCTCGCATTGAAAGTGTTCTGCCGCATTTTTTAAAGTTCGGCGTTTGTTTCTCAATGAATTTCATAATAAGCTATCTGTTTTTGTGTTCTCTATCGATGTCCCTCCTTGTCCCTTGAGTTCAAGTTTTATTTATATGTTTCTCCGAGCTGAAATCTCCGTTTAGTAGAAGTTAGAAATGAAAATATTTGATATGGTTACGAAAAGATTGAAAAGTCCTTATATTCTGGAAAATTTATTTTCGCCCGGGCGGGAAAGCGAATTTCTTTCACGGAAGCAGGTCATGCAACTTTACGCTTTAAGTGTTAAGACCCAAAAAATTCCGGAATAAGCGCTGTTTTGCGCACGTACCAACTTCAACACACGTCCAACAGTTTCGAAATAATTCATAAAGATAGCCTAGAATGGATTCTAAAAACAAATGTTTCTAGCGGGGAAACTAGCTGTGCTATGGAACGTGACTGTAATATCAACAACTACAATGACCTTTCACCTGTCGCTAGTGTATAAACGTAGTTGCAAACATATGAAAGAATGTTTTTCATGCTAAAGCGTTGAAGCGATGACTTTGTCAACATTCGACATTGGTGTCAATTAATTTTACTGTGATGTTTTTCTTCATTCTCTGTTATCTCAAAACCACACGTCGCATAAAAAGGCATCACGAGAAATGTGTACAGCAACAACTCGTGACTTAGAGGAACGTTTCAATGTAAAGAAAATTGTTTAAACATTCCTTATACGGCGACCCGCGGTGAGATAAAGCTTTGTTTGATTTCAAGCTTTGTTTGATTTCAAGCTTTCAGCTTAAAACAAAAGAAAACATGCAACGATTTGACATGTTTGGCTTTCAAATACCTGATTTTCCTACTCCATCCTTTCCCAGTACGACGGAGCGAATACCTTTTAAGTTTCCATTGTTGTTCCCAGTGGTTGCTCTAGGCTTTGTTGTACTTTGGAAGTTCGGTGGAATTGTCAAGCTATCCATAGTTCTATCCTGGAGGAAGAAGACGGAAATGAGAACTTTAAGCTGAAAAACAAACAGTACCTCACGCATGTACTTCAAATCATTCACTTCTAATATGAAGAATCTCACTCAAGGACTTGCGTTTCCAAATAAACAGCTCGACCTCTTACTTGCCATCTTGGCTGTACCGATAACCAAATATCAAGTCAACCTCTAGAGAACCTTATTTTTATGCAATGCCCGTTGAGACCTCCTGTCATCAATCGTTTTAAAATCGCATCCATGATAATAGACTAATATGTGGAATATTCCATTTGTTTACCACAGCCATTTTGATGCCCTTATGTTTCGAGGTATGTGGTCAGAATTTTCAGAGCAGGCGTACATTCCGATGAAAAGAAATAAAAGAAGAGCTAGAGGTGATAATTACAAGTTAAACTGTTGATCAACTGCACTTCAAAATGATTTTAAAAGTCATACTTCAAGACTTCTATGTCTAAAAAGCTACAAAGACCACTCATTACACACGCACTGTTTTTCATACCATATTTGAGTTCTGTGTCTTCAGTGTTTGTAACTCCTCTCAAAAGCAGTTGTGTATTGCTCAGAAAATGTTGGAGGTCCGTAACGCGTCGATATTAAATCTCAAATGAAGTTATTGTTCAATTATTTTGAAGTATTGTTTTACGTTGTTGCTGACGTCATTCCTGTGGTGATACCTTTGTAATTATTGCCCTCCGCGGGCTGCCGGAAGTACGCGCGCTAATACGCCTTTTCAATGAGATTTAGTCGAACTTCGCTTAGGCGCTTATGGCGTAATCACTTATTTAGTGTAACTAACCCAGTTATTACAATTTTCATCAATAAACGAAGCCATAAACGTAAATACTCAAATATTTCGGATTAGTCGAGTTCTGCCGATTTCTGCCGATTTCTGTGAGAGGCTAAGAAGCGTGTTGGCTACAAAACTTACCAATTAAGTTGCCTTTAAGTTAGATGAATCTTTATCATCGACTAAAATTTTTTAAAAACCAAAAACATTTGTGACATGCTTATCTTTCTTATTCCATCACGTACAGGGCTCTCAAATAAAAGAAACATGGCAGTTGGTACGAAAACAATTAATGTGTTGGTACCCTTGAGACATGGTACATTAATTACGTCCACCAGTTGCAGACGAAATGCGCGCTACTTCCAAGGTTTGTCAAGCGAACAGTTTACATCTCAGCGTGTCTACGACTCCTAAATCTCATTGTATAACTTGAATCCACTTTTAAAAAATTCTTTTAATGGTCTTTACTTTGTGGGATCTCATATCTTTTAGGTAAAGTTCAGCGAGAATTTCATATCAAAATTGCGTAATTAAAGACGACTGCAGGTACAATAAGGTAATTAACAAGTTTTCAATTATGTTTTGTCGGTAATAATTGTTCACGTTTGAATGAAAACTCATAACGTTCGAACAATACATTCAATAGAATAGCTAAGCAGCCCCTGGTAAGAGAATTGTCAACCACATAATTTTCGACGAATTACAGCGACAAGATTTGCGTCAATGACATTTTACTCAGGCTAAGGCAAAATTCATAGATTTCAAAAGACTGCTATGTAAATTAAATGGATATCTGGTAGTTTTATTTTTAGTATCTTAATTGGTGATGTGGCTGTTTTTCTGCTCTCTCGTTAAAAATGTTGTAATCGCCAATCTATTTGTATTTTGTCAGTCGTTGGTCAGTTTGTGAGTAACGTAGATTGCACTGTGGTAAACACATGCTGTAAGTTATGATTATAGTAAGAACATCAGTCCAAGGTATCAGTCAGTGCGCTTAGATATGACGTGGGAAAAATCGCTCGACTTCCGCTGCAAAAAATCTTAATCTACGGGCTCAGAACGAGAAGGAAAGGCAAACGGCCAATCACAATGCAGCAATGCGGAAGCTTTTTAGGCTATCCGATTAAAAAGTAGTCTTATCAATTTGGCCTTCTTTTGTTGATGTTTGCAAATTTGCCTTCTTGCTACCAGATATCTTCTTAGAGAATTGATCAGACTGTGACTCTGATGTTGTTTAAGACGAAGCTCTTTAGTTGATTTCTTTTTTTTTTGCAATCTTCCCTTTCAGCAGCCACCCATCTCCTTCTAGAATTACTTGATAACTAGACCTTGGTGTTTCATTTAGATGACGCTTTAAACTGAATCTTTTTTTTTTTTTTTTTTTTTCATTTTCTGCAATCTTTCCCTTTAGCTGCCGCACGTCTCCTTCTCGAACATACTGTTGACGAGAATTTTATGTGTAAACAAACACACGAAGTTCTTAAACGGATTATTTTTTCCTATTTGGCAATCCTCCCTATTAGCTGCCACACAGCAGTTTCTAGACTATACTTTGGTTTTTAATCAAGATAATGTTATTTACTGATGCTTTTCTCCTTTTGAAATCTTCCCTTTCAGCTGTCATTTCCTTTTTTCTGGAATCAATTGAAAACGAATTTAGCGCTTTACCAAGATAACGCTCGCGCTCTTTAAATAAACAAAGGCGTTAGTGATGAGCTTAAATACTCTCATCACAAAATAATTTTAATTATTGTGTGATGATAATTATTTTCCCGAGTTAAAAGATTTTAACTTTTCCTCTCTGACCGCTAACGGTAATGAATAAGCGAAATTCGATTGACAGCAGCCATTTCAATTTTTATTTCCTTCATTTTTCTTCTCTTACGCCATCGTTTATATCATCGTTTCACACAACATACTTTTCGTGACTTGTGAAATATCTCGCGTGCTTTAATGTTTACAACTGCCCTTATTCAGTTTCCGTGATGAATCATACATTTCTGAGTTAAAATATTGTGGAATGCCAAAATTAACGAACGACAGGAAGTGATCCGATTACTGAAAACATTTAGCCGTGTTATTTTGCCGCTTTGAGCCAGATTTTTCCATATCCTCACGAAGAACAGTAGGATGGCGTCTGTTCGCCACGTGTTGCCGGCCTTTTTTCAAGTAGTAACCTGGCGTTTTGAGTTCAGCATTCTTTTTTTTTTTTTTTCACAAAGCAAAACTACCTCCACGAAATATTAGGTGGCTAAGATAGAAAGAGGGAACAGAAGCATTCTAAACAAACATAAAGAGGCAAGGATAGATGCAAGTGATAATATTAAAAAAAATTCCAAATAATATTTTGGCCATTGCATTTTTCAAAAGACGTAAACCTTGACCTCGTTCCTCTTCGCTCTATGATATTTGTCAATTTAAATTATGTTTATGAGATGAATTGTTATTTTGAGGATTAGAGCACTCTTCATGGGTCCTTTAAAATTCGTTAGTCATCACAAACAAGAATATTATACACATGTGTAATATGTGACACTTCGGGACGGCCCTCGCATAATGCACTGCTGTTTGTTTGTTGGTAAACTCTATACTCGATTCAATACTTGCGTATACGCCAAACTTCAAGTGGGGTCTATTCATTAATAAACTAATCAAATATATTTGCTCACTATAAGCTTGGTAATTACACAGTAAAAGCCACAAACACAAAAGCTCTCGGCAAGGACATTAACGATGTTGGCCCTGTTTTCAGTGGTGCATGAAGCGGTAACTGAACTGGAGACCAACGCAGGCTCTTTTAATCAAGAAAAGGAAAACTTTTTGTCTCTCTTCCCATCGATCAACAGGAATCAGTAAATAACCTTTGACATTCTCAAAAATGTGAACCCTTAAAATAGGCCGCGCTTTTTTACTGAGGAATAGAATTTTTGAGATCCGACTGTACTGGAAACTATACGATCATGAATACATCTCTTCAATTCAAAGGCATGCTGTGTTCCTGTTAATGTGTTAATGCATTTAGCCAAGCATTAAACTATTATCACTGTAGAGGGTCATGTTAATCTTATTGCTTAGTCTGATTTCGGTAACACACAACAAAGAATCTTTGGAACAGAAGTGATAATCTAAGGGCGTTGTGGTTTCCTTGTCGGTTCGCATAGATCCGCAACTTGAAATCGATTCATCTTTATCAGATATTCTGGACACGTCTTTTAGCCAAGTGGGTGCACTAATGCCAATTTGTTTGTTTGTTTTTTTTCCTCCTATGCGATCTTATCAAAAAATGAACGCCTCTTCCCTAAACGTAAGTCAGACTTGCGTATTTCCTTAATAGATTTTAAAGGTATTAAATGAAACTTTAAATTTTCCTCCTCTGCAATGTGTGGGCTAGCACTAATGTTGTTAGGATCGACACTGCCTCGCAAGCCATTTCATTTTTTCTTTTTTCTTTTTCTTTCCCACCTGTCAAAATTCATGATATCGTCTTAACTATGTTAGGAATAAAAATCCCTAAGGATGGCGTATGCTTTTTTCGATATTTGCCGTGTAGAAACGTCGGCATGTGAGTTCTGTAGGTGTTAACAAACAATCACACGGGCAAAAAGAATTCTGAAGGCCTTTAAATCTACTCTTAACTCTCCAGTGTAAAATTGCTTTGAATGTGTTCGAGGCTAAATAAAATGGATTACATGAGATTTAACGTTAGGAAGACATGCGTATGTTACACATCCAAGAACCGCGCCTGTTTTGACTGGGAGCACAAAATAATCACACTTAATTTTCTCATGTCTCATAAAGATTAAAAGGAACAGAATTTTTACATACAAATGAAATTTTGGTAACGTATTTAGTTTTGGTTAGCATCTTTTTCCGTTTCTCAACCGAGTTTCCTTTCATCGTCCGTTATCCCGTTGAAATCTCTTAATTCCTCTATCACTTGAAGAAAATTTCTCTAGTAAGAATAAATTGAGAAATGATGAGTCAATACTTATACTCTGTATGTCAAAGGTGAAAGAAATTGGTCTGAATTGCTCACTTTTAGTTTCCAATCTCCCCAGAGTCTCCAATAGTCAGAAGCTTTCACAGAAACCATACGATAACTCACAAGATGTATTAAAAACACATTACCGGACTAGAGTTCCTTCGCCTTCCACTTTTAAACATCCAGGTTGACATCTTGAATTCGGGCATTAGGAGCTAAATTAAGAAACAGCTCTAGAACGTCTAGTCTCTAAAAACGCCTCTTCCAATTCGGCTACTTGCCCGGCAACCTGCTATGCACGTATCTCATTCGATCTCGCGTCTGATGTCCTACTGTTTGGCGTTAAATATTGTTGCAAGTGCTAGCTAGTGACCTTAGCAACTAAGACAGTCATCGGGAAGTTGTGGTTGAATTCCGGTATTATCTCCTGCTGGATAAGCACAAACGTAAGCTATCGAGCATGAACAGGAATTTAAACTCTCTTAAAATGCTGGGCTCTTTGAGAATGCGACAAAAAAAAAACACTTGTATTCGTTTGTAGAAGTGGTTATCAACAGCAATTCCGTCCTCTATAATTGGATTCCGTTCGGTTATCTCCCTTGTTTGACGTATTTCATGACGAAGTGGAAATTACGAGAGGGTTCATCTTAGCCTTCTTGACACAAAAATAAACCTGGAATAAAAATGGAAGCAGTGTTGCGCCATTCGTCAGATTCGAAGTCATGTCGCAATGGAATACTTGAATGTTTTATTTTCCTATTTCGGCTTTGTTGTGTATGATAAAAAAATACTTTGTCCAGGCTTGCAACTTCTCTGATACATAGCCAAGAAAATAGCATAATTAAAACAAGTTTTATTTTAAACTTGAAAAGCAAGACAGGAATGTATCTGGCTGGGAGACGTAAGGCTATAAATAAACAACACCTACGCAGTCAGAAAACAATTCAGAAGGATTACATCCCCCGAAAAATCCCTTTTCAAATGAGATTAAAGTAAATGAAAACCATGGCCACTAAATACTACAAGTAAACAAACTGTAGCCTGATTTTATAACGAGTAAGATTGTCGTGCTCAGATCAGTTAATTCTTGAGCTATGTTTGCCAAAAGACGGGTCGCTAGCAAAACGTCTTTCTGCTTCTGAATAAAGGGGGTAAGTTTCTAAAGAAATTGTGGTGCTGCGTCGATGGATTTGTCAACTGACTTGGTAATGTAAATCGGCCACCGCAAAGAGTTTTAAAGCTAACGTTTCGATCGTTAGTCCTTCTCGTGAAAGAGTAATTGGATGTTTGGATTTCTGGATGATAAAGCAAAACTAACCCAACAAGCGCCGAAAAATTCATCCTCACAAGTTATGCAAACATTTCCAACGAGAGTTTCGAATTACCTTCACGCAACTCCATCTATACACGTACCATGATCCGTCCGGGAACAACGTTGACGAGTGTAAATTGAAGGGTTTAAGGACGAGATTTGTCCGTTTTGACTTAGTAATGGAAATGTTGTATTTGATAGTAGTTATTTACCCCATCTGAATACCCAGGGTGGAACTATCTTCAGCTTGATTTCTCTTTTGCTCAGCGCTTGGCTTTCCTTCCCAACTAAAATCTATCTAATTCGTTAGACAACGCCAAAGATTGCATTAGGAACTTGATTGTGAGGAAGTATCATTTATTTTGCATTCTCTGTTGTGTTTTTTGAGCCTACTATCACTATTATACAAAATATTTCCTAGCCTAGAATTTACACTATCTTTTCAGAATTAATAAATACAATTAATTATTTATGCTACTGTAAATATGTACAGGTACAGAAACTTAGCTAGATCCGAGGGTTATGTACTCTTCTATCTCTAAAAGCTCTTTTTGTTCAAGGGATGAACGTTTTTCGGCCAAGGAATCATAATGGAACAAGATGAGGCTTCTGGGCTTCGCATGGAGGTAAGTGAGCATATTGATTTTATGGACTCATGCTGCCATGGCACCGTGAGCTAGAACTTTGGTTATCAGTCACGAAATTCATTATTTAATGATTTGAATTATTTTCACCAATTCGCCTTTGGGGTTTAATGTGTTCTTGCTTTCCGTGAGCGAACGCTGTTTTCAGCTAAAGTATTTGGGGTAGACACATAAATAAAGAATTCTTGTGTGATGCGGTATTCCGTTAGTTGGAAGTAGAACCCTACACTCTTATTCTTGTAACTCCTCATTTTTCTAACAGCCTTCCTTATGATCCTGGTAATTTTCTGACTCTCCCTCCCACCCCGATGAAAACACCAGGTTGCCTTCCCCTACCTAAAAAAAATACTGATACAATACATTCGCGTGCGAATAAACACAGACTAAGTTACTGACTTTTTCCGACTCAATACATTGTCAATAAACAATCTGATGGAAGGCGATCCGTGTTTCTGTGTATTCACGTACTGCCTGAGGGTACTGTAAAGAACATTTTGAGAGTCATCGAATCCTTCCGATACCGACAGCTGGTAGAAACCACACTCCAGGGCTTGAGCCAATAGACGTCCTTCATATTCATCTACTTCTCGGAAATGCTTCAGGTCGCTTTTGTTGCCGACAAGAATTAAGGAAGCCGGATTCACGTTTTTGGTTTTCAGGAGGTACTGACAGAGCAAGGAGGCTTCCTCGAACGAGGATCGGTCGATTGTGGAGTAGAGGACGAAAAATAAGTCTGATCCTGTGTGGACGCAATTATCGATCTTTTCTAAAGAGTTCTGAAAAGGCACAGACGAATATTACTATTGTAGTTGCAGCTCAGCCTTCTCCCTGACAGGCTCCATCATCACCTGCAGTGGGAGGGGGTTAAAAGTGCAAACTCTAACCTCATTTTAAAAAAACCTTTCTTGAATGCGGCAATGATCAGTATCTGAGCAACTGAGTATCTACCCCCCCCACCCCCCCTTAACCCATCAACAATCAACTGACAACAAGTTAGGATTAATGATGGGTTGGGGGGGGGGAGGGGAGGGGATGGGTGCGTAGTTGTTCAGATACTGACATTGATCCGCACGTTCTCCAATGTCGTTCTTCACGTGTGAAGAAATTCGCGAGTGGATTGAGGGAGAGAGGGGGTCAGAACGGAACCGAGATGGCAAATGCTACTCATATTTATCCAGAAAAGTCCAAGGCCTGTCAAGATTTAGTTCACAGTTATGTTGAGCGTGAAAACGGTCTGCTGTACCTTTCCTGCTGTGTCCAAGACGTCTAGAGACAGAAACTGACCGTCGAGCTCTACATGATGACGATATGTAGATTCTGAAGCAAATTAAAAAAGCACATTAGAATTCTTCGCATGAAGTATGCATTTAAGTTCCCTTTGCGCCCATCATTGAATGTTCGAGAAAATACATGAAGGTTCACTTTTTCTCCTATAGTTTCAAACTGAGTCATACTCATTCTCCTATTGTGAAAACTGAACGCCATGCAAACAACTTTTTACTGAAAGATTAAAGCACTATCCTTCTATCTTAATCAGTCAAATCATTTTCTATAAAATCACGGGCGACTGCGTGATTCGGCTAATGTAAGGTAAAGTTTCAATACGATGTTTCCGCTGCGATAAAACACTGAACTTCCACCTATTCTGTGGGAGGATAGAAAGCTCAAAGATACGTCAAGAAATAAAGGAAACATGATAAAAGATACCATAAATAACAGCAATTGTTCCAAGGGAGGCTTCTGTTAGAATGACACGGCATTGCATTAAAAGGAAGAGGTCGTGTTAATGTTGACCTAGATGACACATCAACCGTCGAGATAAGATTCATAAACCTAATGTGGTTTACTTCAGTCATCTACCTCTATCTCGGCGGCGATAACAACAATTCTCGACTTACAAAGACTTTCGAGTAGAGGGTGAGAGATTTATAAACGGTCCATAAATTTACTTTCATTTTTTTCTGTTTTTTTTTCAGTTATTTTTTCATTTTTCAGTAAGTTTTTATTAGTGAATTTCATGTCGTATATGAAGGGAAAAGTTGGGCGAATTTTGATGAGCTTGTAACCGCGTTAACACGAGTAAATATAGAATTACACAAAGTCGTGCGCCCTTTTGATGATACTAAAACCAGACAATTTTTCGCTAAAAACTATCTCCAAATTTCTTTATAAGTTACAAATTAAACCATAGAGTTTCGTTTCGTGATGTTCTTCGACTTTTTGCTTTGATAGATTCACGACCTTTCCAGTGCTATTTTCGTCTTGCAATACATGGCCTAAATTTAGGCTAATGAGTGGGTAGAGATCCCTTGCTAAGATTTCACAGTTAAATCAATAGCGCATTTAGTTGAAAAGTGACAAGATGGCCACACTAAGATGGTTTTGGTAATTAACCATTTATCCAAGGAACAATTCAACGATAACAAGAGCTTATCTAAGTGTAGCAGAATTACTGTAAACTCGCCGGCAACGTAGTGACTGCTATGTCGGTTATAAGAACGTAAGCTTACCTAATGTTTTGTCGTATTCCCCAATGAAACGTCTGGTGAGAGCTCTAACTGTAAATGCTGGCGGATCGGGTGGAAAAATGATAAACCCTGTTAGTAAAAATCCCATTTGCCTATGTATACAGAACATGTAGAACGTACAAGATAGTCGGCTGTGGGTAAGGTAATTAAATTAGGGATTAAAAACGTATTTGAGGAAAACAAGGTAATATTTTTCCCTCTTTTGCAATTCTACTCTCAGAGTGAATTAAAAAAGCAGTTTAAGACTGTTTACTTCTTGTTAAATTATAGCAATCAACCAGAAAACGACTTCTGACTTCAGGTTTTGCAGCTTGCGCATGAAACTGCATCAACGGTTTGAAGACCATGATTTAGCCAAGTTTTTGAGCCAAGTTTTTGAGCCAAGTTCGCCGACTGAAATCTGCGCCTCTCCATCCATGACTACTCTTGTCCCTTACTTTGTTAACGGTTGTCTTTTCAGTATCTTTGTTTCTTGCAAACTAATACTGCACGGTCACTTTCAAACTCGATGTAGCCATGTTTTCATAGCGCAAAAAGGTTTTGTAATTCGTGACATGAAGCTTCTTAAATCATAGCCTAAATACAGATGAACTCCTACGATAAAATTCTCTGATAACTCCAGTGTTTTTTATTCTTAAATCCTTAGTCGTGACTCTGTTAATTGTCGATACTAGCAGGTGCTTGAAATACTAGAAATTGCAAAGGACGAGCGGCCCTTCTTATGCGGCTCATTGCACGTCAATAACAGCCGAGATTTTCCGTGTTAATTGCCACGACAGTTATTAACGAGCCGAGCCGAGCCTAAAGTTATATTTGTATCTCTATATTTATATATACCCGTCAAACCATTATGTGATACAAAGACTGATTGTAGTCGTGCTGAACAACGGCCCAAAAAATGATAAGACACGTGAACTAAATGCAATAGATTTACTGAAGAGAATGCTGTACTTAAATATTTTACTTTTCACAAGCTGATCTTGCTTAGTGTCTTAAAGAGCAATCGCAAAAGCAGATTATAGTTCATACGCTAATAAAAGATAATTTCTATCTTCCAGAGAGTTCGTGTCAATTCATCTTCCTTCTTCTGATACTGTAAACTATCAAGCTGGGGAACATATGTTACAACAGTCAATGAATAGGAACCTTTCTATATATATATATATAGATATATATAAGTATGTTAATGTCAAACGCGACCTCAGGGACGGTGGTTTTTGATGCATCGTAGTTGGACATTTCAGTAGAGTTAACACGTACCACGTTACCAGGTCAAGAAGTTTTCTTTGACAATTTCGCGCAAATAACCGAGTAATCTGCCCGCTCTGACGATTGTTCTTCCATTTGAAAGAGCCCTCAGCGAAAAAAAGCAGAGGTCGGGCAAATGAGCGGAGACTCGTGCACTTTAATACTTGTTTATGTAGTGTGAATGTAATTATGAAAATAAACTTTCTCTTTGACAATGAAAAAATCTGCCTATACTTATTGTTCCTTTGAAAGGTTCTTATTTGTAATTCGGAAGCCGTCTCGCCAAGGCTTCCTTGGGCTAAGACTATTAATGCTCGCTTCTCCGCAGGTGGGGCGCCCGCGGTTTCGCCAATTTAAAGCCGGACAATTGTTTGAAAATTCTTCCTCAGCTCGCTCTTTCTTTACCCTCGGAGGGAGATTTTTAATGAACATTTCTATGTTGGGTTTCTTTTACAAAACAAAGTGAGACGTATTCAACGCCTTGTCAAAAATGATACATATTAAAGCTTTTTGTTTGGTCACAAACAATGTGATATGATCTCGCCAGTTTTGTGATTTCACTAGTTGCGGTTAAACCAGCTTTCCGAGATTCTACCAAGCTTCCGCTATGTTTATTTTAGTTCATTGTCTGAAATCATCGTGGTTTCTATATTAATGAAAGTGAAACTCGTTTCTACTTCAATGTTAGTTTCTAGTTATTAGTAAACATTGTTGCGGAAAGATTTTATGTAGAGCGTAAGAACTGATCTACTGTTCAGTACATAGCTAACAACCCTTAACAGTTCAGCGGAGGTTTAATGACCGAGTAAGGAGTAAATTTACCTGATTTTCCTACACCGTCCTTTCCTAGAACTGCAATTTGAACATTTTTAACACTAGAAGTTGTTCCGTTCTTTCTTCTCTTTACCATCGGACTTTTGAGCGGTGGTCGCTCATAAGCTGCGGCCGGATGATAGGAACACTTCTCCTGTAACAACAAAGACAGACAAAATCGCTAAGAGAACTGGGTTAACGAATAATAAATGAACAAAGTTTGTAACATCTTTGGCCGCGTAACAAAGTTTCAATCGCTGTTCCTACCATTGTATGTGTAACGGAGTTGTTATGCTAGTATTTTCGTGATGTCCTTACGCAACTTGAATGTTCTTGAATAAATAGCCCTCTCACTTGTTCACGCGCTGGTTATTACAGAATGAGATAGTTATCTTTTACGTCTTTTGTCTCCCTTCCGGTCAATACTACTCCTTGGTCACGATTCGCGTGACAAGGTGGGTATCTATAACAAAAACATCTTGGTTTCTTGCTGTGAACACCTGGCACTGATCGTGAATAGAATATAGACAGTTTTGTTAATGCTCAGTTAATCGCTTACGGCGCTGAGAATAGCTTCGTGTTAGCACGCTTTTGAGTGAGATCACAAGTGTCAATATGAAAGACGCCAACAAATTTGACCCTCTGTACAGGTTGAAAAAATTTCAGCAGTGCTATCGTGAAAAGAAGAGAGCTCCGTCAACAGCACTTGACTAAACTGAAAAGACTGGCTTTTATTTATGTTATTAGAACAGAATAGAACGCGTTTTTTGTTTCATTTTGGAGTACGTTGGATTTTTTTTCATAGCCTTGTGGTTTCCATTGGAATTTGTAGTGGTAAATCAAAAAACGATCACAAAAATAATTGAAAGTGACTCAAATCTGGTTTTTTTTCCATCGGATTTCTGGTATGATCTGCAAAAAGGATTAGTTGCGGTTGAAAGATGGAGAAGATTTGTCAAATTCAATACGGAAAGGATGACAAAGGAGTCAAGAGAAGCCATGAATTAGCGAGAAGTGATGAATCATTAAGGCCAGGACATTTTCAGTAACCCACATACAATTGATTACACAATTCAGGAAATACGGCATACATTTCAAGTCTGGTGAGTAAAGTGTCTGAAAGAAGGTAATTCAGTACAATTGCGCTTGAGGTGCGTTAGTAAAACAAAACGTTTTGATTGTTAAAAGATAAGGAATATTTAGACCAATGTCTCTCCCCGTTTGCTCCCCAAAGCAGATTAAGGATCCTAGTCAATGTTTATCCGAACAACGCCAATTTTAAGCTGTTATCTATTTAAACAAAGACAAAAGGTTAAATTAAAGGATTAAGCAAACCCATGGGGGACGAAAAGGTTTGTTGCCAAAAAGATAGAAAAAAAGGTTATATTCCATGAAAGACTCGTTGTAGCCATTTCAGACAAAGTTATTTAACATGTGTATTCTTTAATGCCCTAACGGAACTAAATGGTATTACAAATATCTCTTTCATTAAGGTCGGTTAAACAGAATTCGACCCTTACTGATTGATCTTCTCATTTAGTCATGTACTTTTGCTAGCAGAGTTCCATGAAGGTCCACTGAATACGCCCAGTTAGCTTCTTAACAAAAAATTGTCGACAATATTTGCAATCAAACCTTTCTTCCCGAGGAAACAGTTCTATTTCTGCCAATGTATCGAGTCCTCCCCTCCTGCGGGGAGAATTTTGCGACTCTTTATAGCCTTTCTCCCATGGGGAAAGAATTTTGACGTCTTTTGAATCGCGACATCTCCTCTTGAGGACAGAATTTTGTATCCAGTCCTCATCCAGGAATGAATTTTGCTACCATTTGAATCGCTTACTCAAATCCTGGTGAAAAATTTCGCTACCATTTGTGTCGAGTCCTCTCTTCCTGGGGAGATAATTGTGTTGTCATTTGTATCAAGTCTTCTTGTTCTGAGAAAGAATTTTGCTGGCATTTGTGTCCAGTCCTCTCTCCTTAGGGGAAGGATTTTGCTGCAATTGCATCGAGTCTCCTCCCCCTAGGAAAATAATTTTTGTTCGTTGTATGATATTGTACTGACTTTACCAAGGACAAGACAGTAAAAAAAAAAAACTTGAAAAAAAAAAACAAAACAAAAAAAAAAAAAAAAAAAAAAATCTTTATCCTCACTCTACCTGGTCATCAGATTTCAGAATATTTCTGGAGATGCAAGATATGTTTCGTTTATCTTCTGAATGTTTAGTTTACAAAACCAGGAGCATTACCGTAGTGGCTCCTTGAAAAACCTTATTTTAGATACCAATATGTGCTACTTACTGCCAACGTTAGCCTGGCGAGGAGCCATTAATGGGCTCCTGGCCTGGGCTGATAAAGAAAAAATAAAAACTACAAAGGGACATTTACTCAGGTGTTCAGAATGAGAATTTAAAACTGCAATTTCCAACGTAAACTTCCCTAGTGCGACAGGGACAGTTATACTAACTTACATAACAGAAACAGACTGAGCTTGTTACCGCTGTAGAAGAAGTATCACAGGCACCATCCCACTTCCGTTTTGAAGTCGATCATGTCGTTCTGCTCGTGGGACGGAGGCGAGAAATACAGAAACCACTTTGAAGCTGGTATTAATTTTATATTATTCTTCTGTCGTAAGCCATAATATTTTCTTTCTCTCTCCAGCAATGCCATGATCAATGGAGATCGCGAGTATGTTATTCGCTTTGATTATGCAAACAAGTGTTCAGACGAAATTTAAATTACGTGCATGTACTATGTAGGTTTAATTTGTCGGTACAAAGGATTTTTCGACAAATCTAAGAGTATTAGAATTTAAATTACGACTAGAAATGAGCGATCTCAACAGGAGAGTTCAAATTTCTGCATTTTGTGGTACATACAATAATTAGCAAATTAGCTACTTGTTTTGAGGAATTTGTACAAATGAACGAATGCGCTTGTTCTTCTTAATCAGAGACGCGACGAAATCAGGCCCAAGCCATACTGGCAATTTTAGAGCGGTTTAAAAAGTATTTGTTGATGCATCTAGCCAAAGGTTGTGGTTTAAAAAGATGACGTGCTTCGGCTGATATCGTAGCCACAATGCTGAGTCATTTATACATGTAGGCCTTGACAACACGAGTCATCATAAGAGAAGGGGGGAGTACTGAGAAGGGGGGTTGGGGTGGGGTGGTTTAGGAGTACTCCTTATCTATAAAATAAAGATTATCTTGGATTTTTTTAAAATTATTCATTAATTAGAATAGGTGAAATCTGGACTATGACTTTCTATAGCAACTTAAGTCTGTAAAATGCTTCTTCTGTTACATGAACTTTTCATTGGAAACATTGTTAAATACTGTGATGTTTATAAATTGTGAGTCTGTGATGATAAAATCTATCTATTTCTTGAGTTAACTGGTGCTAAGAGGAAGTTTTCAGGAAAGCAATGGAAAAGTCTTCTCTTGTGTGAATCAGCTGAGTTTCCTTCCATCCTTGTGGAGGGTTCTGCCTACAGGGGAGGTGGGGGGGGGAGGGAAAAGGGGGTTAAACAGCCTCCTCAGTATGTTGCACTGCTTCCATTCCAAATATCTTTTAATCAATTCTCCTTGCTGTCTTCAATACATTTCTTTCAATTTTGGAGCTAAGAGTTTTTTGCTTATCAAACAATATTCCCTCGTTGATCTATTAATTTCTTCTCATCACCTTTCCTGTTAATGCTGTTTTGATATTGGAAGGAGAATTTCCTTGTAGGTCACTTTTGATAGTGCTGAAATGGTTGAATGTTGAGATTGGTTTCTTTTTGTCTGGGCTTTGGTTGGATAGTGTGATTGCATTTTTATTTGTGTGGTATTTTGATGATTGCATTTTGTTGCTCTTTGCAGGAATTTATATTTGTCCCAAATGTGGTCACAAGCTCTTCAGTGCCAAGGCAAAATACAAGCATAATACACCTTGGCCAGCATTTACAGAGACAATCAGAGCAGACAGTGTGTCAAAAGCTGATGAAACTGAACCTCAGACAAGCAGTAAGGCTAAAGCGCTAAAGGTAGTTGTGTAGTGAGATGCATTCTGACACTTTTTCTCTAGTTAGTATACTGCAATCTCTCATCTGAACAGTTTTACCTGTTTTTAAAAACTCTTATCCAATAACATTGGAGGGTAGATGCCCTTAAGACAGCAACAAAGGAGGGAGGCATTATTCTCACCAGCAAGGTCACCATGGCAATTGAGTTGTGTGCATTCATTCACATATCTAAGGGTGGATAATTTTTTACCATGATATAGAATTCTCTAGCTAAATTACAATGGACTGACCTATTTTTAAACTTTAGATGTGGAGAATGTTCCACTACATTTCTTCACCCTCTACACCCTAACATCAATATGCATAATCTCCTTATTGTTCTCTATACTTCTCTTGAGGTGCTGACAAGGAGAATTTGTTAAACAATCAAGAGCTTCTTTTGTTGATGATCATGTCCCTTTTTTCTTGTGATTTTAATGTGTGATTCAGGGCTGATATTAATTATTAACCCTTTGACTCCCAGATCAAATTTGTATTTCTCCTTACTGTCAACCATATAATTATCATAATGTTAGTTCAGAGAATTTAGTATTGGATCAACTAATTATCCTCAAATTGATATTTTTCTTTATTCTCATCACTTATCTGGTTGATATTGTATTGATATTGTAAGGAGAAATTCTGTCTTGGTCACTTATGGGAGTTAAGGGTGCTAGTTAGATGCTAGTCATTCCTAGAGATCAAAAGGTTAATAACCTTGTCTCTGGTTTTATTGTTAATTCTCTCCTCTAGCTGCGACTCATTACCTTGTAGTTACGAGAAGTTAGTGCTAAATCAAGATAGCAGCTTCTTCTTGATAAGTTGGAATATTCTCATTACCTGTTTGCTGAATGGATAAGTTAATCACTTCTGGGAGTTAAAGGGTAAATCAGGCAGAGGGTGGGAGGGGAGTGGGGAGGGGTTGCATAAATAACATGGGTCTCAGGTAGGGAACAAAGGGGTTATTGTAAGATCCAAAGAGGTTCTTTTTTTTATTGTTTTTATTTTTCTTTGATTTTTTCCTTGGTGTTTCTCTGCTTTTTGTTTTCAAGTAACATCAGCTGGCTTATTTACAATTGCAACCAATAAAATCTGAACCATGTTGAAGGAAGTGAAATTCATGTTTTATTTTATTTTCTCTTGTGAAGGTTAGCTGTGGTAAATGTGGCAATGGTCTAGGACATGAATTCATAAAAGATGGCCCTGATGGAATATCCTCAAGGTTCTGAATCTTCTCTGACTCACTGCAGTTTGTCCCCAAACAGGAGGAACAAGTCAGTGGGACAGCATCTAGTTATGTAAATGGGAAAAACTAAATAACAAAGCTACATTGCATTAATAAGTCCTACAAACAGGTTGTAAAAAAAAATCCAAGGTGATAAATTAGGTTGTTATAATAATGATAATAATCAAGTTTATTTATTATTTAAAATGTACAACTGCTTAAAATAATACATGGTTTTGGTTCTGCTTTGTTTTGAAGGAAAAGTGTTGTAGAATCTGTAAAAATTATATTCAAGATAAAGATTTAAATTTTTTGGAGAATGAACCTGTAGGCATAGATAACTGTAATTACTAGTTAGTGGCTGTCAGCATTAATTATTGTGATCTGATGTAACAGCAAACCTTCATGCAATGTCTGTAACTGAAATCAAATTGCACAAAGATTGTAGGACATTTTACAGTTGTGCACTTAGTTGCCAAGCCTCTGATTTGGAATGTGTTGTGATAGAGATAGATTGATAAATATTGTTGTGATAGTGTCTAGTTACCATGATAACAAAGTTATTTACATTTAAAAAGCAGTGACATTTGTATCATAACCCTTAGCCTCACTCCTGTTCAAAGGCTTGGCAACCAAGCATGCAGCTGTAAAATGGACGATTTTCATTGGTGCAAGTGGACTGGTGACTAGATCAAGTAGACATAAGTAATGTGTGTATTTGGATTACATAATAACCATTTTGTTCATGCAACTATAGGTTTTTCTCAGATAATACTGTACATTTAATGCCTACAGTGTAGTTACTGAAGCTACATTGAGAATTTTTGTTGAGGATTTCAATGAGTGCATGGGTCATTGGGTTTTTGTTTGAATTTGATGAAATGTCCAGGTGAAAACCCTTCCTTAAAGGGAAGCTGGATGTGGAAGATTTTCACAGCTTAATGTGATATCAAATAAAACTGCAATAAACTATGTTCACTCAGTTAGCTTTGACTTTTAATATTTATGATATGATAAGCTGAATCAAACAGGCTTTTTGATTGGTCCTCACTCATGATCTATTGTAGGTGGGTGCCATCATAAACAAGATTTTGCTTCTTCACTATGTAAGAGAAGTAGAGTCCATGTTGCTGTGCATATTACATGGATATAGATAGAACACTTAATTCTCATAGCCAGTCAACAAAGATGTATGCTCATGTATCAGGAGAATCTGCATTTTGATATAGGGAGGTCAAGGTTTCAAACAATACTAGTAGCTTATATTTCATCTTTTGTGCTGTTGTTTTTTATCTATTTGTTTGCAGCGTTTACTTGTGTTAAGTCGAAACTTGTAATAACAAACTTGTTACAAGAAATTTAAGGGTCAGCGGTTTATCTGCAATTAGGCTTCAGTCTCCTCGCGTCCGTATACATATATTGAAATTTTCGCGCAAAAAAGAACAGTAATGTTATGCAGTTTGTCGTGCTGTGATCGTTTCTTTGCTGCATCTCGTGTACTCCTTCTATCCAAACCGTCAGGTACGTTTTGCGTTGTCCTTTGCCGTTTGATGTTTCGCTTTGTGATCGTCATTACTGTTGTCGGTAGTTGGCTGTAATGTAATATAAGTTAATCTTGTTTCCGAAACCACTGGTTACGAATAAATTGTATGGTTCGTGTAACCGTTTTGAAATTTGCCGGTGCGTTCGCCACAAAACTTATGGATCGATCTCAACCGTATTGAGACTAATCAAGCTATTTTTTTGTGTTCACAACAACTGTTACTTTGTTCGAACTACACGTGGTCCATTCCACTGAGATTCTGAAGTGTTTTCCGCAATTCCATTCCAGAATTTACTTGCTAGGGACCTAACAAGTCTTGTCTCCGCCATTGAAAGTATTCAGATAATCTACCATTACCCTGAATGTTACATTATGAAGCTACAGACATTTTGGCCTTTTTTATTTTGTATTAGAATTTTACAATTTCTGCCACGTTTTTATAAATGGCCGGCTGGTGTCAATGGTTCCTTCCCAATCTTTTCTCTTTTTTCCGTCTTTGTAGGGATATTCTCCTGTTCTGTGCGTTTGAGTTTCGGCGTCAACACGTGTTTGCCCATCCAAACTCTCTGGTTTGTCGTTATTAATAAGGTTAAGTTTAATATTTATATCAATGCCATTTTTTAATATTCTGAACTTCGTTTTTTTAATATTTACCTTTTAAACCAGCGAGGCTCAGAATTTCGAAGTTCCGTTCTGTCATGAAGAACTAAAAAGAATTAAAATTTTACCATATCAGTTTCAAGAAAACTCATGACACATTGTCAGGTCTGCCGGAAAAATGAAAAATAACTGGCTGAAAGACCATTACACACCTGCCTTCGTATCGTGTTTCTATATTTTCAAATGACTCGCAGCTTGTTAATGGTTCGGCGAAGCCTCTAAGCGGAACCCTTAGACAACTCGTTTTGCCAAACTACAGACCTCGTTACAAATGGAATGAAAGGTATGGAATGAAGTGTCATTGCCATGGCTTTGATAATACGATTTTATTATCATCAATATTAGAAATTTGCCTCCCGCAGTGAAATTGAAATCAATGGCCGTCATAACTAAACTTATTGTAATGAAACTAAAGACCAGTTATCAAACGGCAGCTGTTCCTAAATTTTCTCGATGTGAAAAGCGTACTTGTCTAAACTGGTCTATAGCTTTGCTGTCAATAGGTATTCAGCAAAACTCGGAGAACTGAGAGTCGTATAAAAAAGATCAAAGAATAGAAGGCAGCTGTTTTATACTGATTAACTTACAGTTAAAAGTTATTCTGTGCACTCAATTCACTCTGGTTGTAAGGCCTTGTTGATCAGTCCTGCTGAGGTGATCACGATTTCCAGCCAACACTGCATCGTGGACTAAGTCGTGTTCAAGGTTAACTATTAAAGGTACTCTTCAAATATTTTTTAGTGTTGGATTTATAATAATGATTTGTTGCAATTTCAAAACGAAATGTTTGATCTGATCTGTTCTTGGTGAAGCGTAAAGAAAGACATTCTAAAGATCCGTTAAACCGATTGTTATTTCATTTAATATTTAAGATAGAAATTTTGCTTCAGAAATAATCTATTTATTTGGTTAGGATTTATTTCAAAACAGCGAGATCTTTGAGTGGGCGATACGAGATGTTAGCTTAAAGGATTTGATATAATCTTAGGGACGAGTACTACGTTCTTCACTGTTCTAACATTGCGCTCTTTGTGCGCAAAGCAGTGAGTTATTGTGTGTGTGTGTGTGTGTGTGTGTGTGTGTGTGTGTGTGTGCTAAAATTGTCAGAAATGAAGAATAAAGGAAGGCGAAACACAAGAAACGAATGATTCCCCAAGTGCCACTTCAAGCTGCCTTTCCACCCTAACATCAGCGTCAACATCTCCTCTTCAATTGTACCTTTCTTCGGCACTGACATGGATAATTTTTCTAACAATCAAAACTTCTTATGTTGGTGATCATTTTTTTTATTCTTATGATCTTAAAGAATGATTCCACTCTGTTACTGCCAGGAGAAGCGTAAGCGTAAGATTGTACCATCCCGTCCTTGTAGTGGATACGGTAGTGCTCTCACTGTACTTCGTGGTTCTGTAGAGCGAGGTTATTCTAGCATTTATATGCAACTTCCACCAGAAACGTATGAAGTAGCCGTATTACTGATGTGTAATGTATTCATCTTTGAAATTAAATCGACGAATTTTGATCACATTACGATTAATTCATCGATATTTAAGAAGATGTAAATTGTTCTTTACAAAAAGGAATATCCTCATTTAGATACAAAATTTTTTGGTCGCTGTTTATGTTAAAAGGGCATATATGAGCAATCTTTGTTAAAAGATTGGATTTTTAGCTCCGTTTTGAAAGACTATGAAAGCCGCAACAAATTTAAGGAAGCCACCTTCAGCGAGATAGAAAAATTTCTCATTTCAAATCTAACATCCTGGAGGACTAATTAAGCCTTTGTCCGTTTTTCAACTTATGCTAAAGGTCGAGTACAAGCTTGCGACACCAGCGCGCAAATAAATAAACTGTACCTCTAAAAATAAGTTGTGATCCGCTGAAGATCATTTTGCAGCTTGTTCAAACTTTAAAGACATATACAAACAATAACACCATGGAACCCCAAAATGAACAATTCTTAATGGATTTCAGTGGAAAAAAAGCTACTTAAAGTGTCAGAAATTTCGTTCTTTTAAGTGTGAAAACACCAGCTGATTATACATTTTGACGTAAATTACACGTACTTTTTAATTAGTGTATTCTAGTCTGTCAACTTCAGATTCAGAATTTGTTTTAATGAGAGAGGCTCTTAAGAGTTAAAAAGTTTTCATTCCGAACGCTTTCTGATGTAGATCAACGTCTTGCGAGCTCTAGAATTTTCCAACACGCTGGCTCTCTTCCTGTTTATGATCTGAGTCTTACCTGAGGTATCACAAAGTGCTAACACCAGGTAAGCTTATATTACCGGTGGCTGGTTAACTTTTTCTTATTTGGAGATAAGATATTGAGCAGAACATTTTCACTTACATACATTATTCACTGGAGTAGCCTTCACTATGCTCTTGGCGTTGCAAATTTCAAGAAAAAACACAATCAGTTGTTTTCTTCACCTACGATAGGCACTCGCAATTTTTTTACGCAAACGACTCGGCACTTCTGAGATATCAAAGTTCAACCACATTTTCAACTATATCAGAAGCTCCTTTTACTTTTTTAACGAAACGGGTCCAAAACTGGAAGGAAATTTTAGAATCAGACTCTTCCGAAAAAAAAAGGAAAAAAAACTTTTTAAGAGTATTATTGACGAAACAAAAAACATCTTCTTTCGCTTCCTTTTGCGTTTTGTTTTGAATAATCCTATAAAACACGACGCATTCGTTCAAATTAATACTAGTTTTTCGGTTAGAGAAGGCTTCGCATCTTCCGGAAAAATAGATGCATTTACCTTTCCAAAATCCATTTCTTTTTTTTCTCATTTTCTGCACATTCACGAGGGAAGCTATGGGCAAATAAAGACTTGATCTTCGCATAGTAAGTAAAAAAAAAAAAGAAGAATGAGATTTGCAGTAACTGTGTCCATTTTTCGAAAAGGAAACATTGCTTAGTTATGCATTAGAGTCTTCCCTCTAGAGGTGTACTGAAAGAAACGAAAGCGTATTTTTGACCAGACGGCTACTGATTATTATGCACCCAGCATGTTACATCTAACCCATACCCGCCTTCTTCGCGTATATGTTGGATGCCCGTTTACTTTTCTAAGTAAACACTACCAAAACTGGAAGCAAGTTTAATGAATCACGCCCTTTCACGAATGAAAAACAAAAAAAGAAAATTACATCCTCAGGGGCGTAGCCAGGAGTTTTCAAAGGGGAAGGAGGGTGGGGGGGAATGTCACACTTTGTCCAACAGAGGGCACTCAACAAATTGTCATGTCGATCTCCATGTCGTCATCTACTAAAAATAAAGGCTCATACAAAGAACCCCCCCCCCCTCTTTTCTCCCCAGCTACGCCCTTGATCGCGTCAAATCTTTTCTCATCTACGAAGTACGATTTCTAAAATAAAACTTTTGTCTCTTGGTTCTGAATATGAACAATCCTAAAATCTCGAGGCATTTATTAATGAATTACAGTTTTTTGGTAAAATAAAGTGTCGCATCTTCCGTAATGATAGGTAATTCTTACATTTTCAAAAACCGTTTCGCTTTCTTTCTTATTCCATTTAACAAAGAGGCATTGAACATATCGTAAAGGAAAATATTCTGTAATACTTTTCCATTTTTACTGTAAGAAAAAATTTATTGGTGACGCAAAAGGTTCCTCCTTCTTACGAGATGTACTTTAGAAAGCGAAATTGTAATTGAACATATCGTAAAGGAAAATATTCTGTAACACTTTTCCATTTTTTACTATAAGAAAAAAATTTCTTGGTTACGCAAAAGGTTCCTCCTTCTTACGAGATGTACTTTAGAAAGCGAAATTGTAATTGTTACCAGACTGCGACTGTCTTTCATGCGTCCGTCGAATAATTTTCATTTCCCCTGGCCTTCCCCTTCCTCTTATTTCTGCCACTTTTTATCGATTTTATTCTAATAAACAAAAAAATTAAATAACATAGAAGTGGTCGGTCTCTCAGCGAAATTTCATTTGGTCTCAAAACAGACAAAGAAAACTTTGTGATGATGACGTCAAAGAAACGGAAGATGGGCGCATTTGAATGAAACTGAAAGTCTTATTAAATTACATTTTGTAATTTTACATTTTTTTCTATTTGAAAAAAGGAAATTACGTTTACTGCTGATAAAGGTTCTAAAAGCTGATATAATCGTCATTCATAATTTTCGTGTTCGAAATTGCTCCAGCGGGCTTGCTTTAACTCTGCCGACCGTCCCAAAATCGGCTTATGCTTTTAAAATTGTGCGGGTGAGATCAATATTGACATGACAGCTTCCGTTCAGAACTTCAAACACACTATTAATTTACTTTCTAGAAATAAACAGGCGTTTTAATCCAAACAAAATCCTGAGCTGGCCTCCTGCAGTGAAAGCAAAATATATCGACCGCCATAACTA